ACCGAGTTTTGCACACTTCACTTTGCAATAAACAAAAAAATTAAAAATTAAAATGCACTGACCTTATATGGCATCATCTTCTGCTACCATTTGTATCGATTCCCCTCATCTTCATAGAACGGACTTACTGAAATAAAAAAAATCCAAAATTAGTTCAATTTGTTTTTAAATTAATTGAAAATTTTATATACAATTAATAAGTGTAATTTCTCTAAAAAATCAAAAAGTATTGTTGACTTACCCTTTAATCCGGATCCTTGTAGCACGATTGTCTTCTCCATTACCCCCATTGGCACTCACTAATCACTCGAAACTTTAAAATTCGCGCACTACTAAATGTCCACCAAATAATAAGTTATAATTTATTTGGACAAGTGACTCGTACGAGAGATCAGCTAAGACTGACTCGTTATTGTAATAATTTTCTCGTAAACGGCACAAAAACTATTTCGTAACAGTTCCGGTGTAAAAGGCCTTTGTTCGAATACAGGGTGTTTCACATAATTTGTAAGATGCAGTCAATAATACATATTCCGCTACGAACTAGATTACAAAATTTGGAAAATTGGATAAACGTCTCTAGCTTGTTCACCCTTTCAAAAATTACAACGTTTTTAGTTGTTAGTTTGGGTGCGTACATTAGGCGCAATCCTCGTAAAGGTATGTGAAACACCCTGTATTACCAAATTCTACGTCATCATTTTTTCCGTCCTTTACACTTGTTTGCAGAACAAAGGGATTTTTAGTCGTACAAATACACATTTTTTCTAACGTGACGTCACGGAATTTAACCCAATCAAATCTTTCAAATTTCTGAAATTCAACCAATCAGATTCAAATTACGCGATAATGTCTTTGTAAGTCTACGTTATCTTGTGTATGACTTGCTAATAATTCACCAACAATGTTAATACACACCAATTTTTGTGTGAATTATTGTTTTTATAACTTTATAATCGCTGTCAATTTGTTGGGTTTAAGATTGGCGCTTGTGATTTTTCGCTTGTGCCAATTATTTTATATATTTAAATTTAAAAGTACCTTTATTTTTAAATAAGTATTTACAGAATAGGCCCTAATATTTGTTAAAAAAAAACAGTAAAAACGCAACTACACAAAACGTCAATTGCAAATCTCAGCTCCAAACATTATAAAATATTTAGAAACACAAGATTCTAAATTATAAACGTAGACCATCTTGTTGTGCAAAACATTTTTAATGGATGAAAATGTGTTTAATCACTTTGTAATGTATATGACTATGTTTAAAAACTGTAATATTTATACCTTTTTGTTTAGCAGAATTTTAAATTAAATTAAATATAATTAGAGCGCTATACAAAATAAATAACATTATTCAATTAATTTTTAGACGCAATGTTTGAAGCTTTAATTAACGAAATTATTATCCCATTACGCGCCAAATGAAATTCTTTCATGGTATTTAACGAATCGAAATTTGTTCACTACTCTAAAAATTTTGTTTACAATACAAGAATTCGAGAAAAATATTTCACATTTTTATGACATTCAAAAAACTAATTTCAGGTAGAGTGGCTGAAAAATGACGAAACCCTCCGATTAGAAAATCCCCGAAAATACCAAGTAGTCGGAAACGGAACCGCTCTGAAAATAAGAAACATAGCTTTCGCTGATACGGGGGCTTACATGTGCCAAGCCACTAATATAGGTAAAAAAACTGTCATATACAACGAACGACGAAAATAGCATTTCTGTATCGCAGGTGGATTAACGAGAGACATAAGCTCTTTAGTCGTCCAAGAGCAGCCCACACCTAGTAAGTAGAGCGAAAAACCTAATATCTAAGTATGTAAATGATGAAAATTTGATTTCAGCTTCGCCTAACGAAGAGCGGCGGTTTTTTGCCTTCCACGACTGGGGAGTGTCGGTGTATGAGCCATCCACTTGTCGACTCTACCACAGAATTCAATCTACAGACATCATTCCAGGCACTCAGGTAATTTTCCGATGTAGCATTTCATTTAAAATTCTGCCACCTTTTTTACAATCTCATTCCTCTCAATGCTTCGAGTTAAACGAGTTCAACAAGCAAAAATATCCGAGTGATTAAATTAACAAAACAGATGGGTAAGACTCTAAGTACAGTTTTCTCCAGAAAAAAACTGCACCCCTTTCATTTCAATTTAAAACTGTTAAATAAAACATCACTAACGCGATGTTTTTAAAATTAACTGTTGTCGTGTAATCAAAAAAGAGTAATTTATTTTTGAGACAAATTTTAAGCTAGGTATTAATAAATTTAAAAAAAATGACTTTATTGCACTTGGAAGTAGCTTAACTAAAGAATTGTTTTTGAAATTTTACGTATTTGCAGTAGTAAAATTATTACGAATCACGAGAGAAATAAAATGTTTGAAATAACATTTGCAGGTGAAATTTCAATCCGCTCCTAATTTATTCGAAATGGTATTCCTAAATTTTACGTTATAAACTTAAGTAGAAGATCGTCGTCTACTAATTAATTCAGTATTTTGATTCTTCTATTAGAAGATTATTTACCACGCCATCAACTTCGGTTATATATTACAAGAAGTTGGGAAAGCGTTTTGTTAAAGTCATTGTAACTTTTTGCCAGGAATGAAGGCATAAAAAATTACAAGTATTATTAATGAAACGTTCCAGACCCACAATAGCCACAGTTTTTTCTCTATAACTTCTGGACTTAAACATCTGGCAACCCTCTCTGTGATCGCTCTCCTTTAAGTAAAACAGAAGTTATGATAACTTCTTCTAACTCCGAGCGATTTCTTAAACGTCTTCGTATAAATTTTACAAGATTTGTGGTTCCGAAAAGCTACATCAACTTTTGTTTACTTATTTGTTTCGGTGTAACTAACAAAACTCCAAACTATTGATGACACGTTAATTTAGATTAACTTCGTCTATATTTTAAACCGTTTATATCGTTGGTAGCCCTAAAACTTTTCTTATTTCAATTATATAGTTCTAAATGGAAGACAACATTTTAGCGAATCTTACAACAAAAACACAACAACAAAAAAACTTCCAAAAATGCTGAACGATGTTCATAATGAAAAATTTTATTGACTTTTTTGTTTTTTGTACAATTTAGCCTATTATTTCGAAACAATCTTATTACATAGCTTCATTTTTAGCTTTAATAATCTCGTAAATGTGATTCAACATGTAGCCACTGTTCCGAAATCACTTTAAAACAATAAAACACGATTTTACTGTATTAGAAGACGTTCACATGACCATTAATAAAGCTTAGGAGTGATCATCCCTGATATATGACAGCCCCCATCCTATAACTCTAAGAATGATGTATTGAACCATAATTCTTGTTACACTTTTCACCTTTTTACACCAAGCAGAAATAAAACGGATTATGTCGACAAAGGCAAGGATTAGGATCGTCACGAGTACAATTTTGTGTGATTTACTGAACTAATTACATGATTCCTAATCCGACATTAAAAACTCTAAAACATGCCATCTGACGACTCTTTTTCCCCTTGCTAATGCTAAAGCTTTTCCTCAGCAACGTACTATTGAGTTGCCCTTCTTTTTGATCGCCCTGTAAGTATATTTACTGTATGATATAAATAAATAATTACAAAAACGTCTTACTTTTATTTATCTTACATCTTACTCCAACTGGAATTAAATAGTGAAAAAAAGTGGTATTCATTAATTAAAAAATTGGTCAAATGGCGTTTCAATAAATAATTTTTTCTACGATCCTAACAGTAAGTAAGTTTTTACACCCTATTTTTAAAAAAAGAAATGACCACTTTCCGCTCTGGAAGGTAAAACTTATCCTTCCTCACTTGTCAAAATACAGTAAAAATATACCAGGTGAATAAAAAGTATGGAACCAAACGTTCTTTACTTAAACTATTTATTTTTTGAAAAAACTAATTGATGAGTGCTAAAGTACTATAAAAATGTGATGATTTAACAAGAATAAAATTTTAAATATTTCCTTTTATTTTTGAGTTCTACAAAAAAATTATTTTTTTTAAATGGCAACCCACTACAAAATCATTTTTCTCATAAAAGCTATACTCTAAGGATTTCAACTATCTGCTTTATTTTTAATTTTTTAAAAAGAAAATTTTTCACATAAATTGCAATTTTGACAAAAAAAATCGCATAACTCAAAAACAAAACAAAATTTCGTTCTGAAATTACGATCACATTTTTTATATTACTTTAATTTATATTAATTATTATTTTCCGGAGGCAAATGATTAAAAATAAAACCGCTTGGTTCCATACTTTATATTCACCCTGTATGTAACCTCTCAAAAAGGTAAAAATTTTACCTTACGTATAAAAACAAAAATAAAAGCTGCTACATTTAATGGCAAAACTGAGATATCAAGAGAAATTGTTGCTGAAGTTTTTCTTGATGGATCGTAGGAAAAATTATATGTATTACACTAAACTGTCTTTTTTCCCTGGGTGATACTCGTAATTTTTACCTTTCTTTTCTTGTAGTGCAAACAACTAGAAGTATTATTTTCTGTTTTTTAAAAACATGAAAAAGTATAATTATTAATGCCTTCGCCCGGCGCATCCACCAGAATTTAACCGGTTTAGAAAATAAACATTTACAATTTGTTAAACATTATTTATTTTTTTTAATAAATATAAGATGTTGATAAATAACACCGTTTTTTTGTAAATTGAGACTGAGCCAATAAATCTACAAATAAATAAATTTCCGGTGCGAGTAGAAAAAGTCCATTAGTAACCTTTAAATGGTAAAATTTAAAAAAATTGTAAAAGACTTTATTATAAATACTAATCTAGTGCATCACTTAAAATTATTTTCAACCATGCAGCATGTCCCAAAAATAAGTTATGATACAAACTTGTGTTTGTATCATTTCAGCCCGGTGAAAAGTACACGGACCATAGTTGGCAATCGTGTGCTAACTTAACATTTCCAAGTTACATAATTTGTTTTTAAAGACAATTTAGCACCGGTTATAATAAAAACAATTTGAAACTGAAAAATGTTAGAAAAAACTCTGCAAAACATTAACGAAAACATTTTTTAAGAGCATCACTTACCTCATAATCCTTCGGCAGTTACTAAACACTTTTTTCTAAATAAAATATTTTTTTTATAGGAATACGTGTGTGGCGATAAAGGAGTAAAATGCTCCTGGGGACGAGCCATAAACGTTGCCAACCGATATGTCTACGCCAGCCAACCGGAGAGAGACAGAGTAATAATCATTTCAAAAGTACAAATGGTGGTAGTAGATGTTAGTATTTAATCAATTAATTTCAAACAATAATAATTTTCTTTGTGGTAGGTTGTTAGCACTGACAAATATCCCGTAGAACTCTTCCATGTTCCTCATTTAGACCAAGTGTGGATACTTAACTGGAGATCAACGAACAATACCGGAATAAAAACCATTCAGGTGGAATTTCGACATTTTCACATCATAGAAAAATGTATTGTTTAAAATTTTACAGGTGATCAGAGATGCAGGGCAAAAAAGAAAACACCACACAGTGCATCCCGAATCAATCGATGGGCATTTTGATCTAGTAAAAGGACTTTTCATACCGTCTCCAGACCAAGTATTTGGTGCAAAAATGAGTGTTGCTAAATTGATCTTTGTTTATTTCAGGAGCTTTCGCATTATAGCTTCAAATACGGATACGCAACACATACCAATCAAAGAGGTCTTTATAAACTAGATCTCGTTAATTTAAGATATACCAGATCAGTGGATTTAACGCCTTACAACTGCGTTCCAGCTCAAATCCAATTTTCGGCGTTATGTAATATATTTCTTGATGCTTAATCCTTTCCTAACGATATATTTTTTCAGACGGTTTAGTAATAATGCAATGTCTTGAACCCGTCACTAGCAGACCCACCGGTCAATTGATTTTGGATTATCTGACAGATACGGTTATTGGAACAAAACCAAATTTGCCTGGAATCCCATTCATATCTCCCGATTCTAGGAAACTCGTTACACTAGATCGTACAAAGAGCGGAGCCACTCTTATCGTACAAGAGATAACAGGTGAATCGTATTATTTTTAGATAAAATATTGCTGATTCTTGGGATTGCAGAAAACGGTTTAGTTTTTTCCTTTGATGTGAAAACAACGCTGAATATATCCGATGTCACGTTCTATCCTAGTCAAACAACTCACAGTTATGATATTTACGCAAGTGCCCAAGACAAGGAAGATATTCTATTCCTCAATTTGTTAACAGGTTTGTCTAAAGTGGCTGTCTATGACACGGCTTAATTGAATTGATTTCAGGAAAAGTGGAGATTATAACGGGAGTCGGGAAAGCAATTCCCATGAAATTAACCAAATGGAACAATCCCAACAGACCTATCAGCGGATCAGGTAAGATGCAATAAGACTTACCTCCCTAAAATTAAAAGTTAAGTATAAAAGACTTTCTTTTAAACTGTGATTTAAACAATTTGACCTTTCATTTAAAAACCTTACCATTAGAGACCAATTTACAAAAATTGAATCAAATTTTAATTCAGAGTTAAACTAATTACGTTGTCAAAATCACAAAACTGTCTTGTAAAATAATCAAAAATTGCTCGTTAAAAAATCCAAAATTACTGTAAAATAGTTATTTATTCGACGAGTTTGAGTGTAACTCGGACGCATTATTTTACCAAGTGCATTTTTAAACCAACGAGTGGTTTATCATCTACGAGGTAGAATAAAGCGTCCCATTTACACTCAAACGAGTTGAATACAACATTTTATTTTTCGAATTAGACTCAATGAGTCTTAAACTTGCTTTAAATCTGTTAAAAATAACCTGACGTTTTGTATTGAGAAATGCCAAACAGTTGTCAAAACTTCCTTATACGAGAGAAAAACCGTAAATTTTGACAGTTTCTAAGAATAAAAGTTGTTTTTTATGCTTTTTTTTTCAAAAGTAAATTTGTCAACTACAAAGCTGACCAAGTTCATAGATTTGTCAAATCTGTTATCTGCCATGTGGCGTATTTTTTTTACTATATCTCATTTTTTTCGTTCTATTTCCTCCTTTTCCTTCTTCATCTTTTATTTTTAATCATTACATCTTTATTAGTAAATTTTGTAAACCAGTTATAAACAAGTGAAATTCAAAATTTTATTATTTTTCAAGAAAACTCTACAACTAGATGTAGTATTTAGCTAACTTTTATAAAAAGGTACAGAGAATTGAAACAATATTAATATTATACATAATGTACAAAATTCCAATTTATTTTTGTGATTTAACATCAAAAATGTAAGAGTCGTTGCTACTTAATATTTGTTTCGAAAATATTTTTCTTCTTCTCCTTTCTAATTTTTTTGTTTGTTTCCTTCTTTGACTCCTCTTGTTAGTTGTTGGCTACGTTTTTTCCCCGTTTGTTCCCTTTTTTTTCTCATCGTATTTGTACCTTTTATTACCTTTCATTTTCTAACGTGTTTGTGTTCAAATAATTTCCATTCTTTTTTTTAATTCTAGATTTGATATTGCTCAATATTTTTCCAAGAATTTTTAAGGTATACCTTTGTACTCTAATTTTCTTGTAAAATTTTGATTTAGAATTAAACTAATTAAGTTGTTATTTGTGAAACAGCCTTTAAACTATTAAAAACTGCTTGTTAAAGAATACCAAATATCGACTGTATAAAGAATGCATTTTATGCAACACTTGTCTACAACAAAAAGCACTACATGGCAAAACATTTTGTACAAAATCCAAGTTTTTTTTAATCTAAATTTCAAATTTTAATTTGTCAACTGAAAAACTAACCTAAGTCGATAATTGAATAAGTTTGGTATCTGCCATTTAACGTAATTTTTTTTACTTCATCTTTTTTCATAGATTTCTTCTCGTTCTATTTCATCTTTCATTTCTCAACCAGTTATAACATAATTATTCTAAAATATAATGAAGTTTGTCTGTTTTGTAAGAATTTTATTATGTTTAAAAAAACATTTTTTTAATTACTCTAAAACAATGTAGAAAATTCCAATTAATTTTTGGCATTTAACATCAAAATGTAAGATTCCTTGCTACTTTTTTTTAAATATTTGTTTTGCCAATTTTTTTTCAATTTTTTTTTGTTTCCGTTTTTAATTTCTTTTGTTAGTTGTTGTAGGTTCTTTTCTTTTCACGTATTTCAATTTTTTTTAATACGGTATTAACTTTTACTTTGGGGAAATTTTATCCTATGTTCATTTTTCATATTTTTCTTTTCTACTTGTTTTGTTCAATTCCGCTTACTTCTTTTTTAGTACTTGTTTTTTTTTGTTTCTTTCTCTTGTATTTCTTCTCATTGTATTTGTACCTTTTATTATCTTTCATTTTCTAAAGTGGACTCTTATTTTTTTCATTTGTGTACAAATAACTAGCTCTAGAATTTTCCTTTTGTTTTTTAATTGGCGATTTGAAATTTCTCAATATTTTGTCTATAATTTTTTAAGTTTTACCTTTGTACTCTTATTTCCTTGTAGAATTTTTACAGAAACTCAAATTTTTTTTTTTTGTCAATGTCTTTATTTCGCACGTTTTGAGATTTGTTATTTCTAGGTTTGTTTGGGCAATACATGGTGTCTCCCGCTAGTGAGGCGTTATTCGTGATAAACGGCCGGTCGCGAACAGTAAATTGTGAAATCGGTGCAGTGAACCATCCGAGCTCCATCGTCTGGACCACCCTCAAGCTCCATTAGTGGTCCGCCAAACAAATATCAACTCGTTTCGTATTACTTAAAAATTATACTTTTTATACTAATATCAAAACCGCTGCGTGTCAAAACCAACACACGTGGCTTTGGCACGAAGATAGATTAGGAAATAATTGTTAAGAATGTATTGTCAGACCTGTTGTAGCCAAGTCTACGATTATCAATATCGAGATCACTACATCTGTCCAATTTTTGGTGACTCTGATTTTGGAACTGAATATTTTAATAATAATGTTGTTTTAGTAAATGTAGTCTTGTGATAACTTGAATCCCCACTAACAAATCGTCCGTAAAAGATGCCATTTTAAGGATGATCTGTAGTGACACGACCGCCAACTGTATTTCATTCTCTACGCATAGATTACGCACACAATATTTTTTAAACTAGTTTTGAGAGATGTTAATGCAGCCAATGTGGGAATGTAAATACACTTGGATGGGAGTCTCGTGATTGACTTGATTCTTTTCGCTGATCTTGAACCCTTCTTTCGACTACTTTGTTGTAGCTTAACATTTCTGTAGAATTTTCATGTAGAACGTACTCTTGTTTCGGTTTTTGCTAGCTTGCTCTCTATATCTCGCCTTTATATAAGCTTCTAAAAATGTTGTTTATCGTATCACAAATGGGCTTATTGTAATATAGGTATTATGGTACAATATTGTTTATACAGAAATAAACTGACAACATTGAAGTATATTTGATTCCCGATTTTTTCCTGTCACAACAAAACAAAAACCTTTTTACAAAATAATGACAGTGTCATGTGCTGTTACATTTCATGTTTATATTCTTACTTTACTTTTTATTAAATATGAAGTTATGTTTTAGTACAGTTATTATACAGGTAACCCTTTAAAAAAAACAATCCCTGATATTAATAAACACAATTTTTAGAACGCCGGTGTGTACGAAATTAACAGTGACGATATTGCAATGATTTTTTGTAAGATTCAATCTTCCAAAGCCAATTTTACGACTATCAGGACTTTTTCAGATTTGACCGTAGAAAACACGTTCGAATGTAAAGTTCATGTAACTGTTTGCAGTCTAAAATGCATTGAAGGAGACCCATATTCCGAAACAGCAGACCATATGTACGTAATTGGAGGAGATATGGGTATAATAAATGGGAAAGGTGTAAAAAACGCCACACTTATTTACCCAAATTTGGTACACATTAAATCCTTTATTGGTACTCAATCTCTACATAATATTTTCTAGTACTTACGAAACAGAGTTGGAAAATGTTTAATGTCGGTAAATTACCAAACTGAACAAACATCCGAACAAATTATTAAAGAAATATATTTTAACACTAACGAGATTTACAAAAAAGGGGGAGGTACTCAATTGCAGTATTTCAAATTTTGTTTGTAATAATCCTACCTTAAGGTTCTTCATTTGATAAATGTTCGACTTGTGATCTCACGGCTGAAAGTTGTCTCCCTGTCGACTGTGTTATTAAATACTCTTCTAGAAGAAGTTATTTCAATCGCGAGCGCAAAATTTGTCAGTCGGTTCCTGAATGTCCCCCAAATACTATCTATGTCCCCAAAAGTAATATTTGTAGGAAGTTACACGAACCGGTGTGCGAGTCTGATCTTGAAATGATTGAGGATGGTTACATTGAAAGATGCCACAGTATTTCGAATATCGTACAAGGAATATTTTTCTGTGGTTACAAAATTTTGTAAAATTATAATATTTAGGTAAATTACAAATGTTACCATGGGACTATGGATAATGGAACGGGGGAATGTGTTTGTGATGATGGATGGGTTACTGCAACATGCGCCGAAGGGGCGTATCATCCCACGCTAAATCTTTATCATATGTGCAATGTGGAGTTCAATTCTTGGCAAAGGGCTAATAGAGAAAAGTTAGTAATGACGATTTTAGTTTTAGTGGTAAGTAAAATTGAGTGCACAAGATGTAACAAAAATAACCAAAAGAAAAAATCCCACGTTCAGTCGTATCACTAGAAAAAAGTTTAGTTTGTTTTGAAATATTATTCAGAAATTCATGTCGGCTAGAAAGCAAATGCAAGTGAAAATAGTTATTTATACTACAACTAGTTTTGAAAGTCATACTTTTTTTCACGAATTTGCAGTTGATAATCAAGCAAATGAGTGAAAAAAAGTACTTTTAAAACGAGTTGTACACAACATTTTTTTGCATAGTGATACCCCTAGGAACCCCAAACACAGAAAGATATCAATTTGATAAACCAAATCGTAATGTATCGCGAGATCTTTGTAACGAACTCTATAGAAACTATAGAAATAACTTTAGAAATATAACTACAGAAATTGTTTAAAAAAAGTATAACTTTCTATACGATTAATCGTGATGAAAATTCAACTTTCATAATCACTATGCAAAAAAAGTCATTTTTCGCTAACTAACATTTCTGACTCAAAGCATTTCTTCTTAATATTTGAAAACGTAAACAAAACACAATTAATTAAGTTCAATTAATAAATACAAATTTAGCTTAAAAGACAAATTTTATTTTTATCTATTATCATTTTGCTTTAGCTTGGCGCATCCGCGATTTTTATCTATGATCAAATAAACTTAGGGTCGATTCTGAGAAACAAAATTCGAAACTTAGCTTTTTTTCAAAAAAATTGTACTGTTATTTGATCCTACGGTAGGTAAATGAGTACAGTTGCGGCCCTTTAAAACTAAAACATTCACTTTTGGTATCCTATTTGATATTTTAAAAATTTGAAAAGTGTAAAATAGGTTTTCATCAAGGATGACAATGTCAATTTTCAATTTTTCGGATTCTGATGGTGCTGCAATAAAATATTAGTTATTTCTGTCTTCAAAGTTGAAGTTCATTGTTCAAAGTTTTCTACACTACGCCACTGACTCGTAATTATTTAATGACATTTTAGAAACTTTAGTTTCAGGCCATTTACAATGACAAAATTTTGAATTTATCAAAGTGTCTTAGTTTCCAACGGCCGCGACTGAACAAGAAATCTTATAAAAAGCTATTAAAAAATGTGTTTTTTTTTTCCTTTTTTTAAATCTTTGTACAAAGATATTAATAAATTGAAGCAATATCAGAACCTAAAGTGTTACCAATAAAATAATAAAAATTTAAAAAATACATGTAGTAACTGTATCAAATTTTGTTACATTAGATTAAAACTGCAAAAAAACAATTTTTTGAATCCAATTTTCGTAAAATTGAAATCAGTAGAGATAGAACACGAGTTAAATTCTCATCATTCCAATAGCCCCACTTTCAAAACACGTTTTTTCCAGATTTTGGCTATTGCCCTCGCCGCTAAAATGTTACTAGCGGTATGTCTTTTGAACTGGTGCTGCCACTTTATCAGATCTAAAAGTAAAAGTTACCTCAATGATGAGTTCTGTGGATCTGAACAATGCCACTACAGTTATTGCGGAGACGAAGAATGTCTTGTCGAAGTTCCAAACGATAAATCTTCAAGAACGATAAGAGTGTCTTTTTCAAATATCAGCTCGGCTGAAGACACAGATGCCACTGCGGATGACGACAAAACTCACTCAGAAAATACGAGTCATGCAACTATCAATCTTTGTCGCTGCGCGAGATAGAAAAATGACAAATAAAACATTATTATTGTCTTTATTTTTTGTATTAATAACCAAACCACCAAATAACAATTAAGTAACACTTAAAAATAATAGTTATGCTAGGGTATCAAGGGCATGAACGAGTTTCACTGATTGTCCTCTCTTGATAACATGTGGAATAGTTTTCGGTACCATACTAGAAAAAAAATTATTATTTATCAAAATAAATAGTCAAAATCTTACGTAATGCAGTCGATAATTGGACAAACAGATAGGCACAAAGTGCAACCAGTACAATCATCGGTCACTGTTGGAATATGTGTGTTTGGATCAAAATTAATAGCTTGATAACCAGAATCGTTACAAGTCATGTAACATTTGCCACAGTTGATACACATATCCTGAAATTTTTTCAACTTGATTATCACCAATAATAAATAAGGCTCGGATTATATGCACGAAAAATCCATAAAATATGAGCATATATATGCAAGGATTTTCACTAAAATATGCACAAAATATTAAGAAATATGCTCGAATATATGCCAAATATGCATCGATATGCAAAACTTTTAACAATAAAAAATCAAAGTTGGAATAAATTTTTATCCTCGAGTACACTAAAGTTTGTATTTTCATCATCTTGAACTGCACACGATGAACGAAAGAGAATAAATAAATTGGTTTTGCCTCAGACAAGCCATTTTAATAACCTAGTAATTAAGCCATTCTAAGAAATCTGTACTTTTCAGATCACATGTTACCGTCAAAATAAAGTTACTATTACATCACTTTAAACAATTTTGCTAAAATTCATTGCAGGCAACTACTTACCACATAGAAGGATTTATTTGTTTTATTTATTTGTGAATAAAAAGTATGGAACCAAACATTTTTTGCTTAAACTATTTATTTTTTAAAAACTAATTGATGAATTAAAAGCTTTATCAAGAATAAAATTTTTCGAATTTTTTGTTTTTGTTTTTGAGTTCTACAAATATTTTATTATTTTTTAAATGGCAACCCAATAAAAAAAATATTTTGTATACTCTCCCAAAAACAACTGCGTTAGAGACTATCTACTTTTATCTTTATCTACTTTTTTAATTAAAAAAAATTACATAAATTTCAATTTTGACAAAAAAAATCGTATAACTCAAAGCAAAACAAAATTTCGTTTTGGAAATACGATTAGATTTTTTATATTACTCTATGTTATATTAATTATTATTTTTCAGAGGCAAATAATTAAAAAAAAACGTTTGGTTCTAAACTTCATATCCACCCTGTATAAAATGAATTTAAAAAGGAAACACTCAGCAGGATATTAATTCTTTGAGTCCGGCTTACGAATTACTGGTTGTTTTCTCTTTAACATATTTTGTAATCGGATCATTTTTCTTAAACTGGCCAATTTGAACTGAAATTTTTAATCGGAAATTTGTGGTTTATATAATATGCTCAAATATGCATTATTTCCTGAAATATGCACAAAGTTGCCAAAATATGCAAAATATGCATTTTTTAATTGGCTTATTTTAATCAAAAAACATTAGATATGCATAGAAAACTTACAATTTTGTTGATATACCTCTTAATAACAAATATGCATTTTGCATATAATCCGTGCCTTAATAATAACAAATGCCACACTTACATCATCAATCAACGCTACGACTTGTTTCGTATTATCTAACTTTTTGTACGCCCCAATTCTCGGTAAAGCTCGTCCTATCATTTCATTAATTTTTGGTACTTTTGATGGTACCTGTACACCATTTGTTGGGTACCCATTCTCGCGTCCATTGTGGTGCAAAATAGTTTCTCGCTTCAAATTCTTCAATTTTTCTTCTCGTTGCTTAAGGTATGGCCCGAAATGGGGCAAAGCCTGAAATTGAAACGTTGTTAAAATTCGACTCATGACAAAACGCCTGATCTCACTTTACTATCTTCGTTGCGTATAGAAATAACTGGTTTTCCTTTTTGATGTTTAAACGTCGGCGGACTTTGTCCATCCCACCTCGGCAACCGCCCATCCAGATATAACAATGCTTTCAATCCAGTGCAATAATCATCAATCAATGTAAAATCCTGGTTTTGTATGGCACTACAAACTTGCACTACCGAGGCTCCAGCTTGTAGATACTGCCAGGCAACATCTGCCGAATCAATCCCGCCAATCCCCATAATAGAGAATCCCGATAAAGCGTTTGCGACCGCAGAAACCGCTCGTAATCCCATAGGTCTTGTCGCATTCCCACTAACACCTCCATAAGTGGTGCGTTTATCTAAACCGACTGCTGGCCATGGCGTACCGTTTGCGCTTAATCCCATTAATCCCGAAACTGTATTGATAGCGGCTACACCATCGGCGCCTCCTTCGTACGCTGCTGTGGCAATATCGACAATGTTGGTGATGTTGGGGGTTAATTTAATAAAGAATGGGATTTTAACCGTGGCTTTGACCCACTCGGAAATGCCTTTAACCAATTCAGGTTTCTGCAATAATTTCAATTTAACACAAACATTTTTATTTGAAGTGAATAATCACTTGGCCACAAGCTAGACCCATTCCTGATTCACCCATGCCGTGAGGACAACTCAAGTTTAACTCGAGGGCATCAGCGCCTGCGTCTTGGGCCATTTTAGAAAGTGTTTTCCAATCTTGCTCATTGTAAGAGCACATAATGCTTGCAATTATTATCTAAAAATATAGGTGTACTGTTATAATCATGTTTAGTTTATAAACAAATAAATAAGCCCCAAATAAAGAACAGGACACTTTTATCTATATCTTCTGTTTCTAAATAAGTAATATTTAATTAATTTAATTCATGCAAAACCAATAAAACACGACACAATTACTACATACTACGTTTTATAATGTCCCTATTTGTTTTTTCTCAATAGAAAAAATTCTGAAATTATTTCATAGTCATCTAACAGGTAATACATGTTACTGTATATTGTAATTGTGATATTCTCACACAGAAAAGGGTTATTAAAATTGGCCATTTTTTTTAAATCCTGCTATTATGTAATAACAAATTACTATAATATATTTTAGACCAAAGTTAGTATACATTACCTACGTGGTCTTAATTATTTTAACTTTGTTGTTACAGTTTTAAATTTTAAAGAAGAAGAAGAATTTTGGACATCAAATTTGTGTCACTTCAAAAAATGTCAATGTAAGCCACGCTTTATTGACATTTAAAACTAAAATTTGAAAGTTATTGAAATTTATTTTTGAGGTCGATTTTCCGAAACAATAGCAATATGTGTTTTTTATATAAGTTCAATAAATTATTTTGATTTGTTGTCATTTCTTTTTTCTTTAGCTATCAGGATAAAAATTACAAAAAATGGGGTTAGTTGCCTAAGGCCCGTTTTACATTTTTTTATATCAGTCTAAAGACAATTCGTCCAAAATTCCGTGTCCGCCAGTGGATAATGAAGCACATTTCAAAAAATATTTCTATTCAATACAGGTGTCCCAAAATAAGATACACAACTAAGTTCTGTTTTTTTTTAAATAAAATCCCCCTATTTTTGTTACATTTTTGATATCACCACTAAATTGTCAATATAACGCACCTAGTTTCTTTGAATTATTTACAATAATTTTTGACTTATGTCAATTTATGTATTAAAGTAGCGTCGTGCATAGAAGACCCACAGAAAAATTCATAACTTTCGAACCATTAAAGATAACTTAACTAACTAATAAATTACAAATAGCAATAACTCGACTTTTTTAAATACAACACCCTAAATTTTATTGCATCGTGGCGTACCATTTTTTATGAGCTTTTTGCCAATTTAGAGAAAAAATCAACATTTTCTTATTTTGCAAAAATCTCACAAATTTTACAAAGTAGATCGCATAAACTCTATATTGGTAAAAAGCTCATAAAAAATGCTACAAATCGATGCAATACAATATAGGGTGTTGTACTTAAAAAAGTCAAGTTATTGCCATTTTAAATTAGTCATTGTTCTGAAGTTATTAATTTTTCTATGGGTCTATGCACGACGCTATTTTGACACATGAATTGACATAAGTCAAAAACTATTGCAGATAAGTCTAAGAAACAAGATGCGTTATATCAACAATTTAGTGACAAATTCAAAAACATAACAAAAATTAGAGGTTTTTAGTTTATAAAACAAAACTTAGTTGTGTAGGTATCTTATTTTGGAATATCCTGTATTAAATAAACATTTTTTTTGAAATATTAATTATCAAACCTGCCAGTACGTAGTTGCTTTTTTCACCATTAAGTACAGTTGGAGACAAAATACTTTGGTCGTCACTTTTCTGACACTTTAATGTAATTCAAGCTTAAATGAATGACAATTTCAAATTAATGACAGCTATTATATCTTTCTATCAAAAACATGTACAACTTGTCAACTATGATTGACAGTAGATAAAAATAAGGTTAACAGTCCTAAAGCATGCTTTACAATTTAATGTCACTTATATGACATTGACGACCAAAGTATTTTGTCTCCAACTGTACATAAAAAACTTAACATTCAAAAAAACATACAAGGTGTGCAAATATTTTAAGAAATGACATTGGAGATTAAAAATAACTCAGACCAACGCAATTTGCCTTTATTATAAGCAAACTATAATTAAAAAAAAAATCGGTTGTTGTAAATAATATAAAATATAAATTAAATCACCTAAAATTTTAATGTTTCTTATAAAATTTATAATAAAGCCAAAAAGTAATTATAATTGGTAATAAAACTGCCTACCTTGGTCGGAAAATCTGCTTTCAGTTCTTGGATGCCTTTCAACCAATAAGCTGCACACTTTTCTGATATCAATTCTATATTCAGGAAGGAACCTTGCTGAGGCCCATAATTATGGCCCGCAGTGGTACCTCTAACAATTCTTGGTGAAACATTAGTGACTAAATCTTTGTCCAAAGCAAAGGTTTTAGTGACTGTGTAAGCCCACCCTTGTTCAAAGGCTCTCCTTATCATGGCTGTAGTTGTAGCTGGTGGTGCTGAAGCAAGTCCAAATGGATTTTCAAACTTAAGTCCACACATTTCAACTGATATATCAACATTGTCAATTTCAGTGTAAAATAACGGAAGTTTTGGTGTTGTTGTCAAAGGTAAACCTTCTAAGAAACAGTGCATATACCAAGCTGCTGTTTTTCCGTCATTGACTGCTTCCACTGTAGTTTCTGCAACACCTGCTAAGTCTCCTCCCACCCAAACAGAAGCATGCGAGCTTTGCATTGTATTAAGATCAACACTCGGTAAGTTTTGATCGGTGAATTTCAAAGGTTTTAAAGCTTCAACAACTGAAAAAAATCATTATTACAAGTCCCAAAATTTTGAAACAAACCATCTGGATCTTCTAATCCTGAGCCAAAAGCAGAAATCAGGTAATTTGCTTTAACTGTAGTCAACTGTTCACTGTCTTGCACCCATTTACCATTTTTGTCCTGTTCTGTTCTACTAAACGTCACAGATACGATTTTACCCTCTTTAACATTGACTTTATGAGGTGACAAGAAACCAACTAACTCACATTTTTCTTCAACGGCTAAACTTACCTTCAATTCATTATTTTAGAAAAAAAAAACATAAAGAAACATTTTAGTTACCTCCTCTGGAACAGCTCGAATATTAGTAAATCCTCTTCGAAAAACGACAAACACTTTTTTAGCCCCACATCTCAAAGCAGAAGTTGCACAATCAAAAGCAGTATCTCCTGCTCCCAAAACAATGACAGTTCCTTTTAGACTTGGTAGAGTAGCTTTACAAAGGCAAACTCCGGGTTTGCTAGCTTTTGCTACTTTTGGTAGAAAATCTTTGGATGTGTAGAAACCCATCTCGGGGGTTAGATCTTTAAAAAGTGGGTTCAGTTTAGGCTGTGGTAAACCTATACCAACAAAAACTGCCTTAGTGTCTTTTAAGAGCTTTTCCAAAGTTATATCTTGTTTTGAAAGACTTCGACCAGTTTCTATTTTTACGCCCAAATCTTTTACCAGTTGGATTTCAAAATTAACCACGGAGATAGGCAAACGATATTGCGGAATTTCAGAAGTACTAAAAAGTAAAAATAAATAAATATTGATAAAAATGCATATGTAATAAGAATAAGTTGATTAAAAAGGCCAACAGAGTATTTATATTCATTCAAATATTTCTTTTTGTAGGTGAAAAAAACAAATACTGTTTAAGAGACAATAGATTGAAAATTAGTAAAATTTTAGTTTAGATTGTTTAGATAAGTTTAGATTGTACAATTCCATATTGAGTAAAATTCAGCCAAATATTTTTACGTACAAATAAAGCAATAAATAATCTTAGATTTTATCAACAATATTACTTAATAGCTTATTGATAAAAACCTTAATCCCCCTACGAAATCTTGTTTTTCGTAGATAGTGATATTATCATATCCCAGTCGTCCCAAAAATGTTGCACACGACAAGGAGGCCGGTCCAGCCCCCAGTAGAACAATTTTCGCTGTCGAATTTTTGGGTGTCGGTGTTTGAGGATCCCTAATTTGCTTAACACCCATTTTGCTAAAAACTTCTGTAGCAAATTGTTGCAAACCCCCGATATTTATGGATCCTTCTTCAGATGCATGTAAATTACATCCTCCCACACAGAGGTCACTAGTGGGACAGACCATGCCGCAGGTGATTCCCAGAGGATTATCCGAAAATATCGCCTTAGCAGCTCCATAATAATTCTATCAGAAAAAATTATGACGAAATTTGTTTGAAGTGGAATTGTTGCTTACTTTATTGGCAATGCTTGTGATAAAAGATTTGATGTCGAGTTGTGTTGGGCAAGATTTTTGACATGGAGCATCGGCACATTTTAAACATCTTGCAGCTTCTTTCAAGGCACCTCTTTCGCTGAGTGTTGTTGGTTTAATATCAAAGAAGTCGTTTTCAAGGTCTGGACAAGTCTGGTTTATATTTAGAAAAATATTTTTTTTTATTACAAGACCTACCTGACACTTTCGGTCTGCGTTTCGTTTCCAGTGTTTTTTATTTATTTTAGTTGCAGCAGATGGCATAAAATTTGATTGGGAACGCACGCGGGGATTTAAAGCGAGGATATTCTGTGACAATAAAATTTTTGATTGTATACCTAGTTAAAAAAATTACTACTTACTTCAATATCGGGTAAATCGACACTAGATTTTGCCATGGTGAAACGCACTGGCTGTCGACCACGACAAATCTAAACTATGATAAATGTTAAGATTGACATTTATTACTTCCTTATCTTCAATCACGTGATTATTAGAGGTCAGATCCACATCATTTATTTTTATTTGTCTAGTTGAGATGACGGAGTTCGCTCATGTTTATTTATTGAGTACTTTAGCCAAAAAATTTGATCAAAGATAATTGTTGCGTACACTTTTGAATCTCTGTGTGGTGATTTCTGTAACAAAAACAAAACTATTTCTAATTTCTCTATTTCTATTTTAGAATTTTACATGTTAATTCTATGTACCTACTTATCTATTAACAAAATATTTTTAGCAATAAAATCTTGTTTTGATTTTGAATTTTTGTCTATAAATTAATCTTCTTACAGTAAGTTCTGATTTTTATTATATGTAATCTTAATATACTTTATAATTGATTCATAACTCATATGTTTATATTATTTGCAGACATTTCCTTAATCGATTCGCATAATTAAAATATCAACAAAATTTTTGTATTAAAGGCAATCACTTTTTAAAAGATCCGATGACCTAGGAATGGGCCGATTTACGAAAAAATCATCATGTTCTTTGCATTGGGAAATGTCAAATTAATCACGAATAAAAATTTTATTGAAATTAAACGCTTTCGAAACCGGTCCTTAATTTTATATACTCGTAGGTACTGCGACAAGTAAGAAAATGTGGAAATTTTGAGTAATTAATTATGTCGTAACAATATTGTTACAGTACTGTAATTCAGCTAGGTATTTTTTCTTGAAAATAAATTGTGATTTATTTCATTTACCTATTTCTTAATGACAAGGGTATTATAAAACGACGAACTTTTAGATGAAACACCTTATATATCAATAACGATCAAAAAAAATTTGATTCTATTACAAAATGCAAAATCGTAAAAGAAACTTAAAAATAATTGTTTTATTTTTTTATTTTGATAAAGATTAGACAATGTTCAGAAACATGTATAATTTGATCCTTTAATTCTTTGATAAAACTTTGATCAATATCGGTCCAAGAAAACGGTTTGATAAAAACCTAAAAACATTAGTCTCCCCAAAAAAGTTATTTTTTCTTTTTTCTTTAAATCAATGTTAAAGGTGAAAAATTATTTTTCAAAGAAACGTAAAAAGATCTTGTAAGACTTTTATTCCAGTTTTTGAAACTAACATTACATTCTTTGTGCAGTCATTGGTTGCTGAGATATTCAATATGATCAAAGACAAAAAGATTTTCTTTCATTTAAAGTCAGTTTTCAGCAACAAATTGACTTACAAAAATACAAGAAAAGCATATTAAAGCTGTATGAACAGGCTATCCGACCCATGCATTGATTTAACTTCTAAAAAAATCTCCAAGTCCGTGGACCAAAAACAAAAGTGCGGTGAATTAGCACAGAAAAAATTTGCTAAAACATCTCAAAACTAGAAACTTCATAATGTTTTTTTTTTAATTTAGATACGACCATTTTTCGACGAGATACAACATGTAAAAAATCACCAACAAATTTAGGAAATATTTTTGTTTCCTTAATTTTTTGGAGTAGATGTCATGGTAAAATGTTTATTCCCTAAGAGTAAGTGAAACTGAGGTTTCAAGAATGATTATTTTTTTTTATATCCACTTTTTAAACTAATTGTTTCCCAAAGAGATTAGTGTAGGTATATTAGGTAATTAAAAATTGTGTCGTATAATTTTAACTGCAAATACACCTCAACAACTGACAAGTTGCACAGTATTTATGACCAATCGGTTATAAATAAAAAAATTAGTTTTCCAAAAAAAGCAAACTTTCATGTGGTGTTAAAAAATATTTCCAATACCCATAGAGCCTTTATTATAGTTTTTTTTTTCTGAAGCGGCAAATCCTCTTATTACTTCGTACTTTATGACGTAGGGGCCCAAAAAATTAAAATGCAAAATTTTAATCGTTTATTAATAAATTATCGAGTTCATATTTACAATCATCTAATTGTTACTTTAATTTAACTAGGACAGAAAACCGTAAAACATGGTGTTGAAAAAAATACACTTTTTATTTGAACATAAATGTTGTCGATTAACATTTCTAAAAATTTCTTTACTTCACGGCTTTTACTACCACATTATCATCGTGTTTATCTCTTGTAGCTTGATAAACATCACGCTCTTTATCAGGATATTTCGTCGGCAAGATTGGAGAATGTACGTTAACTTTGGCATGGTATCTGTAACAAAATTAGTGAAAAATCGAATTCGCTAATCTCAATTTTTACCTTATTCCAGCAATATCCACCTCGTAGTCACCACCTAAGATATAGTCGTTGGTTACCCGTAATCTCTCCCCATTTTTTCCATAATTTTCAACAAATCCTAAACAGACCTAGAAAATTAAATCATGTATCATTTACCCTAACAAAACTCAACTTAACCTGTTTTTTAAAAGTAAACCCGTATCCTGTAGTGGTACTCATCCCGACATATTTACCATTTCGATAAATGGGTTCACCACCCCAAGGCCATAGTTCGGTTTCATGACAATGATCATTCAAAATCAGCTGTATATACATTCGTTTAACCCCCTCTTCTCTTTGCCTTAGAAGAGCATCCCTTCCGATAAAATCAACCCCTTTCTAAAAAAATCAAACTTTAGTAATTACGTAATAAAACATTTTTTTATAATTACATCAAATTTAACTCGCCACACTCTTCCACATTCTAGAGGCGTTGTCCTCGTATCCAAATCCTGACCCCAGAAGGCGTAAAACTTTTCAACCCTTAGAGCTCTTGTCGCATAATATCCGGCATGTTTGATACCGTATTTCTCCCCCGCTTGGATTAGACTGGAGTAGACGTGTAAGGCAAACTCGTTGGGGATGTACATGACATAACCCAACTCCCCAGTGTGAGTGAGATTCATTGTACGAATTCCGTTAGCTAAACCAACATCCAGCATTTTAAAGGTGAAAAAAGGGAAATTTTTGGGCCTCAAATCGGTGTCTGTTAACTCAGAAAGCAGAGTTCTTGTAAAAGGCCCCATGATGGCTAGGGCTGTGAACATGCTAGTCACGTCTGAGATTGTTACAGTGGGTGGTAGGTGCTTCTGAAGCCAGACTTTACACCGCGTTTGTTGGATAGTCGGAGCTATCATCATGTAACTGAAAATTTTTGTGAAAAAATTTGAAAAAAACTGAGAGGAATAGTTACTGATTTTCAGACAGTCGGGCCAAAGAACAGTCGTTTTCATAACCGCCATACTTGTTTTGCATACCAGTATGTATTATACTACCGATAGGAACATCTACATCATTTGAACACAAAAACTGTAGCGCACTGACTACTTCGTTGCCTTTTGACTAAATAACCCCAAATTATACAAAGATAAAAAATCGGTAGTTTTGTTACCCAGAGATCAATTTTGGTAAAAGAAGAATAATCACTAATTCCTACACTTTCTCTACATGCAGCATATTCCGCAGCGACATTCTCGAACCATGGGGGCTTTCCAAAGGTGTTAGTGTAGGCCATTCTGCTTGGAGTTGACCAGTCTTGGGGATCTCCCTCTAAAGAAATACAATTTAAAATAGTATAATAAATAAATAATATCTAATTAAAATGTAGGTTGCAAAATACATAGATTCAAGCAAGAGTTTGAAAATTTTCAATTTTTTTGTAAAATTCGTATATATCAACTAAAATTAGATTTTCTTGAACAAAATCGTCCAAGATACCGATTATATAATCAGTTGTTATTTATGATTATGATCTAAAAGTTTCGAGATACCGGCTAAAAGTTGTCAATTTTCTTGATTTCTGCTCAAGTGCTTAAATTATAATCTCTCAAAGCTACAGAAATAAAAAACTGAACTGCCATCAAAATTTTTGTATACGAAATTGTCCAAGGAATTCGAATATGTAACCGGTTTTTACGTACTATTAATAGTTTCCGAAATATAGGGCAAAATTCTCAATTTTTTGTCAAAACGTCTCTGGTTAAATACTAGAATTGTAATTTTACATGGTCAACAATAAACAAATTGCATTAAAATTAGATTTTTCTTAAGCAAAATTGTCCAAGAATTCCAAACATGTATCCAGTTTATATTTATTTCTAAGAGTTTGTGAGGTATTGATCAAAATTTGTTATTTTTTTGCTCATTGGTCAATAAATTAAGACCAAAATTATTTATTTAATTTAAAATTGTGCAAAAACGCCGAATATGTAATCGATTTTTACCTACAATTAATATTTTTTAAAATATCCGTCAAAATTCTTAATTTTTTATAATATTCGTCTCTGGTCAAGTGCTAAAATCACAATTTTCCAAGATCATAGAAATTTACGAATTAGAGTGAAATTAGATTTTTATAGAAATCGGTGAAAATTTATTGATATTTTGTAAAAAACAAGAAGCAAATGTGTCTGACATACGATTTTTTCCATTTTTGGCCTTTTATGTTGTTTTTCTAGAAGAATCTGTTAATGCACCCAGAATGCGTTAATGAGGAGATGAAAATTTAAATTACAAATCCAAAAACAGATCACCATTAAAATAGAGAAATTTTCAATTGGCAAATTGAAAAAACTTTTCATCTCTTTGTGTATGCGATATGTTTAATATTGTGAAAAAACAATTCCTAGATTTTATATTTTAATGAGATTTCAATTGAAAATTTTCTACTTTTTGTTTATCAGTTGTCCTTTTAAAATATATCACAATGAAAATAGTAACTATGAATACTTCAAGAAAGCAATTACAATGTTGGTTAAAAAATGTTTGGATAAAAAATTCACCACCGTATGACTTATTCGCTACAAAAAATTTCACAATTTTGTCAAAACATTTCTGCAAATTGTCATTATGAAAACATCAAAATCAAAATATATTCAAAAGATGCATTGTTTAACTAATTTGTTGGTTTAGAACTCTTGCGTTAGCTCCTGAACCAACTTTCTCTTTTTTCCAAGAATTTTATAAAGGAACCTTGGAATTAAGGCTTACACTTCTTTATTTCCATTATAAATTATATTTTAGGAGCAGTTCTTTTTTAGAACAAAGTAAGCTAGTTACTAATTTATAAAATTATATTTGAATTTTTAACAAAATTGCTTTATCTTCTGCAAATGTAAATCCATTTTGTCACATACATTATATCGATCAGAAGAGGCGAAACTATAAATTGAAAAAAATTCTTACTATTAGCATTTTTGTCAATTTTCGTATAATTAATTTTACTTTGTTTCTTTTAATTTCGATGACTAAAAACAGAAAGATAAATATATGGTGACGCCACAATGATAGTTATAATAAAATGAATCAGAACAAACAAAAAATATATTACATAATTTATGAAAAATTATTATTCCTTTTATTTGAAATTTTTGCAATTTTTACTCTTTTTACAGAAAATTACAAAATTACAGTTTTCAAACTATTTACTCTACCGTTCCGTAGATGGCATGTCTCTAGCCAGTTCCAAAATGTACCACCAGAAGAATATGTCGCCTGTGTACAGATGGAAAGCCGTTCAATCAAGTTTTCAAAGGGAAAAAAAATTGAATTTTTAAAAAATACAGTAAACAAATTTTTTTTTTTATAATTAGATGTTGTTCCTGAATTAAAAAAGTACCTCACACACACAATAACACAGAGTTTTTATCTCATTTTGAGTATTTGTAACGGATTGCAAAATTCAATAGTTTTTATTTTTTTATGAAAAAACGCATTATTTAAATTGCATGAAAAAAATACAGTAACATAAGTAGATAATCTACAATACACCAAAAATAAATCAAAAAATTCTTCCGTCCAGTCTACAAAATAGAGTATTTTTTAAATTAATTTTTAAACGGCACAGACAAAAAATTTCAAACTAATAAATATTGCTACCAAAGCCATCAAAAAGTTATGATATTTTTTTCAGAATTTTTAAATAACGATTTATTTTTTTATTCAGTATAGTTCAACCTTAATGTCACATAAAATTGTAAGCAGATTCTAGTCAAAAAAAAAAGCGAAATAAGACGACCAAAAATTATAATTCAATAAATTTGGTCGTAAGTTGCCCTTTTATCAAATTTTCTAGCAAATTCAAAACCTGCCTATTCTAGTTATAATCGTGGTGTGTAGAAAAACTTTACCTAAGGCGTGTTCTGTGTCAAACCAAGCAGGCCTTTCATACCCCATAACTTGTCCAAAAACAGCGCCAGCTTCGCGCAATTTCGGATAAACCGGCGACATTCTCAAATTCCTCCCTGTGCTAAACTCGTGAAAAGGATAACAAAGCCCGTAATGCAATCCCGGTACTTCCTTAACCCGATCCCGCAGGAATTTCCGGTTATTGTGCAAACCCAAAAAGCGGGAAACTTCCAATTCGTAAATATCAAATGTGGTTTCTCCATTTACTATAATCTCTGTGGTTAGTTTTCCAACACCGCCTGCTGCGGATACACCGACAGTTTTCATACCAGCGGCTACTAAATAATTTCTTATCTGCAATATTAAACGAAAATTATTGAAGGCAAGTTTTTTGACAAAAAATAATTACTTCGGGGGCTTCGCCAACTATCCATTTACAGTCGGGACTAAAAGCTTCAGGGCCGTTACAAAGACGGTCCAATACCGCTGAACCCAAATGGGGAACTCTGTGAAGAAGTTGTTCGAGTAATATATGAAAATGATCCCAGTCTTCTGGCAGATATCGCTCTTTACTGCTCGCTGAAGTATTTAATTCAGTTTAGTAATTGGGAAAATTCGAAACACTGATGATTTATTAGTACAAATGGATTTACTAAAAGCGATACGTTCTCGTATACAAACGACAATGGTAATAATTAAGTACAAAATAAATGACAATATTGTTACTCTTATTGTTTAAATTTTTGTCTTGTTAGACATTTATTTTCGCAGTAGATATTTGATATTAATGTAATTGAAGCAAATTATATCCATAATAGTAATTTTACAATACTTTTTACATGCAAGAAAGTTTTTTTATATCTCAAATAGTTTTTAGAGATATTCGCTATCAAATATCACACCATGGGCGTCGTTTGAAACGGGCAAGGTGGGGAAGTTGTCAAATGTGTTTAATTTTATCACTAGTTATAAAATATGACATTATTTTATCAGTAGTGTTAAAAAATGTGACATAAAGAAAATAAATAACACTATTTTCATAGCAACGCCACGACCTAATATGATTTTGGAAAATTACTGAAATCACAGATTTTAAATTCGAATTTGATGCCTATGCTTTTCACAACCAAATTGGAAAAAATCTTGTATAAAACACGATTCAATGGCTGTTTTTTGCACACGTCTAGTAAAAAACACGCTCATTTTGCAAGTTGTTTTTTTAAACATTTTTTAACTTTTTTATCATAGACGATTTTGGTTGAGAAAAACAAAATTTAAAACTTTTATTTCTTTCATTTTTTATTTCTATTGATTATTGTTTTTTGAATGTATTTTCAAAGAGTATTTATTTTATGTTTTGATTTCCAAGTGTTACATTTTTCTTAGTATTTATTAGTTCATGTTATTTACTGATTTGTGTTTTTTATGCTTAACTTTTATAATTTTTATATTTTTTTTACTTTTACACTTTTATACTCCAATTTATGGTTTAGAGATTCCTGTCTTATGGTTTCATTTATAATTTCCGTTAGAAAAAATATGGTTTTATGTTCCTATTTTGTATAACATGTTTTTGTGTTTGTAATAAAATATGTATTTTTAAACTGCGATGAAGTTGCCCCTTTCTAAAAAAATTTGTAACGACGCCCATGTATCACATTCTAACTAAACAATTTTTTGGTCCCACTTACTTTTATAGTATCTAGATCTTATTAAAATTACAACAAAAGTGCGCATTAAAATTAAATATTGTATTATATCTTTATAAAAAAAATTCACAAAAATTTTATTTAAAAACCAAACAGTCTAATGTGCATATTTTGTCGTTATATTATTGTAAAAAGTAAACTGGTAAACCAATCGAATTGTAGTTTAGGCCTTTGCTTGTGGAAAACAGTCTTTTCGTACCTTTCATGCGGTCCCGAGGGTCCCAAAACTTAAATCCTCAGAAAGTGAGGTTATGTTGCATGAAAATGTTTACTTTTTTAATTTTTACTGTTTTAATGTTTGATTTCCGTATCCTCATCGCCAATTTATGTTATGTTTGTAAACACACAGGATGAATAAAGCCACTATGGCAAAGGTAAAACACTAACAAAAAATTGAAATAATTTTAATAAATTAATGCAAATCTGAATTAACCAATTTCAATGAATTAACCAATTTTGAATGAAACTAAAGTCTCAAGTGATTGGCTGCTCCATGGTTACGCACATTATAATAATGGCCGACCTCAAACGGACCAATCATATCATTGTATTAAATTTTTGAATGAATCCAAAAATTTAAACTGATTGTTTTTTTTAGATTATTATAATGGCCGACCTTAAACGGCCCAATCACGATGCTTACAACTTTTACGTTAATTCTTTACAATTCCCAATAGTTTTTTTAGTCCAATTGTTAGCAAATATAACCAAAACTTTCCGAGTTAAAAAAAAAACCGAAAACATCGTCTTGTAGGAAATTTTAAACTACTAATAGAAATTTAATTACATTAATATCAAATCTCTTGTGCAAAAAACTAAATCGGCTACTCACCAGGTATCCTGCCATCCTCAAAAGCTGGCTTGGCAACAGGTTCAAACCCACCAGCTAAAAGTCTTCCTTTATTTTCCCTGAAATAAATATGACCATCTTGGTCACGAACAACTGAAAATGTGTTTTTATAAAACACGTAATAAAATAAAGCAATTATCAACCTGGAGTCATCGAATCCAATCCTGGAATTGGTTTAGTATGCAAATAATAATGTTCAACAGCATGTAGAGGAACTTTAACATATGGTTCTGACAACTGTCCAACTCCTCTAGCCCAAAATCCTGCACAGTTAACAAAATATTCACAATCAATTGGGCCCAAATCTGTCTCAACACCGGACACCTTTCCATTATTTTGATGAATTTTTGTTACAGTGCAGTTTTCAACAATTTTAACACCTTATAAAGATATAGTTTGGAATGGAATTAAAATTTTGAGTCACAACTAACCCATTTTTTTGGCTTCCCCTGCCACCGACATGCAAGTTTCATAAGGGTCACCTACGCCATCCCCTGGTATCCAGAGACCTCCAACTAAGTCATCCACATTTACTAAAGGGCATTTTTCTTTGCATTCTTGGGGCGATAATAATTCACAGTCAATTTGCCACGATCTAAAAATTAATTGTAATGAAACAAATTAAAATTTTTATGAGAAATATTACACTGATTGTGCTTTCATTCGGCGAAAAACTGTCATCCTATCCCTAGTTCTGGCCAAATTGAGACTTCCACACTGCTTCCACCCAGTTGCTAGCCCCTTTGACTCCAAATGTTTGTACAATTCCACACTGGATTTAGTCAGTGTCACTTGTGCTAAACTTGGCTTGAAAACACCGATAAGTCCAGATGAGTGCCATGTTGTCCCTCCTCCGACCCTTGAAATTACATAGTTAGCGCAATGTACCCCCAATTTAAAATAATTACCTGTTTTGTTCAATTAAAACTGTCTCTGCACCCCATCCCAGCTTCGCTAAATGGTACACTACTGAAGCCCCCATGACGCCCCCGCCACACACGACAACTTTTGCCTGTCGTGGGGGTACAATAGTCTCGAGAGGTCCGTCTTCGACATCGTAAATATTTTCAGTGTCTAATTTTCTGCTGGAAGACAGGAACCTTTGGCACTGGGTTCGAAAATAATCTTTTCGTATTCTACGCAACATCTTCGCGGGAAGTCATTTAAACGTGAATTCAAATGTTAATTTGACATGAAGCCCTGTGATGCACTACGAGAGGAAATTAAAGAAAATTAAATGAATTATGCGACTTCGAAAGTTATCTTTGACATTTTGTTGTTTTGAGGTTAGAATTTGGGAAGTTTTGTGAGATGCAAGATCAAGGTCGTCAAGGTGTTACAATTCCAAGGTGGGACATTGTGGTTTATATTTAATTAATTAGTATTAATTACCAATTGAAAAATCTGAATTGTAAATTTAAAATAAACCTTATGTTGATTTTTATTTATCATTTTACAAAAGATATTTACCTAAATCGCATATGTAGGAAATCAAAATACAAAATTGTAGAAATCAGAGGAAATGATAAAGAAATACGTACGGGGGAAATTAAAGTAAATAAGGAAATCAAAGGAGGAATGTCGGTAAAATCATAAAGAAAGCAGAGGCAATCGGTGACAAAATTGAAGAAATATCAGAGGAAATCATGAGAAAATCACAGGAAATCGGTGTACAAAATTGAGTAAATTAGCGGAAATCATGAATAAATCAATGGAATTCAAGGGAAATCATGAAAAATCAGAGGAAATCAAAGCAAAAAAGAAAGTCTGGTGTACACAACACCCGTCACTCCGGATGTACACTGCAAAGAAAATCGGTGTACAAAATAAAAAAAATCAGAAAAAAACATTAAGAAATCAGGGAAAATCAGATTTGGAAATCATCAGAAAATCAGAGGAAACGGTGTATAAAATTGAAGAAATCAGAGAAAATCAAAAGAAATTATTAAAAAAATGCACATGCGCAGGTCCGTAAGTCTTTTTCTTCATTTGTGGCAAATTAAAGGAAATTATAAGAAAATCAGATGAGGAATTCCGAGAAAATCATGAAGAAATCAGAGGAAATTGGTGCATAAAATTGAGGAAATCATAAAGGAATACAAGGGAAATCATTAAGAAATCAGGGGAAATTAAAGGAAAAAATAAAATCTGGTTTACAAAATACTGAAATCGGTGTACAAAATTAAAGAAATTATAAAAAAAATCAGGGGAAATCATGAGAAAATCACAGGAAATCGGTGTATAAAATTGAAAAAAGCAGAGAAAATGTGAAAAAAAAATGCACCTGTGCAGGTCCATATTCTTCAAAACTCAGGGGTAAATAAAGCAAAAAGGAAAACTGATATGTATAGAAAATTTGGTTCAGTCGTTTTCGTTTTATTTTTAAGTCAACGATTTTTGGTATTTTGTTTCAGCTTTGAGATTATAGTAAAAGCAAATAAAATAATGAAATTTAAACTGCATTTCTTTTCAATTTCTTTTTAAACCATTTCAAATCGTTAAAAAAAGATGTTCTTATTACTAAAATATAAATATTTTTTAGATACACAAAAATCTAGACCTATATGCACCATGTCTAAGAAATTATTGAAAGAAAAACCCTAATCGAACATATGTTAGTATACGTAATACCACAGATAATACCTATTCTTAATTTAAGAGTGTAGAACTTGTTATTTATCTATTTTTACGTTTATTTAATAATTTTTTTTTTGTATACGCTTCCGAAAACAGGTGTTTTAGAGACTCATTTGAGTCCCTAAAATGAGTCTTTTCCGGCCTCAAGAAAATAGTACGCAAAACGGTTATTTTGGGTACTCAGTCCCCAAAAAACAGTTTTTGCGTACTAAAAAACATTGGTTACTATGGTGGCGAATTTTTTTTTATTAATAAGAGGTGTGACTTTGTGTTTTGGGAGCTTTAACAAAAAAATATTGTATGCACCACGTACGCAAAAGCTTTTAGGTGACTCCTCTCATTAAAGACTGGCTCCTACGTCGCCTCGTCATTAATTACGATTCGTCCCCTAAAACCCTATTTTGCGTACTTGATACATAAATAGCTATAAGAGTTCATTGTTTATGCTTTTAATTAAATAATTAAGTTTTCTTAAATTTTTTTAGTTCATAATCGGGATCCGAAATAAGTTTTGAGTACCTACATAATTCATCAAAAAAAAAAAATTAATAATTTACCTTAGACTGTGCATATACGAGTATATTTTTGTTTATCTAAATGAAGTATAATAGAATTAAGTTCATAATAACAGATGTGTTTTCATCTAACTATGTATATACACCTAAGTAATTTCCAATTCCATTTTCATTTGGAAAATGATGAGCACCAGCAGATCATTTAACAAAATAGTTCGATTATTTACTTAGTGATCAAGATACAATGCAAAAAAAATATAATAATATATGTGAATAAGTCAAGGTTAATGTTATTTGACGATTAAATCATGAAAAATTACAATAATTTTCTCATGTTACCATTGGTATTTTATCAGATATAATGGTAATACATTTTTGATGATAGTCTGTTAGTGAGCTTGCAGTTGGTTGCACGTAACATTCAACCAAGGGTATTGTCATATTTTATGCAAGAAAATCAAAAAATTCCAAATTTCTTAAGTCCCTTATCAAATACAATATAACTATAAGCTACAAACATGAAAATAATCGTAAATACAAAAATTTTAGTTTATTGTGCAGTGACTGGGACTGTGCTTTGCGTAGTCGGAGTACTTCTTGGTTTTAAGGTGTTTCCAATGCTTGTAAATAAAAAAGTTTGGGAGGTAAGCCATAAATCATTTATGTATGAGCATATTATATTTAAAAATAGCTGAAATAAAACTAACAATAACAATTCAAGTACGCGTGCAACAGGTAGGTACCTATCGTTGCTCCATTTGTATTTATGAATGGTAATGATAGTATAAAATTTTTTAAAACAGGTTGTGAACAGGCTGTGTGTTGTCTTTTTGAGTTTTTGAAAGTTCCATTGTCAGTTCTTTCAAAATTAAATTTCTTCCGATTTTTTTATGTTTGGTATTCTTAAACCACCTTTATAATATACTTAACAAACATAAAAAAGAACAAAGAATGTTAAAAAGATCTTGTGTTTGTTGCAAAGTAGCGCACAAATTAATACCCAAAAATTAACTACATAAGAGGATTTTTCTTGTTTTAACAACGACGCGAAAAGTCACAGCAAAAAAGTTTGATCATTTTTATGTCATGGTTTTTTTCTTAGAATGTTTTATATGTAAGTCAAATACACGGGGTGGCTCAAATTTAAACTGCCACTCATAGTATGAAAGATATTAATTTATTATTTGTATTTACCTAGCTATTTATTAGTTTGACAATTTTATGCTTATTTAAAATTTTTGTTGTTTTCACCTAATTTTTATTTTTAAGGCTAAATATTCTAAAATGTCCATAGTGAAGCATTAAAAAAATTGAGCTGTTATCAACAATAAAGATTGTAAAAACAGACAATTTATATTAAAAAATTATTTAGGTATGTGGAAAAATAAAACCCAAAGATGAATAAATATAATAATTGATATATTGTATAATTGAATTACTTATTAATACGTGGGTATTACTAATGTTTCTAGAATTCCGTTTTACAAGAAAATACTCGTCAGTGGGACCTCTTTAAAAAAATTCCGTTTCCATTTCAAATTAAAATCTCCTTTTTTGATGTTCAGAACGCAGATGAGATACTTCAAGGAGCAAAACCTGTTGTTAAAGAAGTTGGACCTTACATTTACAAGTAAGTGAAAAATAAATACTAAACTACTTTAGTAACTAACCAATAACTTCTGTTATTCCTTTGTTAATACAGTAATATTATAGAAAATCGATAAATACCTTTTTCTAATTATTAAATTATTATTATCCAAGGACACATTTTAATAATTTATATGTAAAATTGTTTCCAAATTTGAAAATTTAGTAAGATAGTCTAGTCAATGAATGCTCAAAATATTTGTTTCCAGAATCTTTAATTCATTAATTTTTTATTCATACATACCTGTAGGTACACTCATTATACATAAACTCGCATTCACATATTTAGCAAATTTTAATCAGTTATCACTTATTATTGTCAGTAATTCCACAAATGTTTTTAATTAATCACCTGGGTTTATCTAAACCTGTTTCAGATTGTTTCGCTGGAAAGATGGCATAGAATGGAACGATGATGAAATATCGTATTATGATTACATGAAGTTTGAATTTGATAAAGAAGCTTCTGGAAAATTATCAGATGAAGACGTTTTGACTATTCTTAATTCCCCTTTTAACGTAAGTAGGTAATCATAATCAACGTATTTTTTTTTATTTATATAAAAATTGGACTGTCAAAAATTAAATTCTCATAATTAAATGTCTTTAACTTTTCATTATGTAAATGAAAACAATTTTTTATCGCAAAAATAATCATCTTTGAATTATGCAAAAAATATTACTAATAAAAAACGTAGATTGTTAACAGTCATCTATCACTGCTGTCAATGATTTTTTCTCAAGCTTTAATTGTTTGTAATGTAATGAATAAAACGTTTAAACTAAAAGGCAACTACAACCTTGCCACATTTCATTTCACATTCGAAAAAACAAAAATATTTTTTTAAATTATTTTATGAGTACGTAGAAGCTATTTAGCAACAACTTTTTTTATCAGATTCGAGTTGTTTCCGTCTTGTTTACATGGAAAGTATTTCTAACAATGATATAAATATCATCATAAATACCTATCTATCTATGTACTCGTATCTACATACTTGCAATCACTACTGATGATCATAAATTTATTTAAAATGTTGATTCACTTATTTAACAGGCTTTGCTTATGACTGTCGAAGAACTATCAACTTCGCTCTTGGCCACCGTCAACGATGCTCTGCCAATAATTTTCAACAAAAACAACGGCCTTTTCATAACCGCAAAAGTAAAAGATTTACTATTTGAAGGAATGATAATTTGCGAAAATGGAGGTGAAAGCGATTTTGCAGCAAAAATGATATGCGGGCAATTCAAAGCCAAAGCTAAAGTCGCCAAAGGCATGTCCATCGTTAACAAATCTATAAATTATTCATACCTAAGTTTTGTAAATATTGTTTCCAACATACATAGTTTTGGTTCATAAATCTTTCTAACATTTTTAGAAAAATAACACTCATCTTGGACGATTAACAATTAAAAGCGGCTTAAAGGAAAAAGAAGACATTTCAACTTTGGTAAAATATAATAATCAAAGTTACGTTTCCGTTTGGAGGGATGATAACTCAGTTTGCAATGATATTAAAAGTACTACGACGTTTCGGCCTTATGTAACGCCAAATATGACATTTGATGTGTTTTCCGAGGACATCTGCAGGTTATCTAATTTTTTAATTAATTAAAGAATTTTTTCGTGAATGTTAACAAAGTTCATTATCAAGGAATTTATAAATAAAACAAAATGTCACTGACATTATAAATTATCTATCTTTGCATATCATTAAACAATATGAATAATATTACAATCAGAAGCACAAGATAAAAAACTGTAATTCAAATTCCTAATACAAAAATTACTTAGATCAAATTAGATTAAATTCTCTTCGACAAAATAATGTAGATAGTACCTACTCGTATCTAGTTTATACATACTTGTATCGTGAAATGAAAAGTTCGATTTACTTCAATAATGCACATGTTCATGATAATAAGCTTTGTTAAAGACGATTTCTGTGTTTGATATTTGGAATTTAACGATTCTTAAAATTTTTAGACGTTTAAAAATGGCATATCAGTCCACAGAAACCGTAAAAGGAATACAAGGATATAAATATGTTGTAACGAATGATTCTTTCAATGCTCCGAGAGAAAACACAGACAATTATTGTTACTGCGTTAACCGGAGTAGAACATTGGAAGGAGATTTCGGATGCTTACAAGATGGTCTTTTGGATATGACAAATTGCGTAGGTAAGAAATAAATTGCGATATTTTATTGGTATTTCCAAACATTAACATTGCTTAACAAGGAAATTTATACACTTTTCTCCACTTGAGAAAGATAAGAAACGTTTTTTATTATTAAATCCTAACAAGATAAAATATCAGAAGCATTTATTATCAAACAGATTTAGTTTATTTTTGCAACATATTACAATGTTCTAATTACAAGAGGCTACAAAATTACAGAAAATGTAGAATGCTATCCATGTTCAACACCTTCAAATTGATTAAAATTAACTATTTTTTAATGACTATTACGTAGTTTTATTTTTAAAATCTAATGATCCATATTAGGATATTTTTTCACCAGTTTCATTCATTTTTAATCAAAATTACAATTGCATTAAATTGGGCTTCCCACATTTTAAAAAATAGTATTTTAGTATAGTTTTAAAATTCTTATATGGACATTAAAATACACACCTATGCTGCAACATATTTTTTTTAGTTCGTAACCTGATTACCTACATTTATTGAATTTGAGATCACGTAAAATGAAATGTTGATCCTGCAAGTGCATGTTAAATAAGTTTTTTATTATTATTTGCATTCGTTGATTAAAGCTGCGTGTTTCTTGGGTCAAGGTATAGAAATCCTGTTACATTTTTAAGCTTGTTGTGGGAAATATTTTACTCTAATCATCAAATTAAAAATTAGAATAAAAAAAACAGAATTTAGTAAACACACTGATATTTTATAATTGATGTATTATATTCACTTTGTAAATGTCGGAATGTCAATGGAAGAGATATACAAAACAAATAGTAAAGCAGTTGTATTTCTAAATCTATTTTTGTGATATAATGAAATGATCTAACAAAAAATAAACACCCGTGCAAATTTTTTAGCATTTATCCTTGAAAATCTTAGATAAAACAAAAATATGATGATATTATGCAAATGTAATTTTTATTATTAAGTTGCATTCATAATTTTGCTTTTTTATGTTCTATTAAGGAAGGAAATATCAAATCAATTCATTTATTTGTTTGCGTGCTTAACATATTATTGAAATTATGAAGTCGTGTCAAAAGTGAAGGTAATCCGCTAGAATCCAATTATTTCGCATTTATTAGTGTCCTCAATAAAAAAAATCAAATGCGTTTTGTACAAAAGCTAGGAAAGTGAATAACCTTACTTAATCTCGAAAATTATCGATAAATAAGGTAGTTAATAAATAATAACACTATCTGTTTCAATAGTTTTGTTTACTGTAGAAGATGTTTCATAATATAATGAAACAACAATCAAAAATAAAAAATTGGTATTCGTAATTTGTAAATGTCATACCTTTCTAACCACAATAAAGGGTCACACCTCATGTCTGTCATTAGAACATTTTAACACCTCTTGTAATTACCTACAATTAGTCTTTTTTTTAAGTGATCATTTACACCGTTTCCTTAATGCAAATGAGTCTTCTTCTTAGCTCTGGTAATCAGTGTCAGTAGTCTTTTAAGAGAACAGGTCTGGGTCACTAAGAATTCGCTATAAAACGCACGTTTACCTTCATCACTTCTCAGTTAATAATGGCAGTACTCTTCGCGCTCCTTCTAATCGCAACTTTTGTTGAGTGTAAAGTGTACGAAAGATGTGAGCTAGCTCGCGAATTGAAAGAAGTTCATAAATTTCCCGGCCATCAAATCGCGACATGGGTTTGCATTGCGAAACACGAATCAACCTTCAACACATCGGCTGTCAACCGTGGTAGTGGAGATCATGGTCTTTTTCAAATAAGCGATTTGTATTGGTGCTCGCCACCTGGAAATGGGTATGCCTGCAATGCCCCATGTTCGGCCTTTGAGGACGAGGACATAACGGATGACATTGCATGCATTAGAAGGATATTTAAAGAGCATTCCGTTATATCAGGCAATGGGTTTAATGCATGGGCTGTGTATCCCTTGTATTGCAAACAAGATGTGGCAAAATACATAGAAGGATGCTTTGATAACGAAATTGATAGCAATATTAGTGAAACGACTACCACTACAACTGCTTCACCTAATGATGATGATGATGTCTACGAGTTTCCACCATTACCCACACCTCCAAAGAAAAACAAACAGCAGGAAAAATCCGTCTACGAGTTTCCACCACTTCCCACAATTACAAGAAAAATTTCCAGCACAGCAAAACTAGTGTTAACAACTCGTAAACCATTTGTGTCAACTTATCGACCCTTTAGTACTGTTCAACCATTCAAAAATATAAAAATATCAACAACTACAAAACCAACTACCAAATCATTTTTGTTTCTAAAGCAAGACACTTCCACAAAACCATTCACACTTTCTAGTACGAAACCAAAAATAAGTGTCACAACCACTTTCACGCCTTTTAGTTTTCTTAAATCAACCACTATCAAACCATTATCATTTGTATTTGAAAATGTCCATTCGGATCATAAACGTGAACAAAAATTGTATGGTGTAGATCAATCCGAATATTCGTTTTTATGGAAAACTAATGGTTTTAGATTAGTTAGAAATTAGTTAGTTATGTTAGTTTCTTAGTTTGTAGTTAACTTAGTTAATGATAATTTTAAGGTGCTCCTGTTCTTTTATCTTTTCCACATTTACTCTATGGTGACAAGAAATATTTAGCTTCAGTTGATGGTCTACATCCTGATCCAAAACTACATGAAACTTTTGTTATCCTAGAACCGGTAAGTTTAACAAAAATTTATTACAACATGCGCTACACTTAACAACTGTTTTTTTCTTATTTGTAATTACTTGTTTCTAGATAAAAAATTAAAAAGCAATTATTTACTGAATTTATGAATAAATATTTGTTCGTAATCGGTAGAAATAATTAAGTAAACAAATTATTGACTTTTCAAATGGTGTAATGTATTTATTTATGACTTTTATTATATTTAATTGTTTTAAGTGATAATCTCACAATAGATGTAGGTCATGTAGGTGTAGAAACATACAAATAAACTAAAAAATATGTTTTTCCAAAAAAATTTTGCAACAACGGAATTACGACATCGTAATCGGCTGAAAAATGTGTCGCATTTTTAAAAATTTCTATATTTAATTATAAATTTTAGATTATTTATTTTGTTATAAGCCGATTATTATTATATTTTTTTTAATAAAAATTACCCTACACTTACTCGTACACTGTAACTTCCAAATACATAACAATAAAAAATTAATTTTCAGACTTCTGGAGCTCCCTTGCAAGTAGCTAAAAGAGTTCAGTTTAATATGTTTATTCGGGCTATTGAAGACATCACAAGTATTGAAAATGTAACAAATGCACTTGTCCCCATATTTTGGCTAGAAGAGGTAAGATTATTACAATTGTTATCATTTTACTAAAAATTGCGTCACTTTTTTTAATAACAATTTTTATTGTTGCAGTCGATGACATTAGATGACCAATACATCAACATCATAAAACAAACTTTACTCAACAATTTGAAAATTTTGGAAATAATCAAGTGGAGTTTGATTGGAGTGGGAGGTGCAGTTAGTTTAGTTTCTTTACTTCTCTTTGTAAATAAAAATTAAGTTTATTATTTATTTTCTATCAATTAGTGTTGTGTACATTAATTTTACTTGATAAAAAGTGCTTGCAAAAATATTATAATATATGTATTAATTATAAAATTTTTAGTTGTACTTAATTATCTCTTATTTGAACAAAATAACGCTTAATTTATATTATTGTTTTATTTCTCATGTTTAATATGCGAATGTCGTTGTCTGATAAAAATCATTTTGAACTTCAATTTTTATTGGTTATCATCCGGAGTTGTCCAAAATCAAAACAAAATTATTTCAGTAGTTATCACATAACACTCATCTTGTCTCTACCCCAACTGATAAACAAGATTAAAAAAACACGAAATCATTAGCAATAAAAAGTTTATTTACTCTTGTGAAAACAATTACTTACTTCATTTCCAGAAAAGTGCAATAAACTTTTGCAATAAAGTATATTGTATGAACTCGATATTGTAATCAGAAAATCCAACCACTATATGTGTCACATGGCATTTGGCTTTATTATCAAAACATTGCGAAAAAACGAGGTTGTGATTGTATATAAAACACAACTTCGCATTTGAGCATTAGTACATTCAAGATGAGTCCTTTTAGCAAATTACTCGTATTCCTTGTTTCACTTTGTGTCCTACTTCAAGTCGAAGCAAAAGTTTTCAAACGATGTGAACTTGCCAAAGAATTGAAAAACAAGCACCACATCCCTGGATCTCAACTAGCAACATGGATGTGTATCGCAAAATACGAATCAGATTATAACACCAGTGCTAGGAACACCAAAACAGGAGATCATGGGTTGTTTCAAATAAGTCAGATTTATTGGTGCAACAACAGCAACAAACCAGGAAAAGGCTGCAATGCGAAATGTTCCGATTTTAGAAATAACGATATTCGAGACGATGTTGCGTGTATTAAGAAAATCTACGCCGAACATCAAAAACTTTCTGGAAATGGGTTCAATGCTTGGGTAGCTTACAAGAACCACTGCAAAGGAAATAATGACCACTTCATTAAGGGATGTTTTTAAAACATTTACGTTTTAATAAATAAGGATGTTGTTTTATATCAGTATGTAACGTTTTAATAAAATTTTATTGGTACCAAAAAACTGTTGTTGCTACCTAGTAATAACAATCTCCTACTTCATCCGAGTATTACTCAAAAAACAGCTCATCTTGAAGCACACTTGATGGACAAGTAAAATTCTATTTTTGTATTATACCTTAGAAACATTACTTCACTTTCATTATTTACAGCAAACACTCAATATTTACAATTGCAAAAGGATGATAATCTTAGATAAAACAATAGCCTAGCTGCTATATAAAGCACCACCTTTTTTGCAAAATTAGTAGTAACTTGTCTACAGTTGCAAAAATGAAACTTCTCGCTATAATTGTTCTTTTTGCTTATGCTTCCCTAAGCGAAGCAAAAATTTTCGATAGATGTGAATTCACCAACACTATTAGGGGTTATGGTTTGTTCCCTGAAGAGCATATTTCTACATGGGTTTGTATCGCAAACTACGAATCTGCTTTCAACACCGACGCCACCAACACTGTCACTGGTGATCATGGAATTTATCAAATAAGTCAAATTTACTGGTGCTCAACTGGAGACAGTCCTGGAGGTGGTTGCAATAAGAGATGTGCTGATTTCCATAACGACGATATCAGCGACGATTCCGTGTGTGCCAAAAAAGTCTTTGATGAGCATCAGGGAATTTCTGGAAATGGGTTCAATGCCTGGACAACTTATGCGCCTTACTGTAGTGGAGATAATTCTGGATGGATTAATGGCTGTTAAATTTATCTTTTTTTTGTTACTTTGAGTAAAAAATGTACCATAAATATACCTTTACTTCTTACCATAACTGATAGTAATTAATGAGTAATAACTACGATGAGTAATATAAGAAAATACAATAAAATCAAATAAATGTGCAAAGTAGAGAACAAGACTCGTATTGATATAGGAACAAAGCGATCAAGTTTCTGAAACATTTTTAAATTTGTATCAGAAGTATTACTCAAAATCTATGTAAAAGTACCTAATATTGAAATTTTGATAAATCACCTGTTATTTGGAAAGCTACAACATCAACTCACCCCATAAAAAAATTCCGATGAAAGTAAAAATTTTAAAACTATTAACAAATTCTGCTATTATGTATTTGATGACAAAAAATGCACACAGGACGTCCCAATATTCTCCTAACAGTATTACCTATGATGCATTATTATACCGGGTTGTGTCAAAACTCGCACCCCAGAGAAAAATTTCAAGTTAGATAAGATACCAGAAACTTGGAAAAAAGGTTTAGAAAATTATATCTATCAAAAAATTTAAATTTGCTATTTATTTTTTAACATAGCAATTTTTTATGTCTATTTAATGATAGATACTGTTGATTAAAATACTTTAAAGAGAAAACAACCGGTAATTCGTAAGCCAGACTCAAAAAAATTAGTTTCCTGCTGAGTGTTTCCGTTTTAAATTCGTTTTATAAGGTATCAAAACAAGCGGTTTTTTTTTAAATCATTGTTTCCAAAAAATAATAATTAATATAAATTAAAGTAATATATGTACCTATTTAAAAAAATATTCTTATTTTAAGAACAAAATTTTGCTTTGTTGTCAAAATTGCAATTTATATAAAAAAAAATAATTTAAAATAAAGTAGATAGTAGATAGTTGTAATCCTTTAGATCATGACCTTCATGAGAAAAATGTTTTATTTGGTAGGTTGCCATTTAAAAAAATAAATGATGTGATCTGAAAAGTACAGATTTCTTAAAAAGACTTAATTACTAGGTTATTAAAATGGCTTGTCTGAGGCAAAATCAATTTATTTATTCTTCTTCGTTTTGTGTGCAATTTAAGAAGCCGAAAATACAAAGTTTAGTGTACTCGAGGATAAAAATTTATACGAAGTTTGATTTTTTATTGTTAAAAGATTTGCATATCGATGCACATTTGGCATATGTTAGAGCATAGGTATTTCTTTATATCTTCTGCATATTTTTGTGAAAATACGTGCATATATATGCGCATATTTTACGAATTTTTCGTGTATATAATCCGAGCCTTACTGATGATCTTGTATATGTTTTTTTTTATAATTATTTAGTAAAAGTACAAAAATTTTGTCAATATAAACCACAAATAACATTAAACAGAGTTACAATTTAGGAAACAGCTTTTTTGTTTCCTCTTCTAACAGCCTGTAGCAAAAAAAATTGGAAAATTTTTACAAAGTGTTAGATTATGACATACAGCACATCGTATAACATCTCTCAAAACTTCAAAATAGATTCACGCAATTGAGCTTTACTTTATGTCCAATTTATGTTTGTTTATAATTTTTTTCCAATGGTATAATAATATAAAATGAACACTGTTCTAATCAGAAACAGCTAATATTTGCTAAAATTAGTTAAATAAAACGAGAGTAAGAAATTTTATTCAATTATCTGATTATCTCGCATAGGGATACAATAAAATCGGAAAAACTTTAAAAACGTTTAGTTGTTATTTTTAACGAGGACAATAATAGAAGCGAACACACCTACCCCAACAATTATGTCCAATTACAAGACCTCCAACAATTAGCAACAATAAAGGAATTAAAAAATCAGTAATTTATCATCATTGCTCAGACGGCAATTTTGATTATAAGAAAAAATATATCATGACAAAGAGGACAGTAAGATTAGCTTTGCTACCTACTTAGTATGATCTACGCATGCTGGAATTAGTTAAATAAGACGAGAATAAGAACGTTTTATTCAATTATCTCGCAATAGGGATACAATATCGAATTAGATGATTCCTTTTAACAGACGATGCTTTTATCTTTTCATTGCATTGTGATTCGAACATCTGCTAAAGTTGTTTCAGGAATTATTTATATTTATTTTTATTTATTACCTTTTTACACAAAATTTAAATGTCTCAGTTTTTTTCATGAATGAGTTTATAGTTTTATATGAAAATTCCTTCTTTTAATGAAATAATTAGAGTCATTAATTAGAGAATGCACTGCTATTTTTAATCCAATAATCCAATAGACAAGAACAACGCTAATTGAGACAGAACTATTTTGAAATGAATGGCCCTCGGCCCCTGGTAATTGTTCACTACTCTTACATCTGCCATAATCGGCTTCGTCACTTAGATGCGCTTTATTGATGTAGTTCCTCTTTTTTTACAACACATGTAGCACACGAGCACCCACACTCACCGCACCAAAATGGGTTATAATTTATTTTTATTTATATTAGTTGTGATTAGTTCCTGTTGTTGTGTTAAGTGCGATAATATTATAAATGATTTTCTAAGTGTACCCACCACGGTGAAAGCACAAGAAAATAACACTGTCTTGTTGCCGTGTTATTTAAATACGGCATCAAATGGTAAGCGAAACATTTTTTTAATAATAACTATTTTTTTATTATCAATTAATTCCTATTTTATTTTGATTGAATTTTTTACTTAAATAAAATTACTTCGATTCTGGTCCTCCTATACAAATTCTCATTATATTTTACGCGCAGGTGATTAAATTAACATAAAACCACAACGTAGGCCTAAATAAAATCAGTTATACCGGATATCCGTCAGTTTGTCTCAATGAAACGTATTTAAAAGTGGCAATACCATGCAGGTGCAAAAACTGTAATAATAAACTTTGGTATCGAATATTTTTTATAGTAAACACAAAGTGGCGTATTAACCTAATTTGGCCCCTAAAGCCCTAAGAAAATTTCGGCCTCTCCCCCCATTGTTTTTTTTTTGTTTCACTAACACTTTTTTTACATTCTAGTAGTTGATATAGCATTCTCTTCATTTCTTTTTTTATTAATTTTGTTAATGGTATTTGTGACTATCACTTTGATGGTCACTTAATATACGCGTATTGTTTATTTATAGTAATTAGTAATACGGTAGAACCCCTCTGTAACGAGAACTCAAGGGACCAACGTATTTGCTCGTTATAACCGACTCGTAAGTATGAATATTAAAAAAAAATCTGTAATTTTTGTTTGTTTTTTGCTATGAAGCATTTTTATCTTATCAATTGCACTTTCCAATTGTACAAGACTATTGAAAAAGACATCGTGGTTAGGTGTGAAAGCACCCAATAACAAAAAAATTCATCTCTAGAGAATCCCCAATTTTTTCTGAAAATTGTTCTGATTTTTCTTTTAACTTGGCCCCACTTATAGGCACATTGGACACTTTGAACCATTTAAGAACGGCTTTATCTAATTTAGAATTTTTAGCAGTATGCACTTCTTCACTTTTGGCGAAAATTTACCAGTTGAACTCGTAATCTTGTCCCTGTTCTTTACAGTAGCAACAATTGTTGCTACTGTAGAATTGGCTAAATTTTTCTCTTTGCTGATTACAGCTTGTCGAACTCTGTTATTATTGATATTTTTTCTTTCTATTGATACAGAAAGACGAAGTGTTCTCTGCTTGAAAAGTTATTCAAAACTGAGAAAGTGAGAAAAAATAAGACCATTAGCGCGCTAAAGCAACATTTCCAAAAAAATTCTGGTACACAATACGTAATGGAGACTGGCAGGATTTTTACTTCTTCTAGGAACTCTCGTTATAACCGATCTGTTTCCGAAATTTCTCAAAATTTCTCGCTATTACCGATCTTGGACAAAATAAAAATTTTATTATATCCATCCCAATTCCAGAAAAATATTCGCTATAGAGGGAGAATTTTACATAGAGTAGTATACAAAACGGCAAGGGACCAGACAATTTTTTGTTATAACCGGGACTCGTTATAGAGGAGTTCCACTGTAATACATAAAAATAAAAAAAATGGGGGATGATTTATTGATATAAAAAAACAATGACTGTTGATTCTAAAAGGTTTCTTTCTGGCTTTCTTGTCAGCAAAAACGTTAACAATTTTGTCAAAACGTAGAGCATATTTTCCACAAGAGATTTTACAGTTATTGATTATCCGAACGATTTCATTTTTTTTTTCTAAAATTTTTTGGTACATGTAGGAAGGGAATTGATAGTTTCCATCTAGATACTATAATTTTATTATAAAAAATTAGTTAAAAAATATATAAAAAATAAAAATTTAAATTAGCTACATATCAATATCCCTAGAAATATCTAAAATGGTTTCATAAAAAAAATAAAAAAAAGAAAATTCCTTATAATAGCCGAGAAAAACCTTTTCGAAAAATGCATTGAAATTCCCTATCTTGGCAAACGGTAAGTTAAGCCTTAAGCACTTCATTTTTAATGCACATTATTGCCAACGCTTTTAATTTAAGATTAGGTAATGCAGATCTGCGGTAGTCTTTTACGCTTTTCAGTGTTAGAAATGATCTTTCATCTATAAAATTAGTCACCGCTTTAGAAACGAACATTCTCAACAAAATCAGAAGATTAGGGAACAAGTCGTCAATTTTCTCCAGTTTCAATTTTTTTAGTAAGTTCAAGTGTCCATTAGACGGAAGACCTAGAGGTCCTTGATTTGAAGCAATTCGCCTTCCAAGTTATGATGCAGATCTTCTTGTAAGTTTCAACCAATTCTTTTTTTCTGTGATTTCCTCCGTGGTGATGACTGGAGCTCAAAAATCCGAATTCTTCATTAATACAAAATTCATTTTTTTCGTTGAATTCAACGTCTCGCTCTCCTTCTGTCTCATCAAATTGCTTCTATCTCTTCTTCCTTTTGCTAGTGACATACTGGTAACTTGCATTATTACACAATTTGATTGCTTGCCATATTAATAGTCACAACTTGAGGTTTTTGATTCACTTGGTTGAACCTCTCTGATATTATCTTCCAAAAACAGGTCATAATAGGTTTTTAAGTCAAGTCTACAATGTACATAATTTGAGAAAACCTTGTGATTTTAGGAGATTGTGAACGAACATTGTTCCAAGAAAAAATAATGACGGTGAATTTATTTTGCTCCGACAAACACGATTTTATTATTTCTTTAAAGAAAAAAATCATCCTTTCACAAAATTTTGCGCCCCAAGCCTGGGCTTCTTAGGCTTCAGCTATAATACGCCACTGTAAAAACCTACATACGTAATAAAATGTGTTTCTGTAAATATTTGTATTATTTGTTGTGTTTTCTTGTTCAAGAATAAATTTTATACTATCAAAAAATGATTAAGTATTTACTACATAGTTACACCAATTACTGCAACAACAAAACGCACTTATAATAATTCCACAAAAAGCTAAGAAAACTGATCACTCCATTGGCAAAAAGATTTTAATCAGTGTTTATAATAGTTGCAAACTGTTACTTTTAATCGTGAATTTCTATTTTATTTTATTTTTTATGCCATATTTTGTAAAATAGGAAACTAAGTAGTACACTCAAGATTTCTTGGTTTTTCTCTACAGAGTTCTGTTTAAAAAAAAAGTAAAATATTATACAGGACGTTAAAATTTTATGATTTTGTTTAAAAATGACTATATTTTAATTTGATAAACTCGAGTGTAAAAAACAAAAAATTGAAAGAGCTGAGCTATTTAATCAAGTTTTTGTCCACTAATTTCATTCTGAATAAAACTAAAACAAGCAAAAATCTCGTCCTGGCAACTGAATTTCAACCCACATGAAAAATTAATGTTCTAGACGGCAATTTCATTACTGCAATAAGATGGTACAAAGATGAAAATTTAATAGTGGATAGTGCAGACGAACAATTACCACTTCCGGAGGGTCACATTTTATGGGAAAATGGATCTTTGGAAATCTTTAGAGTCACTCCAAACGACACTGGAATTTATATTTGCGAAATTGCTAGACCAGAACCTTGGTCACCTGTGAGACAAAGACACGCAATCGAAGTTTTACGTGAGTTAATTTTCCCATTTTGTTCAGGAATTTATCAAAATTGATTCTAGATCCACCATCGGTGGAACCTTTCCCTCCGACTGGTTTCCTACAAGTGAAACTCGGAGAGGAAGTGAGAATGTCATGTAAAGGAAGTGGGGTACCGTACCCCATCATCACTTGGTACACAAAAGTATTCTAGAATAAATTTGATTACACTTTTTTGAATTTTTTTTTTCAGGGAGAAGAAATAAAGCTTCTAAACCCTCGAGAGTTACTAAAATTCACAGCTTCTGATCGACAAATGGCCGGAATTTATGAATGTCGTGCCGCTAATGGAGTCGGCGAGCCAGCCTCTGCCCAAATCGAGCTCAATATAATATGTAAAAATTTACAGTTTGTCCCAAATATAATTTTTTAAAGCCAATGTTTCAGATCCTCCAGAACTGATGACTTCCCGTTCTTGGATCCATACTGCTCCTGGTCATCGAGTCCAACTCGAATGTAAAATTTCAGCTGATCCTCAAGCTACAGTAACTTGGACTAAAGGGGACATGCCGGTGCCTTTAGACAGCAGAGTATTGTCTTTAGTAGACGGTGACAAATACAGTTTGCTTATCAAAAATATCCAAAGGAGCGATTTTGGGATTTACACTTGCAAAGCTATCAATGAACTGGGCCAGGGTGAACTTCAAATCCAACTTTCAGGTACAAATTTAGCCCTACTTTTGTCAATTTTTTAAAAAAGTAACTAAATATGTTTTTTTTTTTCTATAATTTAAAAATGTGGTGTCAATTTTTTTAAATACCGTAAAAAATAAGTCTTGTAGGTAAAATAAAAACATTATTTTTTATATTTAATAGGTGTGCCGAATCCTGGTGTGTTTAAAAAGACAGATGACAAAAATACAAACTCGAAAGACTCATATACTCTAATCTGGGAAGTTGATAGTTATACACCTATTATAGAATACAATCTGTGGTTCCAACCTTATAAACCCAAAACCGGGTTAAGTAAACCCAACTGGACCAAATTAACTATACCAACGGAACATAGTTCAGGACCAGTTTATTCAAAATCATACACAATTAAAGGTTTGAAAGAAAAAACCGTGTATGAGGCTTTACTGGTTTCAAGAAATAGATATGGTTGGTCAAAACCATCACCAATTTTGAGATTTGCTACAGCTGGGGCGGGTAATTTAAAATCATACTTTTTTTGAATTAAAAAGTGTTAATTTTTTTAATTTTCAGATTTAAAAGAAGAAATTATTACTCCAGTTCAACATCACACAGAGGACAATATAATTCCTCTGGATTTGAGCAGTTCCTCGCAAAATTGTGAATTGTCCAATTTTGGTTTCCTGGTGATTGTGACAGTGTTTTATCATTTTCATTGTTGAAAATAAACTTATAAAAAACAATTTGTTGGTCAATGTTATTCTTACATCACACTTTAATAATTAAAAAAAAGAAATGTTTTTTTTTCGTAACTGAGAAAGAATCTTTTTGGAAACTTCTTTATTAATTCACTTTTAGGCTTTCCCTGCTCTAAAATAAAAATCACCTTATTTGTCTTTTTTTTTGGTGGAAGCTTTAAAATTTTTCCTGGTTTTGGTGATTGTGACAGTGTTTTATCATTTTCATTGTTGAAAATAAACGTACATATTTTTGATAGGAAAATATAATAGCTGTCATTAATTTGAAATTGTCATTCATTTTGACGTTAAAGCTTGAATTACATTAAAGTGTCAGAAAAGTGACGACCAAAGTATTTTGTCTCCAACTGTACAAAATTAAATCTTAAATCTACTTTTTATGGTCTCAGGTTTGTTGAATTTGAAATAGTTTTCGAAATATCCTTCAGAATTGTACTCTCTAGAAACAAACTATTAATGATTTAACGTAAGGATTGTGTATAAGTTGTAATCCTTGTGATTGGTCAGTTTAAAGTCGGCCATTAAAATAATGTAAAAAAACCAATCACTAGATTTTTTGGATTCATTCAAAAATTTTATACAATGATGTGATTGGTCCGTTATCGGCCATTAATATAATGTGAGTTACCATGGAGCAACCAATCACTTTAGACTTTAACTTCATTCAAAATAGCAAAATTAGTTAATTCAAATTTGTGTTCATTCATTAAAATTATTCCAATTATTAATAAAAATGTTGTGTGTGCTCTTTATGTGTTCTGTGCTCTGCATTGATACTATTGTGAATACTGTTATGGAGAATTTGTATTTTTTACGGTTCGTTGCCGATAGATACTCAATTTGAAAAGTTTAATGCAAGAAGTGAAACATAATTGGAAGGAGGTACAAAAAGACTGAGAACGGCACCTTCTTAATGTCTACAAAGAACATAAATGAATAAATAATATTAATCCTATATGAAACTGAAACAGAAAAATTGAAAAATTAAAAAGGTTAGATTTCAAGCAACTAAAATTGTGTATAATTGGTTGCATACATCAAATGTTCGTTATTATAAACCAATACGTGAACTATTATTTAGATTATTAAAGAGATATGAGATATGCACCTTATTAGTTGTGCAGTTGCAAATGCCATTTTCTTCTACACTTACGAAGTTTTGTGACAATGGGAGTTACCGAAATAAGGGTAAGGAAAAATAATTTTTGGTCTATTCTTGGGTACTATTATACAATAAATGTTTTGCCTACGCTTTCTGAATTTCTTGAAATAAAATAAAAACATCAAAACCTGACAATCGATTAATCATTAAAATCATAGTAATTTATTTATAGCCTAATACATTTTATCACAAATTAACAGGTACAACATCTGGTATTGTTTTAAAATTATTTTTCTGAACTTCTTGTTTCTCATTTGGATTAGAAAACCAGTTGCACATTGCAAAGTTGTAGCAGAATTGTACCAAACTGTTCACAAAACCTGAACAGACATAAATCCCCCCAATAATAGAACACAGCCTTGCCAGAAACATTCCTAAATGATCCCTTTCCTGACTCACAGTCACTTTGAGGGCAGACATATCATACTTAAAAAAAATCCCTGGCATTCCATGACTACCTTTGTCATGATCAATTGGTCTGTTTAATTCTTTTACACTGTATTGGTAGGTGTTTACAGAAGCCAGGAATGTTTTCACATTTGTGGGAACAACTTCAATGAAATAATTAAATAATGTCATTCCTGTAAAAAAAAAGAGTAAAAAAACACTGGTTTTATTGATTATGAAATTACCAGTGTGTGATATCAGTTCATCTCCTTCCAAAGGATGAACAATCCCAGGACTGGGGTCCCCAAAACTAAATTTATCAATTCTGTGACTAAAATTGTAATCTCTTTCACTCATAAACGCACTGATGTGTATGTGGCCTCTGGGAAGATTTAAGCTTTTGCCGGCTGTTATATGGAAATTTCCTGAAACTTTATTTAAAATTAAAGATCCGTGGATGCGACAAGCGTCGTGGGGCCTGTTTGGATAGGTACTCCGCTCAGGCATATGTCTGAACATTGTTGAAAAACTGCTTTTCCATAACAAATCCTTAAAAAAATTAAAACATAAACATCGTTCCTTGATAAGCACAAAAACGTTACTTTAACTGCATGGTATTCTTCTCTAAGATATGAATTAAAATGTTTTTTGTTGTCGAAATAGATTTGTTGATTTGGGGCTAACTCAAACCACGTGTCTTCCTCCTCCAAAGAGCCGAATTTGTATGCGTTTTGGTTTGTCGAGTCTAATATATCAGCACCTAGGTCTAGAAATCCGTATTAAAGAAAATTTTCAATATTTTGTATCCTTCTACTTACTAGAACAGGGCATTGCTACAGTAATATCTACATTGATTTTTAATTTAGCGTCAAAATCTGTATCGGGTGAAAATTTGAATACAAATTTGCTATCAAGGTAATAGTTTATCTCCAAAAAAACTAGCCACGTAATTAGGATAAAGCTGAATACTGAAACTGGTTATTAATGTAATATAAAGAACTTGGAAGGAATAAAATAATAAGACGGACTTACATGTTCCACCCACTGAAGACTTCTCTTTAAATGTCTCTTCTATTTTAGGAAAAATGTCAATTTTCTTAACTTTGCTTAATTTTGAACCTCTGTATCGCAACATTGTCACTTTCTCGGTATCCATTTTTATTTATTTTATGCTTCAGTGAATTTTTACAATAAAGAAATCGGCACTAAATCGGTTTTTTAGGTTAGTTTGTTGACGTTGACATGTTGACAATCTGCTGTTTTGATTTTTAGTTCGGCGTCTTACCGTTAGCGTAATAATCCGAAAAAAAAAATGATTTTGGGGGTAGTTCCCTACAATCATATTCAAAAAAAAATGTCGTCAATATCAAATTTTTGGCATAAAATTAATTATTCCTGTGTAAATGAGCGTACTTAAATTTATAAAAATATTTTTTTTGCGAGAGTTGAATTTTCATCACGATTAAGATTTCTATACAGGGTGTTTACGGTCTTGAGGTTGAAATTTAAATAAGATGATATTTACTGTAGAAGAAAACTAATACGCTATATAAAACAAAAATTCACGTTGTGAAAGGAAATAATCCATTTTATATTATTTGTTTGAGAACTGCTGTTTCAGCGCCATTAATTTCATTACCTTTTGTTTCACCGTAATTCATAATCACGACAACCTATTTATTATTTTAATATTTATTGCTATCCATGTTCATAAATTTGGAGAAAAATTAAGAAAAACGAATCAAACCTATTGGAAACCATTTTGCTGGAAGAGATTGAACAGAAGATCTTTGAATTTTGATAAAAACTAAAGCAAAAGCAAATCAAATGATGACAGTGTCAAAACTGTGATGTGACTTTGCTTTTTCATTGTCATGAATACGATTTTTTTATATGTTGCAACAATACAATTTTACCTGAACAAGGAAATCATACCAGCGACCCTCAAACCGCGAACCAATATTTTGGAGTTAAATAACACTCTGAATAATAACAATTGTGTGAGTTTTTCGTTTAGGTTACAGTATTTTTATATTCTTCTATTAGTAGGTTAATTTTCAACTCCAAGACTGTAAACACCCTGTAGTTATTGCTATAGTTTCTATATAGTTTGTTACAAAGAGCTGGCGATACATTACGATTTGATTTATCAAATTGATATCTTTTTGGTCTTTGAGGTTCTTGGGGTTATCAACTATGCAAAAAAATGTTTTGAAGGTCTTTTTTTTCACTCATTTGCTTGATTATCAACTCTAAATTCGTGAAAAAAGTATGAGTTTTAAAACTAGTTGTACAAATATTTATTTTGACATTATGAAGTTTGGTAATTTGTAATCAAATCAATTTTGTTGTGAAAATATAATTCATTTATTATTTATTAATGTTTGAGATGACATTGACGATCACTTTTTTTTTTAATTTGACTATAGGCTATAGGTCAAGATAAGAAAAAAAGTACCTACACACCTGTGTCGGGAAATGCTTGCTGAGGGAGCTAGAACCACCTGAAGAAGGTGGGCAAAAAAGCTTTTTTTCAATTATCTCAGAAACTGGTAGAAATAAATCTATAAAAGTTTGCATCAGAAGTAACTTTTTGGAGCTGAATCCATTCGTTATGTAAAAATTGGGTAGGTATCCTAACTAGGAGGCGTAAAATTGTGATTTGAAAACTTTTTTTTTGTAATTTTTTGTTAGATTTGGATTTATTGGCTAAAAATGTTTCTTGTGTTTTTTTTTTGTACAACGACGAAAAATGAGATTTTCTTAAACCGTGGCCCGACCTTAATTATAAAAAGCAACTCTCGAAAGAACTAAAAATATTTTCATTAATTATTTTTTTTTTTAAAAACGATCACATTTTTCCAGTACTTTATAATGGACTACTACATATTTTTTTGAAAAGTATGTACAGGGCGCCAGAACTCGCATTATATAGCTGTGAGGAAAAAATTTCAAGGGAGAATAATGGAAGAATTTTATGATTTTTCGATCTTCAGACTTTATTAACTCTAAAGCATTTTATTACATTTTTTTTAGAGTAGGTAAATTCTGTAAACAAATTTTTTTGCCACAAAATTTGTAAAATGTGTCACTTCTGTTTTTTACAACAGTTAACTATGTATAAGACGAAAAAAAGTATTTTTAAAATACACAATAAATGTCTTAATTTTTCAATAGTCTACTTATTAGATTCTTCAGAACCATATATCATCATTTTTAGGTACTTAGAAAGAAATTATTAGAGAAATTGGAGCCCAAAATGTAAAAAATGGTAATTAATTAAATAAAAAAATTACATATCTAGAGGAAACATTTTATTTATCGTTTTAATTTACATATAGTATGTAATTAGGTATGTTTCCGGATTGAGTTTACAAGAAGAAAAAAAATTTTATCTTTAATTTTACTTTTAATGTTAAAATGAGTTTATGCAACTTAAGTAAAAAAAATGTTTAATTTTAATAAATGGCAACTTGAAGATAAAGCTTTAAGATAAAAAAAAACAAAGTCATTTTTAACAAGAACTATCAATTAATAAATTAATTGTGAAATGTGATAAGACTTAAAAAACATAGAAAAAATGATTTTTCACGGAGTCAGAATAATGAAGTTTTAATTACAGATTTGCTTTATATTATTATAAAAAGCAGTGTTTATATTTTTTTATTAATAAAACACAGTCTTATTTATTTATTTTTTATCTATTTATTTATTTCATTTTATATATTTTTACCTTGAGTTTGTTTACTACTTTTAGCAGGTCAATGGGCAAATAGGTAGATTAAAAACATTGCACATTTCGCCTATTCTATTTGGGATCATGCGATGATGATCACACAAAATGAAAATTGCTGAATCACGATTTCACAAAGCACTTTACATCTAATCATAGACAATTTAAGTAATTGAGTATCTCGTTTGTGCTCAGTTGTAAAATAACATTAGAAGAATCCAACGCGATGGTTCTCTCAATGGAAAAATGGGTTGGCAAAGTGGCCATAGTGAGTGGTGCTAGTTCGGGAATTGGTGCTGCGATAGTTGACCAATTAGTCGAGCACGGCCTAATTGTAATTTAATTACTTTCAAAATAGCCGAATATAAAAAAAATATTCAGGTTGTAGGAGCGGCTCGTCGTTCCGAATTAGTCGAAGAACGTGCCAAAAAACTTTCAGGAAAACGAGGAAAACTCGTCGCCATCAAAGCCGATTTTACTAAAGAAGAAGACATTTTGCGAGTTTTTGAATGGACGAGTAAAAACCTTGGCCCTGTCCACATTTTAATCAACAACGCTGGAACATCACGCCCTTCCGCATCTCTAACTGAAGGAAAAACTGAAGACTGGAAAACAGTTTTAGATTTGAATGTTCTAGGATTATGCATTGCAACAAGAGAGGCTGTCAAAGTAATGAAAGCCAATAAAATAAACGGACACATAATTCATATTAACAGCGTCCTGGGGCACACCATATGTATGGGAAATGTTATCAATGTTTACGGGGCGTCGAAATTTGCTGTTACTGCCTTGACTGAGACTTTGAGGCAAGAATTGAACAGCCTCAACCTTAAAATTAAAATAACTGTAAGTTTGGTGTGATCGTTTTTAAGAATATTTTTTTACCCGAAATTCGAAAACGAGATAATATTATTTTAGTAATAAAACGAATTTTTGTTCATCTTGTTTTAGAGTGTAAGTCCTGGTTTGGTCGAGTCGGAGTTGACAACACTGAGAAAAGATCAAACGCCAGACATGAAAGCACGGTTTGAGACAATGCCGATTTTGAAAGCTGAGGATATTGCCGATGGAGTTGTTTATGCTTTATCTACCCCAGAACATGTTCAAGTTAATTGAGAATTGTTTGTTTTTGTTTAAGTTAATTATGTTGTTTCAGATTCATGAACTTACCATTAAGCCAGTCGGAGAAATGTTTTAAGGAAAGGAAAAATATATTAGTACAAAAAGTGCCCTCAAACGATTCAAAATGACAAAAAAGAACAAAAAACTGCTTCCAATCCTGTCAGATTTTTTCTCGCATGACCACTAATACACATTATAATAATATTGTTGTATATATTTTTGGAATAAATACATTGTATTGTAATAAATACAAATTCAAAATAAATTGTAGTAATTTAAAAAAAAAAATTACCGCAATTACAGTAATCCACCTTAATTCCATTGTAATTCCAACATAATTTGCGTAATTCCAAAATAATTTCTGTAATTCCAAATTAATTTTGATAGTTTAAAAAAATTTAATGAAATTGTTAAAAGAAATTATCTCCGATGATTCAAAAAAGAATTCCAGTAAACACAGATAATTTCAGTAATTTCAAAAATCCATCGTATTTTCATTGTTTTTAGATTAATTCTTATAATTACAAATAAATTCTTGTAATTCCAAAATATTTCCTCTTATTCTAAATTAGATTTTTCTACGTCTGTACGTTTATAATGTCATAATCAATGCAAATTTGAGAACTTTTATGATAAAATTAAAAGAAATTATTATTCTATTATTATTCACAATGATAAAGTTTATAAAACGAGCAGAGCGCGAGTTTTTTAATCATTTGGGTATATAATGGCTACTATACGCGAGATGAAAATTATATTTTGTCTACTTTGATATTGTTACGTAATATGTTACTTTTTTACGCTCTTACGTTTCTTATTTTTTTATATGCTTACGTTTTCACGTTAAATTATTTTTATTTTTTACTTACGAGTTAATTTTGATTAAAAATTTGTATCTTATTATTGCATACTCCTAGACATTATTTAAGGGGCCGTTAACTTAAAAAAAATGTGTAAAATATTTCCTCTAATTCCAAATTACTTCCGATAGTTCCATTAAATTTAACGAAATTTTTTAAAGGAATAAAAAATAATAACAATCCAGCAATTCTAGAAAAATTCCAGTATTTTCCAAATAATTCCAATAATTCCACGCAATTCCAACATATTTTCATAATTTTCATAATTCCAAATAATTCCAAGCAATTTTTATTCAATTCTTAAAAATTGACAACTAATTCCATAGCCATTCCTCGATTTATATAAATAGCTACGTACTGGTAAAATTGTGATCAAAATGCTTTTTTTAAGGGTGAAAATTTCTTGTTCTTTTTTTTTGTAAAAAGAGTGCTTGTTAGGAAATCAATCAATTTTTTATTAGATTGCTGCCTTTGAAATGATTATTTTTTTAATTATATTTTATTTTTTTAAACTTTGAATTAAAATATCTGAGTTAAAGCAAATTTATTGGTCAAAATAATTTTGAACCACCATTATGCAGTTTTGCCAATGATGAAGCACATTTGTAGTAAAAATAATAATATAACATTATTAACGGTTTAAAAAAACTACTTATTACTCATTTTAAAATTGGATTCCATGATTTTTAAATGAAAACTTTAAGACAGTTTTGGATCACCCATTTCCAAGTTACCAAAGAAACCAACACTAACAAACAAACGTCAAAAATCTGTTTTAACAGATTTACAAATTTTGTTAATTCGTATTTTAGTTAATTAGTTGTATTAATATATTATCGAAAATGGCGCAAGAACGCGATCAAGAAGATCTTGAGATGTTGATGAATGTCGCGAAATACATCGCAAAATCAGCAGAAGCTACTAGGAAATCCGGAAGTGCTACTGCTTTCGCATTAGCTGAATCATTTAAAGAGAAACTGGTAATTTGTAAGTCTTGCTGTAGGACAAAATTGAGTAAATTTTGGTAGGCGAAAGCGAAAGAAAGACGCGCTCAGAGGTTTCAAGAACTGCAATTACCACATCGACATATTTGCGATTTAGTAGCAATGCATTTGAACGTAGAACCAAATGAGGTTCTTGAAGCAGCAGCTGATAGTGACATTCATATCGAACTACTGGACAAACTATTAAGCAAGAATGGGATTTTTGGGATGTTGGTTTATTACCAAGATGGGTACGGTTACGAAATCGGTACTTTTTTTGAACAAAATTTTGATTTTTATTACTAAAATATTCGAACTTAGAAACGGGAAGATTTAATCCAAACGCAATGGCAGATTTAGTTATGAAACGTATTTATTTTACTGATGGAATGGACGAACCAGTCAAGGATAAAGTCATAGGAATCTACAAGATTGCAAATGTTGACTTAAGCTTAAAAAACATAAACGATGTAAAATTTCAAATTTGATTTTTACATTTTTAGTAATCAAATTTCTAGGCACTTTATTTTACAATGTTTGACATTCAAGCCGAAAATATGAATTCTGTAGCTGTTGCGTATAAATTGCTAGGAGAATTGGTAGATCCCTCATTCAACCTCAATAAAGATTGGGGTGATTTGCCAAAAACCGAAGTTGGACTTAGACAAAAAAACAATTTTCAAGGAGACTTTGAATCGTTTGTGGATTTTCTAAAACGTAAAAGGCAAAAATACAGTGTATAGAGAATGTAGTTACATTTCTAGAGACTAAATTGGATCTTGAAATGGTTGTTAATTTTGCTTATAGCAGGGGTTTATATCGCAGAGATTTAGTAAATGAGAAAAAACGTACTGAAGCGATTCTAAACAGACAAATTGTGCAACAAGTAGAATCGACTGTTCGAATTTGGTGCAAGCAGATGGAGAGGGTAATTTTAAAGTTATTTTTTTAAATTTAATTGTTTAAATACTATACGATTTTTGGAGGAAAGTACCTACTATATCTTTCTCAAAAGTAGTTGCACCAAACTCCATTTTATCTCTCAAATCTTTTTAAAAAAGTGACTTTTAAGAACGTAATTCGCCGATTTCTTCTGCTTCTTTTGCAAAATTTCTTGATTTTCAAATAAAATAAAGCTTCTAACGCAAGAATTAGCTATATTTCTTGGAACTGACAAAGTTTGGTGTTTAATTATCAGCTTATTTTCATGAAATCACTTGAAATAAGTAAGATTGCAAAGAATTTGCTGAAACAACATAATTCACACCTAATTCAAGGTGATTTTTTGAATATTTTGACGAGATCTTTGTGTTCTTGGGCTCAAAATCAAGCCAAATCGCTTAAAATCGACTAAAACAACGTGATTTGGTCGTAATACTCGTATTTTATATTGGGGAAATGTTTTTAATAAAAAAATACTTGTGTTTATTTTCGTTTTCTTCGACATTATGTCTAGGCCCTGGTTCAGTACCAACAGCTGCGACGAGAAAACGAATTTGTTGGTCCTCTTGTCGAAATTGAATACTGGCGAAGACAACTCGCCCGTTTTACAAGTATTGTCGAATTCATCACCGACGCTCCCTGCAAAATCCATATCCAGTTTTTGGAAGCTTGCAAAAGCAAACTTTTGAAAGTAAAAATCTGTTAACTTTTAGTGAAAATTTTTAAATGATGAGTTTGATCAGATTTGGTCCAAACATGAAAGTGCAGTCATTGAAGCAAAAAACGAATGTGCCGACAACATGAGATATTTATACGCTTTGGAAAAGTTTTGTAATCCTCTTTATAGATGCGAAGCTACAGAATTACTCCAACATATTCCCCCGTTATTGCACGCAATACGAATGACTTATACGACCTCACGATACTATAATAACACAGCAAATGTTACAGCTCTTTTAGTCAAAGTTTCTAATCAAATGATTAATGTATGCAGGTCCTATCTTAATTGTAATGGAACTAAAACAGTTTGGAATCAAAAGAAAAAAGTCGTACTTGAAAAAATTAAAGTAACTTTATGATTCCATTTAACTCAATTTAATTATCATGTTGAAGGTGTGTTTGGACATTTATTTGAAATATTATCAATGTTTCAAGCACATTCAGGAAGAAATGAAAGAGGCAGGTGAAGCCCCATTTGAATGTTCCGAAATGTACGTTTTTGGAAAATTTGAGACTTTTAAAAAGCGTGTAGAGGAGGTAAATATCACTACAATGTAATGACATTCATTAAATATCGTTTCAAAGATTGTCGATGTTCTTGAAACGACTACAAAATATTCAATCTTGCAAAGTAGCAAAATTGAAAACATTGATATTTTCGCGAAGAAATTCCAAACGTTCTTTGATAACATATCGAGGCAAAAATACGACGCTCTAAACCACCGATTGCCACATTTTGACAAAGACTACAACGAATTTAAACAAAACGTCGTTGATACCGAATGGGAGTTGGAGGAATTTGTTGGCACATCTCTGGAAAAAGAAACAAACGTTCACAATGTATTACGATTGCTGAAAAGGTGCCAATTTTATTTTTGTTATTTTTTAACACTAAAAACCAATCCAGGTTTGAGAAATTAAATTTGGAGTGTTTGCATTTGGAAGAACGTTACTTGGAAGCAATGGAAATGTTTCAGAAAGAACTTGAAGATTTACGCGATCGTTATAATGAAGAAAGACAGTCACCTTTGTTACCCAGAAACATGCCACCTGTTAGTGGAAGAATAATGTGGATTAGGCATTTATATCGCCGGATGGAGGAGTCAATGGAGATTTTTATGACCAAACCGAGAGTTATGAGACACCGAAATGTGCAAAAATGTATCCAGTTGTATAATGCATTGGCTATTGTTTTTGTCCATTATGAACAGATTTATCACGAAGCTTGGTACAAATTTGCCGGACAAGTATTTAACTTAAACTTGTTATCAATTTTTTTCAACGTAATTGCAACAGGTTCGTGCTTGCCTGAATACACCGATTTTGACAAGAGACTCAAAAACGAAACGATACAAAGTCAATTTTCACCCTTACATTTCTGAAGTTATTAGAGAATCGGAATACATGTATAAGCTTGATCTTGGTAAAAATCTTAATTAATAAACTTTTATATTAATTAAAAACTTAGCTGTTCCGGATGTTGGCCAAGTCCTCGTTTTCTGTAAAGAAAAAATCCTAAATTCGTACGAAGTGATCAAAGGTTTAGTTGAACGAAATGACAAGATTCGAAGTACCATTCCCCCTCTTTTTATCCCTCTAATTCGCATGCAATTGATAAAGATGGAAGATGCATTTAGACCGGGCTTTTCCGTAATAACTTGGACTTCAACCAAAATACCCGAATATTGCGAAGAAGTCAACAATGTCTTGGATTACATTGAAATGTTTGTCAAAGAAGTCAAAGACATGAAAGAAGCCAGAATAGACGAAGTCCTTGACGCAATTGCCGCCACTTCGCTTGTCTATTTGCCAAATGTAGCCCTCATGCCTAACGAGTTTTTGGAACAAAATAAAAAGTTTATGGATCAAGGAGGTACCACTAGTGTTCTACTAGACTAAAAAGTTGACTTTGTTTCTCTAGTGAAGGAAATTGAACTGAAATCGTCGACGGCAGAACGAGCTGTTATAGATTTGATTGAGAAGTTTTTGAGTGTTATAGAACAACCGGAACTGCAAGAGAAAAAATACGATTGGCTGGATGCTGATAAAGCTATGAAACCAGTTGGGTCAGCATCACGTTTGAATGTCTCACCGGAAGCAGGTGCTTTCCTCCAGAACAACTCCGGATGAATTAACCGGACTTTTTTCAGCTTTTAAGGAAATTGATCGGAATATTCCTTTGGACCTCAACACCATTCACAATGACTGTTTGGAACTCTTTGCTTTCTTTAACATGAAACTAAGCGAGGCTTTAGTCAAATGTGTTAAATTGTCTTTGGAACAGATTAAGAAGCGGACTGCAAGGTTTGATATGTTTTTGGTAAAAATGTGATTAGTTTGGAATAATTATTTCAATAGTTTGCGAGACGATAGTACCGCAACTCATTCCCCAATAATGAAAACATACATGGAACTGCAAATTCCTATTATAGTAATTAACCCAACTTTGGACGAAATTCAGAATTATTTTACCCAAGTCATCAATAAACTCCTCTACACCATGTCGTTTGTGTGTATGTGGGGACAACGTGGCACTAAGAAGAAACCTCGACGAGACAAACCATTAAAGTTTAAGGAGATTGTAAAAATAATCGCTAAAACTCCTCCCCCCGACCGAAACTATTACAAAATCGTGTCCGAAAATAAGGAAATAATCAGAATTTTCATGAGTCTGCAAGGTGTCATGTTTTTGTTGAAGCCAGACGTTGCAAAATTATTACAGGTAGCTTCAAGAGTTGTATGATTTCTTAAAGAAAATTATTCGTAGCAATATTTGGATTATTCGTATCTATGGGCCGAAGGACGAGTTAATGAAATTGAGGCGTTTTGCGAGAAGAATCCTCTCACTGTGGAAATTGCCGAAAAGTTTCAAGAGTTTGAAAATAGAGGGGACAAAATCAGAGAATTGCCCGATAGTCATAATGTTGATTCGATACAAGTCGATATGGGTATTGTTTCATAATTGCCTAAATTTAGTTTTGACGAAAATTTACAGAGAAATTTAAATTGGCTCTGCTTGTGGAGTCTGACGCGTGGAAACACATTTTGGGCAAAAATCTTGCTAAACGTTACAGAGCCAAATTGCTCGAATTAGTCGATTTTATAAAGAATAGAGAGAAAGTTTTGGGTAAACCAATTAAAGATCTAGATGATTGTCGGTAAAAATTGTCAAATGATAAAATCCTACATTCCTAATTTGTTTTTCTAAGACTGGCAATGGCATGTTTGGAGTTAATCAGAGAAAACTTCATCGAAATTGATTTAGACCTTATTACTATGGAAGAAGCCTATAACATTTTCAGCAAATACAAAATTGATATTCCGAAAGAGGACATGGATAGGGTTGAATCTCTCAGATTCAATTTCCAAAATATGGTCGTCCATGTATGTTTTAATCCAGATTGGAACAAAAAAGTCATTTCAATTTTAGGCAAAATCGGTGCAAGAAAACATCTGTAACGTACAAGGCCCTCTCTTACAAGAATTAACAGAAGGAGTTTCGAATTTCAGAGAAGAAGTGGAGGCTTTTGATAGAGATTTCGAACTGAATGGCCCTATGATTCCTGGATTATCGGCTCGTGAAGCAAGCGACCGAGTCCTTGCTTTTCAAGACCGATTCGATGAGCTTTGGCGAAAATTTGAAATGTATAGTAGTGGTGAAAAACTTTTCGGGTTAGAAGTCAACGATTATCCCATTTTGCATAAGCGCAAAAAGGAGTTTAATTTGTTGAATAAATTGTACGGCTTGTATTTGGCCGTTAATCACAGTATTGATGGTTATTTTGATATTTTGTGGACCGATGTTGACACTGAAACGATTTTTGCTGAACTCACTGAATTCCAAAACAGGTATCAAAACGGTTTGTGTTTTTCCCCGAACGTACAATATTGTTTAAAGGTGTCGAAAGCTTCCCAAGGCTATGAGAGACTGGCCTGCTTATCTAGATTTGAAGAAGAAAATCGACGATTTTTCAGAAACTTGTCCTTTATTGGAACTTATGGCCAACAAGGCTATGAAAGACAGACATTGGAAACGTATAGCACAAACGACTGGTTATACTTTTGATATTGATTCGCCGACTTTTACATTACGAAGCGTAATGGAAGCTCCATTGCTACAATTTAAAGATGAAGTGGAAGATATTTGTATAAGTGCCGTCAAAGAGAAAGATATTGAAGCGAAATTGAAGCAAGTAATTGCGGATTGGTCAGTGGTGGAGTTATCTTTCTCACAGTTTAAAGCTCGAGGAGAACTCCTCTTGAAAGGTACTGAAACTGGGGAGATAATTATGGCACTTGAAGATAGTTTAATGATAATGAATTCTCTTCTCAGCAACAGGTACCTAAGCCAAAAAATTTTACAATAACTAAATAGCAAATTCCAAAAAAGAAGAAGCTTATTACAAGTTTATTTGTTTAAATAAACACTTTTTTTGTTTATACATCTAGGAAATTATTAAGTTGTTGCTTTTCTAAATCATTGTTATTTTAGATATAACGCACCGTTCAAAAAAGACATCCAAACCTGGGTCCATAAGTTGGTCAACACGTCCGAAATTTTGGAAAAGTGGCTTATTGTGCAAAATTTGTGGGTGTATTTAGAAGCTGTGTTTGTTGGTGGCGACATTGCTAAGCAGCTTCCGGGTGAAGCTAAAAGATTCAATGTAAGTCGTTTCAATTTTCGAATTTCAAAATTTTGAAATTAAATTTAAAGAACATTGATAAATCATGGGTCAAAATAATGACAAGAGCACACGAACTCCCAAATGCAGTCGAATGTTGCACCGGAGACGAAACAATGGGACAGTTACTTCCCCATCTTTTAGAACAACTTGAAACATGCCAAAAGAGCTTGACTGGATATTTGGGTATTTTTCAAATTGAAATTTGCTGGTAAAACCGCTGTTGTAATACTTTTAGAATCGAAAAGATTGTGTTTTCCACGTTTTTTCTTCATTTCGGATCCAGTTTTGTTGGAAATTTTGGGTCAAAGCTCAGATCCAACTTCGATTCAGTCACATTTGCCAAGTCTTTTCGATGCAGTCTATAAAGTGGCATTTGACCCGAAAAAACCCGATTATATAGTCGCCATGTTATCAGATTTAGGTGAATCGGTAAATTTCGAAAAACCGGTTCAGTGTGTTGGAGGTGTCGAAATTTGGTTAAATAGTCTTTTGGAAATGGTTAGAGAAACTGTGAAATCTGTAATTGCCTCACAAGCACAACTTTTGAACGATCCAGACTACGATTTTATCCAAGGATTTATACCGTTTTGTGCTCAAGTATGTTTTTTTATTGTTATGTGAAATAAATATTTTCTCCAAAGGCTGGTCTTGTCGGTATCCAAATTTTGTGGACCAAAGAAGCCGAAATTGCGATCAGGAAAGCCAGAGTTGATCGGTTTATCATGAAAGTGACCAATGCAAGATTTCTGGATCTTTTAAACGCACTTATTGATCTCACGTCGAAAGATTTATCAAAAAGGGAACGGACGAGGTTTGAGACTATGGTCACGATTCATGTCCATCAGAGGTTTAGGGAAAAGTTTTAAAAACTTGCGAGTGAAAGAAATTATTTTAGAGACATTTTTGATACAATTTGCAAGTTAAAAGTGAAAAATTTGCTAGATTTTGAGTGGCAACAACAGAGTCGGTTTTACTACAACGAAGAAAATGACGATGTGACTGTTAGGATAACCGATGTGATATTTTTGTACCAAAACGAATATTTGGGGATTACTGAACGTCTATGTATCACACCATTGACTGACAGGTGTTACATCACTCTGGCTCAAGCAATTTGTACGAATCATTTTTTTCACATCAAATTTTTAAGAAATTTCTAGGGATTAATATGGGAGGAGCTCCCGCGGGACCGGCAGGAACCGGTAAAACCGAGACCACCAAAGACATGGGAAGAACTTTAGGAAAATTCGTTGTCGTCTTTAATTGTTCCGATCAGATGGATTTTCGAGGCCTCGGCCGCATTTTTAAAGTAAAATTTCGAGTAAAAAATTAAAATAAAATTATTTTGCGTATTTAGGGTTTAGCCCAGTCTGGAACTTGGGGCTGTTTTGATGAGTTCAACCGAATTGAATTACCGGTGTTGTCAGTAGCGGCTCAACAAATTTACATTGTTTTGATGGCAAGAAAAGAACGAAAACCCACGTTTATTTTTATGTAAAGAAATACAGAAAAAATTCTTCGGAATTGATTGATAATTTCAGGGATGGTGACACCGTTTCGATGAATATCGAGTTTGGTATTTTCCTTACAATGAATCCGGGTTATGCCGGAAGACAGGAATTACCCGAAAATTTAAAAATTATGTTTCGCAGTGTTGCAATGATGGTTCCAGACCGGCAAATTATAATTCGAGTCAAGCTGGCGTCTTGTGGTTTCAAAGATAATATTATTTTAGCACGAAAGTTCTTCACGCTTTATCAATTGTGTGAGGAACAATTATCGAAACAGGTGCATTATGACTTTGGACTACGGAACATTTTGTCGGTTTTGAGAACACTAGGGGCCCAGAAAAGGTCGCATCCCAGTGATACGGAAGAGACAATTGTTATGAGAGTTTTGAGGTACTTTGAAACTCCTTAAATCGACATAATTTGGGTTATTTTCTTTAGGGACATGAATTTGAGCAAATTGATAGACGAGGATGAACCTCTTTTCCTCTCTTTGATTGAGGATATGTTCCCCGGAATTAAATTATCTACACACTCTTGGAAAGACTTACAAAAAGCTATAACTAATCAGACTGCTGAAATGGGAGTCATTAATTATCCTCCATGGAACTTGAAAGTAATTCAGCTTTATGAAACCTCATTAGTAAGACATGGACTTATGGTTTTGGGTAAAATAATTATTTCAAAAAAAAACTTGTTTTTATACTTTGTTTTATAGGACCCACAGGTGCTGGTAAAACAAAATGTATGCATTGTTTGATGAAATCAATGACTGAAACTGGGCTGCCTCATAAAGAAATGAGGATGAATCCTAAGGTAAGTGTTGAGTTAATGAAACTAAAAATTTACAAAATGTATGAAGGCTATAACAGCGCCCCAAATGTTTGGACGATTAGACGTTGCAACAAACGATTGGACTGATGGTATTTTCTCGACTTTGTGGAGAAGAACTTTGAAAATTAAGAAACATGATCATGTTTGGTATGAATATTTTGCATTTTTGAACACACTACTCGAAACTTTCCAAAAACACTTCAACACATTTTATTTTGTGCATTTTGGAAAAGGGGCAAAAATTGATATACTTGGGAATCCGCTACTAAAAAATGTTTGACTAGGTTGGTCTTGGATGGTCCAGTAGACGCAGTCTGGATCGAAAATCTCAATTCTGTGTTAGACGATAATAAAACTTTGACATTGGCTAATGGTGATCGCATTGTCATGGCACCTAATGCAAAATTGGTTTTTGAACCTGATAACGTTGATAATGCTAGTCCAGCTACCGTATCTCGTATGGGTATGGTCTTTATGAGTTCATCTGTACTTCCTTGGAGCCCAATTTTGGAAGTAAAATAAACAAATGTGAAACTACGAGTACAAAATTGTAATAATTTCTAGGCTTGGTTGAAAACAAGAACTCAGCAAGAGGGTGATGTTTGTAGAACTGTTTTTGGTAAAATTTATGAAGAACTCCATTCCTTTGTACAAGTTAAACTTAAGGCAAAAATGAAAATTACTGAAGCTTTGTATATTAGGCAGTGTTATGATGTTTTGGCTGGAATTTTAGATACAGGAGACGATACAAGTAAATCTCCTGATTTAATACAATTAATACAAATGTTTTTTGGTAGAAGTATGGACTGATAAGCAATTGGAACGTTTAGTTTTGTTTTCCATGATGTGGTCAGTTGGGGCCGTTTTGGAATTGGAAGACAGAGCAAAAATGGAACAATTTGTTGTAACTCATCCTTCGAAACTCGATTGGCCAAAATGTAGTGAAAACGAGACAATTTTCGAGTATGTTGTCAATCCCAAAACGGGAACTTGGCAACACTGGTCTGAAAGAGTCGAAGAATTTATTTACCCCACTGATAGCGTTTTGGAATTTATTAATATTTTAGTACCAAATATTGACAATGTTCGAACTGCATTTTTAATCGACACTGTGGCAAAGCAAAATAAAGCCGTCCTATTAATTGGTAATTTTGTCAAAATTACAAAAAAAACATCAAATATTTTATACAAATTTTAGGAGAGCAAGGTACTGCTAAAACAGTCATGATAAAAGGCTACACTCAAACCTTCGATCCTGAATATAAACTGAGCAAATGTTTTAATTTCTCTTCTGCGACCACACCAAATATGGTTCAGGTAATTAAAAATTTTTGAAGTGACTAGAAATGAAATTTTTAATTAATCTAGCGAATTATTGAGTCGTATGTTGACAAAAGAGTGGGGACAACTTATGGTCCTCCTGCTGGTAAAACTTTGACAATATTTATTGACGATATAAATATGCCCGTTATTAACGACTGGGGAGACCAAATAACTAACGAAATCGTGCGTCAAGCCATGGAATGTGGGGGTTTTTACAGTTTGGATAAACCGGGCGATTTTTCATCAATTGTCGATGTTATGTTTCTCGCGGCTATGATACACCCTGGAGGTGGACGAAATGATATTCCGCATCGTCTTAAAAGACAATTTTGTGTTTTTAATTGCACTCTTCCGAGTAACAAAGCCATGGACGTTATTTTCAGTAAGACATTTAAAGGACTGTCAATTTCCACGCGAAACGTGAACAGGAGTTTTTTACTTTTTATACATAAATCTATTGTTGAAAAACAATAACAAATAATCTTGAAATACTTTAAGAAGAAGTAGGATTTAAACTACACCTTTTTCAAGTGTAGTTCAGAAAGCGTAAGATATATTTCAGAAAACTTTAATTGTAATTTAGATTAGTCAATTGTATTTCAGAAAGTATTAATTGTAATTCAGAACCGTAAACTGAATTTCAGAAACCATCAGACGTAATTCAGATTAATTAATTTAACTTCAGAAAGCGTAAATTGAAATTCAGGTTAGTCAATTATATTTCAGAAAGTGTTAGTTATAATTCAGAGTTTGTCATTTGTAATTGAGAATTTGTCAATTGTAATTCAGAATTTCGTTATTTTCATTTAAAAATTACCAAAATTCCTTTGAATTACATTACCAAAATTCCTTTGAAAATAAAATATCTTATTTATTTTGCAAAATGGCAAGTTTATGTAATTCTTTAATTCTGAAAATAAAATAACTCGTGTTTATGTGTAAACTTCATTTTGAGATAACAGAAAGTTACTCATCTGAATTACAATTGATATTTTCTGGATTACATGTAACATGAAATTGAATTTATTTACTGTTCTGAATTACATGTAATGGTTTCTGAATTACAATTATTACTTTATGAAATACAATTGACTAATCTGAATTCCAATTTATGCTTTCTGAAATTAAATTAACTAATCTGAATTACATCTCACGTTTTCTGAAACTCATTTTACTCTTCTGAATTACAATTAACATTTTCTGAAAGACAATTGACTAATCTAAATTTCAATTTACGCTTTCTGAAACTAAATTGACTAATCTGAATTACATGTGATGGTTTCTGAATTACACTTGAAAAAGGTGTAGAAGAAGAGTTTTTTTAATGACTTTTCATATATGTTGGAAATCATGTCACGTTTCGGTGGAAGTAACCAAAACCAGTTACAAAATAAATGATTTAAAATCTGTTAGGCCAAATTGCTTGCGGTTACTTCTGCATCGAGAGATTCAACCAAGAAATTGTCGACTTTGTCCCCAGACTTATCCCATTGACTCGTAATATTTGGCAACACACCAAAATCAAAATGTTGCCAACGCCGGCCAAATTTCATTACGTATTTAACTTGAGAGATCTTTCAAGAATATGGCAAGGAATCTTAACAGTGCAACGTCTAGAATGTCAAACTGTTTCATCATTGCTCAAATTGTGGCAACATGAATGTTGCAGAGTTATATCAGATCGGTAAATATCTCTAGATAACAACCAACACCAAATCATGATTTTTTGAAAGGTTTACAAAAGCTAAAGAAAGAGACTGGTTCCTCCACCTACTCAAAAACCAAGTCAAAAAGGAGTTGGACGATGTTTACGACGAGTATACCGAAGATGTAACGTACTGGGTTGATTTTCTGCGAGAACCACCAGAAGCAACAGGTGACGAGCCTGAAGATTTTTGTTTTGATGCTCCAAAAATATATGAAGAGATCCCAAGTTGGGAATTTTTGAAAGAAAAATTGTTTTGTATGTAGTGCACTATTTCAAAGTACTTTTCTTCATTGAGTCAAATTAGCTTTCGTGGATCAATACAATGAGCAAATAAGAGGTGCTGCTATGGACTTGGTGTTTTTCCATGACGCAATGGTTCATCTAATGATCATTTCGAGGATAATTAGATCGGCACGTGGAAACGCGCTATTGGTCGGTGTTGGAGGTTCCGGAAAGCAGAGTCTTACTAGACTTTCCTCTTTTATTGCAAATTACAAAACATTTCAAATTCAATTAACTCGGTACTAAATTTAAATTCTAATCAAGGAAATACAATTTTGAATTGTAGAACCTACAATGTTGGTAATTTAATGGAAGACATGAAATATCTTTATCGCGTTGCAGGATTAGAAGGGAAAGGAATTTCCTTCATATTTACCGATAATGAAATCAAAGATGAGACATTTTTGGAAAGTCTTAACAACATTTTGAGCTCAGGTGAAATTGCAAATCTGTTTGCTAAAGACGAAATCGACGAAATAACATCCGACTTAATTCCTGTTATGAAAAAAGTTCAACCAAAAAGAGCACCAACCGGTGACAATTTATACGACTTTTTCATAAGTAGGGCTCGATCTAATTTACACGTTGTTTTATGTTTCTCACCTGTGAGTGTCTCTAAATGTGGTTTTCCCGTTCTACTCTTTGTTCTATAGGTTGGAGAAAAATTTAGAAGTCGTGCTTTGAAATTCCCCGGATTAATATCGGGTTGCACAATTGACTGGTTTTTCAGATGGCCACGAGATGCCCTAATCGAAGTGTCAGAACACTTCCTCAACAAATTCCAAGTAGTTGCAACACCCGATACCAAAAAAGAATTGATTTATGTTATGGGCGAAATCCAAGATTATGTTGCACTGACTTGCAACAGCTACTTTGAAAAGTTGGGTTTTGTAGATCCTCGAGCAAAATTTAATCAATTTTGTTTAGGTTCCGGCGAAGGACTTATGTCACACCAAAAACGTTTATATCGTTCCTTGAGACGTACAAAACAGTTTATGTTAAAAAACTGGCCAATATTGGTGAAATGGATGCGAGGATGCGTACCGGTTTGACAAAATTAGTGGAAGCTCAACAAAATGTCGACGAATTGAAGAAGGAATTGATTATTAAAGAACAAGAAATGAAAGTTGCAACTGACGCAGCTGAGAAAGTCTTGGAAGAGGTTTTAGCAGCGTCGGAAATTACGAATAAAATTAAGGAAGAGGCAACGATTGTGAAAGATAAGGCGGAAAAACTTGTAGCCATTATCAGTGTTGATCAACAAGAAGCTGAAAGTAAATTAATGGCAGCTAAACCGGCTTTAGATGCGGCTGAAGCCGCCCTTTTGGTACATTTCAATCAAACTTAAAGGAAAATTCAATTTTTTTTGTAGACTATCAAAGCTGCTGATATTGCTACAGTCAGAAAATTGGGCAAACCGCCTTATCTCATTACGCTTATCATGGATTGTGTATTGATTTATTTCAAGAGAAAACTTGAACCTGTTAAGGCCGATCCTGAAAAAGGATTCTTAATTTCGTCATGGACTGAATCACTTAAGGTTGTTTAGGTTTGGAAAAACCTAAAAATAAAATTTTTGTTTAGGTGATGGCTGACACGAAATTTTTGAATAAGTTGCAAGAATACCCCAAAGACACAATCAATGCAGAAATTGTTGATTTGCTTCAACCTTACTTTGGTTTTCCTTTGTACACATATGAGAATGCTAAAACGGCTTGTGGTAACGTTGCCGGTCTCATTTCTTGGACTATTGCGATGGCGGCGTTCTTTGAAGTTAACCGAGAAGTTTTGCCATTGAAAGTAAAAAAAAATTACCTCTCTTTACAACACTTTCTAAATTTGAACACCACAGGCTAACCTGGCTATCCAGCAAGCTAAACTGGATAGAGCCCAGGCTGAATTAGCCAGTGCTATGGAACTGTTGGCCGAAAAAGAAGAAGAAGTGCGTCAGTGTCAGATTCAATACGAAGAAGCAATGAAGCATAAACAAGTTAGTCACTTTTTACAATAAATCGTTTTTAAAACCGGTCAAATTGTAGGAAGTTTTTGATGATGCGATGAAAGTCAAAAATAAAATGGACTCGGCTACTGCCCTTATAGACGGTTTAGCTGGTGAAAGAGTCCGATGGACGGAACAACTAGCTCAGTTTAAGGCTGAAACGGATCGATTAATCGGAGATGTGGTTCTTTTGGTCGGTTTTCTCAGCTACTCGGGGCCTTTTAATCAAGAATATAGAACAAATATGCAGAAATTTTTACTCGAAGCTGTGTTAAAACGTAAAATTCCAGTCACGATGAGTTTGAATATTATAGACAGTCTTACGGATACGGCAACTGTAATTTTCAGTATTTCTAAATTTGAATTAAATTGTCTTATGATTTTTTTAGATAGGAGAATGGAATTTGCAAGGCTTGCCCACTGACGAGCTATCGATACAAAACGGGATTATAGTCACATCTGCGTCACGATTTCCCCTACTGATTGACCCTCAAAGTCAGGGAAAATACTGGATTAAGGCAAAAGAAAAGGAAAATCATTTACTTGTCACTTCACTCAACCACAAATATTTCCGAAATCATATCGAAGACGCTGTTTCTTTAGGTTATCCCATGATTGTTGAAGACATAAATGAAGAGTTGGATCCCGTCTTGGATAACGTGCTGGAAAAAAATCACATCAAAGTCGGAACTACGTATAAAGTTAAAGTTGGGGACAAAGAAGTAGATGTTCATCAAGATTTCCGAATGTATATCACAACCAAGCTTGCTAATCCTTCCTACACTCCAGAAATTTTTGCACGAACTTCCGTCATCGATTTTACGGTCACAATGAAAGGTTTGGAAGATCAGCTTTTGGGCCGAGTGATTTTAACAGAGAAGAAAGAACTGGAAGCGGAAAGAACAAACCTTATGCGAGATGCTACTGCTAATCGACGAAAAATGCAAGAATTGGAAGCTAATTTATTGTATAAATTAACAACGGTGCAAGGATCACTCTTGGATGATCCTACAGTCATTGATGTGTTGAATATTACGAGAAATACAGCGAGTGAAATTAGAGAAAAACTAGCAATTGCTAAAGAAACCGAAATTAAGATTAATGCAGCAAGAGAAGAATTCCGGCCTGTGGCCACTAGAGGTAGTGTTTTGTACTTCTTGGTGGTCAGTATGGCAATGGTCAATAATATGTACCAAACGTCTCTAGTCCAATTTTTGGAACGATTCGATTTATCTATGTATAGATCTGAGAAAAGTAATATCACGTCAAAAAGAATTGTTTTTATTATCGACTATTTGACTTTCGAGATATTCAAATACAAGTCACGTGGTCTTTATGAGATTCACAAGTACATGTTTGTGCTTCTCATGTGTCTGAAAATCGACTTGGAGCGAGAGCACATAACACATGAGGAATTCCAAAATTTTATAAAAGGGGGCGCCGCATTGGACCTCAACACATGTCCTCCTAAACCCGCCAAATGGATCACAGATATGACATGGTTGAATTTGGTCGAATTGTCGAAACTTCGCCACTTTCAATACATCGTCCAGCAAATAACAGCAAATGATAAACTCTGGAAACATTGGTTTGATAAAAATGCCCCAGAAGAAGCTGTGGTACCTGATGGATATAACAATTTGGATACTTTCAGAAAATTGCTACTGATACGGTTTAATATCAATTTGTTTTGGCCACAATAACAAACAATTTTTCTAGAGCTTGGTGTCCAGATCGAACAATAACTCAAGCAACCAAATACTTAGCCAGTTCTTTGGGTCCGAAATTTGCAGAACCAGTCGTTTTGAATTTGGAAACGTTGTATTATGAATCTCGAGGGTTGACACCGATGATTTGTTTTTTGAGTATTGGGTCAGATCCGACTCCGTATATTGAACAGTTGGCTAAAAGGCTCGAAACTAAGGTTAAATCGATTTCGATGGGGCAAGGTCAGGAAGTACACGCGAGGAAACTGATGACGCAAGCTATGTCCGAGGTTTGAATCCAATTCACTTTTTTCTAACAACTTTCTCACGAGTAAAAACAAACAAAAACCTAGTTTTTCATTTGCACAAGTTTTTTAGCTTGCTTTGAACTACATACCAAATAAATATTTTTCATGATTTATTTCCCCGCTTGGGACTTCTAGCTCAACCAAAAATACCGCTTCTTTGCATGAATCAAAAACCAAATTAAAAACTAGCGTTTTGATTGAGACATAAAAAAAACTTGTATCCTGAGTGAGCTAGAATCAGCACTATAAACTACTCTCACTAGTGTGTCCACATTTTTTTTTTAATATTATTGGATGGTGGTAGCGGTTATTATGCCATCTTTCGGACCGACTTAAAGATATGGACCATCATGTGAGGGCTAAAATCGTAAATGGGCGCTTCTCTGTAAACTAGACAACTCGGTCTAAGAAAGTGTCTATACCACTTTTGTTCTTATAGTATATTAAAAAAATCTTACTAATGGAATAGGTATCTACCTGGTTAATAATAAACAGCAGATAAATCTTTAATATTTTCATTATCTTAGGAAATATTGAGCATTTTGTACAGGGGCTGTTACCTAAGGCAGGGGACTGTTTATTTAAATGAAAAACAGTGTTTTAGTAGCAAAACCTTTTTTATTTTTAGAATTGAACCAGTTATTGTAATTAAAGAAAAGTAGTTATCACATAAATAAAGCACGAATAGTTAAAGAAAAAATAGAATCAAAGGTTACTTAAATTAGAGCTTATCGTTTTTCAAAAACATTTACAGGTGAATCAAATTTGTAGAATACCCTATTCCGTTTTAAAAGTATATTTGGATTAGGGAGTTTTTTATCACCTGATCCATTGTTATATCTGCTACATCCTCTTGATCAAATCTAAATGTTTGACCTTTATTATCGGAGAGCTTTAGATAATGTGACACGAATTTCACCGTCTTCTTCATCTGTATCGTTTTTGTTTCCGTACTTGTTTTCTAGTAATAAATTCTTTCTTTCCTGCACCTTGTCTACTGTTAGAATCATCTTCATAAAAATCCACAACAGCTCTAGCACATTCATTTGAAACTTTGTTTTTTCTAACCATTTTGCATTTTTCACTCTCTTATAAGTTATCACCCCTGCGTCTTTCATTCGCCAACGTGCTTTCCTGTTATTACTTTGGTTAAAAGTCTTTTTTTCTTTTATTGTTTTCATCTCGGAAAAATTCTCTTTTAATTGCTCCTTTAATGCCTCACCAAATAGTGCCTTTTTAACTAGATCTTTTCTAGATTCTGGAGTATCTGCCATTTTCTGTAACCTTGTTTTCAATATATCTTTAGGCTTAGCATTTTCATTATTCTTTAATCTCGACAGGCGTTTCTTGTATTTCAATAGTTTTTTCTTCAGATCTTTAATTTCTTCATCTTTCTTCTTTTTTATTTTATATCTCAACATCTTTTCTCTATTATTTTTTTTTAGAATTAATTCAACAACTTCAGGTATTGCTAGTTGAGTTGATACTTCCGAGTTTGTTACATTTCTTAATACTTTTTTCTCATTGCGGTACTTTTTGCAGTACTCTCTTYACTTCWTTTTTGCTTCTCGGTGTTYTCGTGGAGTCATGTCTTTAACAAGCTTCCTAGTGCCCTTTTCTTTTTTTTAAGATATTTAAGACGTTCTTTCTCCCTAAGTGTTTCCCTTTTTTGCGGATCGTTTTTGTTGCGCTCATATCTCTTTCGCTCATTTTCGTAAAATCTCTTCTTTAGTGAGTTTTTTTTTTAGTGTCATGCTCAAACAATATCTAAAACAACAACAAACATATATAAAGACAGTCCCCTGCAATCGTAAACAGTCCTCTGGCCCATTATGGTGCAGGGGACTGTTTGCCAAGGGACTGTTTAATTTGATTTCATTAGAAGGTAGCTCAAAATATAATTAAGTTATGTTAATTTGCTGTAGGTACATAACTAATATCTATTATAACAAAATAAATTTTCTAACATGTAAAGAAAATAGATAAAAAGAAATTAAAATAATATCAGGCAACGACGCTCGTGTAGGTCGTTTACATTACGTTACACGCATTAACGCAATAGTTTAAGCTGTAGACAGGGGGACTGTTTATAAAATGCTGAGACAAACTTTAATTTAATACTTTAAATTTGTAAAGAAATAAAAAATAAGCAAGTCCCATTAGTAATCATGTAATATTGTTCAATTAATCAAATAGTTTGATTGATTCTTAAAGTTATTGTTTTAATTTATTTAACTTGAACCAACTATATTGTATAGGTGACACGACAGGGGACTGTTTTTTGATCATTATAAAAACGTTTTTACATATACATAATAACCTATACTTTTTATATTATATCGGCTTGAGACGAGTTGCCCAGTTTACAGAGAAATGGCCAAATATTTTTAAATTTGTAGGGTTTTTGGGCTTTGTTACAAAACTGCCACCTCTCGCTGGACTACATGAATGAGGTCCTGATGCAGTTTATGGAATTGGAGAAAGGGGTCGGTACGTACCATCAGGACTTTAGATTGTGGATTACGACCGAAGTGCATGAAAGTTTCCCGATTAGTTTGCTCCAAATTTGCATCAAATTCACAAATGAGGCTCCTTCTGGAGTCAAAGCTGGATTACAACGCACTTACACTTCAATGAATCAAGACATGTTGGATTATTCCGACGCTTGGCAGTACATTCCTTTAGTGTATGCTATTTCATTTTTGCACACAGTGGTGCAAGAAAGGCGAAAATACGGACCACTTGGTTGGAATATACCATACGAGTTTAATTCAGCTGATTGGTTGGCTAGTTGTTTGTTTGTTCAAAATCATTTGGATGATTTAGATCCCAAACGGGGAGTGAGTTGGCCCACTGTCAGGTTTGATTGCTAAATAAAGAGTCGTATTTGCATTAGAATAAAAATTTTAAGATACATGCTAGGGGAAGTCCACTATGGGGGTCGAGTCACCGACGATTTTGATAAACGACTTTTGAACACGTTTTGCAAAGTGTGGTTTCATGATGAAATGTTCCACGACGATTTTATGTTTTATGAAGGTTACAAAATTGTGAGATTTAAAAATGTGTCAGAATATGTGACCCATATTGAGACTTTTGCTACGAGTGATCCTCCACAAGTCTATGGACTTCATCCGAATGCTGATATTACGTATTGATTATTTATGTGATGCGACATGTTGATAAAATTATTTTGTAGTTATCAAACAAACACGATTGCAAGCATGTTTTATACCATGGTTTCTATTCAGCCTAAGGAGGCTGGAGCTGGTGGTGGTGAAACTAGAGAAGATGCGGTGACAAGACAAGCAAAAGAAATGTTAGAGAAGCTTCCATCGAATTACGATCCCTACGAAGTGAAAGAAAGACTACGAATTATGGGAATTTTGAATCCTTTGAATATATTTTTGCGACAAGAGATTGATCGAATGCAGAAAGTCATCACGAATGTTCGGACGACACTGAAAGACTTGTTACTCGCCATTGAAGGGATTATTATAATGAATGAGGTAATAAAATTGAAAAAAATCTCTAATTTTGATATTTTAAATGAGAATAGTCGTTACGGGACGCCCTCGACAACATTTACGATGCTCGTGTGCCATTTGTATGGAGAAGAGGCTCGTGGACTGCCAACACACTTGGCTTTTGGTTCACAGAGTTGTTGGAGCGAAATGCCCAATTTAGCACTTGGTGTTTCGGTGGCAGACCTTTGACTTTTTGGATGGCTGGATTTTTCAATCCTCAAGGTATAAATTTGACGTGCAACCATTTATTCTAAAGTAAAAAAATAGGATTTTTGACTGCAATGAAGCAGGAAGTTGCACGAGCCCATAAAGGCTGGGCTTTGGATCAAGTGAAGTTGCAAAATGTGGTGTTAAAGAACTTAAAAGAGGAGATTTTGCAACCTCCTTTGGTAAAACAAATTTGCAAGTTTATGGATACGATTAAGAGTATCCTGTTTTAGGAAGGAGTTTACGTTCATGGATTGTTTCTTGATGGTGCCGGTTGGGACCGCAGAAATGCGCGTCTTAATGAGTCTATTAATAAAGTTTTGTATACTATGATTCCGGTTGTACACATTTTTGCAACATATGGAACAGAGTTGAAAACGACCAATCTTTATGTCGTATGTAAAACTGTGAGAATTTGCAACGGTTTTGTAATTTTTTTTTTTCAGTGTCCTGTTTACAAAAAGATGCGAAGGACTGATTTGAATTATATAACGAGTTTGTATCTGCAAACTGTTAAACCCCCTGAACATTGGGTTCTTCGTGGAGTGGCTCTACTGTGTGACACGCAGTAATAAATACATTGTTTATGTACTTACTTTTTTAATATAATTTTTTTTTGAATCGTTTTGTTTTTATTATAGCAGCAATAGAAATTGTGACTTTAATTCCTCAAAGTTATTTACATTTTTATTATTATCACACTAGAATTTACAGACGAAATGTACACTTGAGTGCAAAAAAAACGCAAATTGTCAAAAACAAAATTGTCAAATTTTTCGGAGATTTACATGGTGTAAAAAAGGTTGTTCCCAAAAAGGTTAGAAAACTATCAAAAGAAATGTCTTTATTTGGTGGTCTTGCCATTGCAGTGTCATAGTCAGTGTTAAAAACGTAATGGAAAAACTTGACAGAAGTTTGGGAGATGCCTCACAATTATGAAATTGTAAATTGTGACAAACATAACGTCAACAACTGGCATTTATTAACAGGCCAAATTACATCATAAAAAAATCAATTTGCGGTTTTTTTTCGAACTCAAGTGTACTGTAAAGTCTGCTTTTTCTTAATGGAAATGTCAAACAAACTTAACGTTGGCACCACTATAGTAAATTCATTTATGGTAATTTTAATAAAGGAAGTTGGCACTTCCGGTTTTGTGAATTAATTTGAAAACAATGTCATTAAACGTCAACACAAAAAATCGTCTAAGAAAATTTAGAGACAAAACACCAAAAAAGGAACAAATTCGGTACCGCTGACAGTTTTTAGAAATTTGGAAACAAATAGTTCGCAAGCAGGAAGTTAGAAAAAGGTCCCGTTAAAATGTAGACGCATTTGTGCTAAACATTTTTAATTTTTAGCAAAAAATTGACAAGAATACAAAATAAACATGAATTTGAAAGAACCTCAAAAAGAACGCAATTAAATTATTGTCTTGTGTATCGTTTTTGGGAACGAGTTGAAAAAGTAACAATTTTGAAACTGAAGCTGAAGAATTTATAAAATGCATCAACTTTGAGCTCATTTCAATTAATTACACAAAATTTATTGCCAATCATCATAATATGTATGTACAGTTGCGGAATTAAAATTTCGGACAGTATTGTCATTTTCACAATGTAAACTCTAAAACAAGGTTTACATTAATAACCTCATTTTTTACTCTTGTCATGTTTATGTCATTTTAACACTGACAGAAAAGTTTAATTGTCAAATGTCAGTCATGATGACAGTAAAAGGTAGTTTACAGTGAACTTTTTGAAGTGACAGAAAAATACTGCCCGAAATTTTAATTCTGTAACTGTACAAACCTACTTGTATCTTTTGCTAAATAACTTTTTTCTGTGTATACATCCTTGAAGTCAAAATTTTGACATCTCAATTTGAAAACATAACCCCTGATTAACCATAATTTTTAACAAAATTTCTGGGGACAAAACAAAGAGCAAACAAAATTTGTAGCTATGGAAACTAGCTGACCAATTTTTTCACCAAAATTTTGACTTGGTAATTTCCATTTAAAGAAAAAACACTTTTTATCTACGTTGATTCTTACCATATTTTCTTACAGTAACGAAACGAAGTTTATATCAATTTTTTGCGGTTTGATTATGTCAACAATGACATGTCATTTTTGACAGACGAAATTTTATGTCCGAAAAGCCGGTAATTATTTGTGTGATTAGTGATTAATTTACATTTTTGAAGTTTGAAAAATAAGTAAAAATGTCTTTGCTACCTCTAGAGTCTAACCCTGATGTGTGTAAATATATAAAAACAGTATTTCTGAACTAACATTTTTAACTTTGTAGGTTATGAACAAGGTAAGGGGAGAGTAAATTGTATGTATTTCAGGTCGAAAAGCCTTTTTATCGTACAAATATTGAATTTGATGAAAATAAACATATTTTTAGTTTCTTCACTTGCTGGGGGTTCCTGGCAAATGGAATATTGTGGATGTTTATGGGCTTGATGGGGATGCCCTGGCTTGGGTACCAAGACCAGTGCTGGCGTTAATTTTGTTATTTCCTTGTAGCGAACAGGTAAAAATAGTATTGTGCGGAATTATAACGTAAAGAACTCAATATTTCTAGTTCTATAAACATGCTGAAGAGGAATGTGCAAAACTGAAAAATGAAGGTCAAACTCTTTCTCCCGATCTTTTCTACATGAAGCAGTATGTTTCGAATGCCTGTGGAACAATTGCACTTATACATTGTGTGGCAAATAACATGGAAAGGTGACTAATAATGTAAAAAATACACAATCTGTAATTTTTACAACAGGGTTGGACTCCAAGATGGGCCTTTTAAGAAAATTATAGAAGACGCCAAAAAATTAACTCCTGAAGGGCGTGGCGAAATGCTCCTCAAATCGAAGAATAATGAAGCACTTAACTTGATATCTACTCACCAAGAACTGGCCATGGAGGGACAAACTGAGGTTTCTTTCTTTTTCCTTCATGTCCTAAAATATTCAAAAAAAATTATAGGTAAATCCAAATGAACAAGTAAATCACCATTTTGTGGCTCTAGTCGAAAAAGACGGTCATTTGTATGAATTAGATGGACGCAAAGAATTTCCAGTTAATCATGGACCTACAACAGAAGCCTCATTTTTGGAAGTATGATGTTATTTCTTCTTTCTCACAAAATCCAACTTGTTTATTTGTTAGGATGCTGCCAAAATCTGTCGCGAATTCATTGCAAGAGATGCCGAAGATGTCAATTTTACTGTGATGGCGTTAACTGCTTCAGACAACTAACTTAAAAAAAAACAAGCATAGACCTACTATTAATTCTAGTTTGTTTTAATAAATGTTAATTTATTTAAACCTTAACACGAATATACCAAAAATATCAAAAAATGGTTCACCTATAAATTTCAATTACCAGCATAGCTTTTGTTGGGCCTTGTTTAGTTAATTAATTGTATTTTTTATTTTTTTGCACATTGGTTATGCGATTTGTAACAGTGGTATAAAATAAAAATGAAACATTTTTTCATCAGTCTGTTATTTTGCTCTTCAGGATTAATTTCATGTTTATATGATCAAAAATTAAGAAAATCACCATCACGAATTCACAGATAAAGGAAATATAGGCTGATTTATAAGGTAAGCAGCTTGGAAAAATAAAATCAACACTTGTATTGTCGAAATTAATTTTTTAATTTAGCTAAAAAAAATTAATTTTTTGTCATTCTTTTTTTTAAATAGCTTTATTTTTGTGTACTTCTACTTCAAAGAGACGTAATTTCCTAAGAACATTATTAATTTTAATTATTTAAAAATGTTTAATACAAAAAAAGTATATACAGGTGCGCCAGAACTCGCGCCCCAGAGAAAATTGTCAAGTAAGGTAAGATACCAGGAACACGGAAAAAATGTTTAAAAAATTCTTATTGTCAAAAAATTTTGACATTAATTTTTTGACATTTGACGTTTTTTTGTGTATTTAATGATACTGATGATCTTGTATATATTTTTTTACAATTATTTAGTAAAGGTACAAAAATTTTGACAATAAAAGCCACAAATAATATTGAACAGAGTTACAACAATTTAGGATACAGCTTCCTTGTTTCCTCTTTTAATAGCCTGTAGCAAAAAAACTTGGAAAATTATTTTTCCAACAGAAATAAATAAGAGTCAAAGTGCAAAATTTAAACCCTCATAACTCCGAAATTTTTATAGATAAATTTTTTTAAACATTTTTTCCATGTTCCGGGGTCTTACCTTATATGGATTTTTCTCTGGGGCGCGAGTTCTGGCGTATCCTGTATTTTAGACAAGAAACTGAAAAATATGTAAGTCAATTATTGTCACTCAACTTAAACGTAGATTTCAAGTTTTAATAGACAAAAATAAAAAAAATATTATTTAAGTGAAGTACGACAGTAGTTTTTTTTTGTTACAAGTTACCCAACTAAAATACAGTTTTTTTGGACAAATCGTTGCTGTTTCCTGCTGGAATAGCAGATGAGTACAGAAATTTTTTTAACGACGTGTTACAAACAATATTTTTTGTTAAAGCTCCGAAAAACATTCAAATTCGTATTTTTTATGTTTTTGTATACGTTCCCAAAAATAGGACACACTTTAATCCCTAAAATGAGCAGATTTTTTCGGACTTTTCGGAAAAAAATCTGTAAAAGACCTATGTAGGGATTATTTTGAAAAAGCCCGTAATAGATTGATTCTAGGGACTAAACCAACTAAATAAAATCAAACAATCATTTCTGAGAGCATATAAAAATATATAAATAAATAAAAAAATAATTTCAATAAGGTAAACACACAACAGTATTATGGAATCATCACGGGCAATTTAGACCTTTTAGATTATCAGATTTAATTTCGATAAAGTGCAATTTTGACGCTTTTAGCCAATAGAATAGTATCCTTGCGTAGCCGATCATTAATACACTTAAACATGTTAGAGGTAACGTCAGTAAAGCCGATGTTGTTTTTAATTGTGAATTTGAAAATGTATTTAGTAAATTCTGCATTATTAATCGACCGAGAAAATCCGAATTTAAAAACATGCGTGACAAAAATTGTCGAAGAAAATTTCAACTTTTCAAGTACTGTTATACTAACAGATAACCAGTTTGACACCGACATTCACAATTTTTCTGGAATATTGCGCATCGATGGTACGAATCTGGAAACTTTAAAACAAATAGACGAAAAAGTCAGTCATTTTATTATAAGTTTTGGTAACACCGATCAGTTAAATGAAACTTTCTTTGTGTTAAAACAGTCGTATTGTTTCAATTCAAGAGCTGAGTATTTAGTGATTGCTGAGAGTTACGAAGATATTCAAGTAATAACAGAAACGTTATGGTTTTACCGTTTGTACAAATCTGTAATTGTTTTGGGACACAACGTTACAGAAGTTTTCGAAATTGATTTAAAAAATTCCAAATGTGGAGATGTTATCAGACCAGTTAGTCGAGGTTATTGTCACGAAGCAAGCTCAAGTTCTAAATTATTCATGCCTGATTTGAAAAATAATTTTCACAATTGTCCTTTAAAGATAATTTTTTCTGCAATTGAACCATGGGTAATTAATAATTCTTCCGGAATTTTCGTTGATGTGGTAAATCTCTTTGCACAAAAAGCCGGATTTGAGTTGATTTTCATGCCGGAAGATTCTGCATATAGTGAAGAACTTCAGGAAAGTTATTCATTTACTACAGTACAAGAAGACTTTGAGCAAGGATATGCTGATATTTTTCTCGGATTGGGGAACAATTTACCTTATGTTATTTTTGAAACGACTGGAACTATTTATGACGATAATTTATACTGGGTGGTTCCAAAAGCACAAAGAATACCATTCTGGAAAGCAATGATAGAATATTTCCCATCTTCATTCTGGCTAACTATTTTTTTGTCATTAATTATTATCTGCTTGGTATTCAGCATTATTGCCAGAGAATTCCGAAAAGAAAGTCGTTTCAAAGATGGGACTCGAAACGTGCTTTATATTTTTTCAATTGCTCTTAATATTTCCATCCCACAATTACCAAAAACTGCCACTTTGCGAGTTCTTGTTTTAATTTATTCCTGGACAGCACTGTTAATTTGTACCATACTCCAAGGAAGCCTATATGACATTTTTAAAAATCCATTATACGAAAACGACATTACCGATTTAGATAAACTTTTAGAATCAGACTTACCAATGAAATTCACAGATGGACTAGCAATTTTATTTATACATAATGGTGCACAAAATCGCCGCGTTTTTGATCGATACACTGGCATGAACATAAAACTTGTGGAAAGTTTAGATTTGTTGATTTCAGAAAAAAACTTTGCAACCATAGTTGATACCGGAGTTTTGATAATGCGTCCAAATATCCGAGAAAGTGTTAATATTTTTGATATCGCTTATTTCCAGACTGTGTTTTACATGAAGAAATATCACGAGCTTTTTGATGTTTTTGATAATGCGCTTAAGCAGATCGTAGAGAGTGGTTTTGTTAGCAAGTTTGTCTCGGACATGCGCTGGAAATGTTTTCTAAAACATAAAACTGATTACGAACATGATTCTCTACAACTTTCTTTGGAGCATTTTCAAGGCGCTTTTATGATCCTGATATGTGGGTGGATAGCCGCGGCTGTTGTTTTTGTATTTGAATCGATTTATTACGTTATAATGAAAAAACTTAAAAATGGGAATCCAAAAATCGCCTAATAAGATTACTCAAGTTCTTTATAATTGACATTTTTGTAGAATTAGTTGTAGTAAGTAGTAAAAAAACACTAAATTAAAGTGTGTATTTTTTAAACGAAGTTACACAGCTTTTTAAATACTTAGTAGCAACTTTACCAATGGTGGAGAACAGAAATAAAAGCCTTTGACAGTTCTTATATTTGTTTTATTTCTATTACTACATCCGTCCCAAGTTCTAAAATACACTACTCCAAAAAATTAAAGGAACAGTAATTTTTCCTAAATTTTTTGGTGATTTTTGAAAGGCTGCATCTCATTCAAAAATGGTCGTATCTATATTTAAAAAAAACATTTTGAAGCTTTAAGTTTCTAGTTTTGAGACCTTTTGGCAAATTTTTTTGTGCTAACACAATCCTGGAATACTTTCTTACAAGATCCTTTTTTGATTTTTTGAAAATTTTTTTTTCACTTTTAACATTGATTGAAATTTTTTTTTTTTTAAATCATAAAAAGATTTTGTAAGACAAGTTTTTACAGTAGGTATTCCAGCTTTTTGACAATACCCTTATATTCTCTGTGTGGTCATTGGTTGCTGAGATATCAATGATCAAAGACAATTTTCATTTAAAGTCAGATATCTCAGCAACTAATTGACGTAAAAAGAATATGAAAAAAGCATATTAAAGGTGAATAAACATGCTATCCGGCCTATGCATTGACTTGACTAAAAACAAAAACAAACAAATTTAGAATTTTTTTTCTCGCGCTATTACTTAGGATTGCGTGCTAGCCGTAGCACAAAGAAAAATTTTGCCAAAAGGTCTCAAAACTAAACTAACTTAAAGCTTCAAAATGTTTTTTTTAAATCTAAATACGACTATTTTTTGATGAGATACAGCCTTTCAAAAATCACCAAAAAATTTAGGAAAGATTTTTGTTCTTTTAATTTTTTGGAGTACTGTACTTATCACATTTGTTTTTTTTGTACTATTGTTAAAATGAAAAACACGAAAACAATACAAATTTAAGAATGTGTGGGAATTTACAATCGTCATCTACATCTTTTAAAAAAAGCTGAGAAATAATACTACACAAAAGTAACTTTTATTCATATTTTAATTTTTAATAAACAAATACTTACACTAAGCACAACTTTACAACTAAAATTCCAATAATTTTGCATAATTCGGCAAATAATAAAAAACTACATAGATCTCTAATTAATTATACACTCTATAATTACATCACTAGTGTACACTACTTAATTACACACAACTAAAAAATATCAAATACAAAAAAAAAAAAATCTGGTTGAAAATATGTACCTATGTTGGGCGACCATTGATGATCTTTTAAGTATAAGAGAGTTGTACAATAGAAGAAAAAAAACAATACAAAACAATAATAATTTTCTTTGTATTTTTGTGTAAAAATGTGTTTGCTCATGTTTGCTCACATGTATGTAGTTTCAGTTGTCAATTTTTTTAGTGGTTTAATAGTAATTGGAATGGAAAACTTTAGAGGTCAGATCCAAATCCAAAATTTTATGGGCAAACATGGCATAAACTAGTGTTATTATGTTATTAATATTCAGTGAAAACTAAAATGAAATTAAAACTCTAACGTTTCTGAATCACACATCAAGGTCACTTTTTACTGAGATTTGTAGAAAAAATATTTATCTACCAACGTTTCCTTTCTGAACAATTTTTTTCATTGTCCTGAAATTCTTTTTTTTATTTTTTCAGCTATGCCAAAATATGTAAACTCAATTACAAAAATAAGAGTGGCAGCCATCCAACCACTTGCCAAAACCATAAAAGCACCTTGAAAGTGTTTCAAAGAAAACTTTAGTGTACCATGTTCATTATCAGTTTTTTGTTTCAGAAAACACTTCCAACGCATATCAGACACAAACTTATTAACGAAACCACTCTCCACAATTCGTTTCAGCGCAGTATTAAAGACATTAAAAAGCTCGTGATGTTTTTTCATGTAAAACACAGTTTGGAAATAAATGATATCAAAAATATTAACACTTTCTCGGATATTTGGACGCATGATCAAAACTCCGGTATCAACTATGGTTGCAAAGTTTTTTTCTGAAATCAACAAATCTAAACTTTCTACAAACAGCATATTCATGCCAGTGTATCGATCAAAAACGCGGCGATTTTTTGCACCATTATGTATAAATATAATTGCTAGTCCATCCATAAATTTCATTGGCAAGTCTGACTCTAGAAGTTTATCTAAATCGGTAATGTCGTTTTCGTATAATGGATTTTTAAAAATATCATACAGACTTCCTTGAAGAATGGTAATAATTAACAGTGCTATCCAGCAATAAATCAAAACAAGAACTCGCAAACTGGCATTTTTTGGTAATTTTGGAATAGAAACATTAAGAGAAATTGAAAAAATATATAGCACGTTTCGAGTTCCATCTCTGAAACGACTGTCGTCCCGATGTTTGCACGCAATAATGTTGAATATTACACACATTAGAAAAAATGTCAAGTGGATACACATCCAGAAAGAAAATGGAAAATATCTTATCATAGCTTTCCAAAATGGCATTCTTTGTGATTTTGGAACCGCCCAGTATACATTATCGTCGTAAATTGTCCCAGTCGTTTCAAAAATAGCATAAGGTAAATTGTTCCCCAATCCGAGAAAAATATCAGCGTATCCTCGCTCAAAGTCTTCTTGTACCGTATTATATGTGTAACTTTCCCGAAGTTCTTCACCATAAACCGAATCTTGCGGCATGAAAATCAACTCAAATCCGGCTTTTTGTGCAAAGAGATTTACCACATCGATGAAAATTCCGGAAGAATTATTAATTATCCAAGGTTCTACTGCAGAAAAAATTATCTTCAAAGGGCAATTGTGAAAATTATTTTTCAAATCAGGAATAAATAATTTAGAACTTGAGCTTGCTTCGTGGCAATAACCTCGACTAACTGGTCTGATAACATTTCCACATTTTGAATTTTTTAAATCAATTTCGAAAATTTCTGTAACGTTGTGACCCAAAACAATTACAGATTTGTACAAACGGTAAAACCATAACGTTTCTGTTATTACTTGAATATCTTCGTAACTCTCAGCAATCACCAAATACTCAGCTCTTGAATTGAAACAATACGACTGTTTTAACACAAAGAAAGTTTCATTTAACTGATCCGTGTTACCAAAACTTATAATAAAATGATTGACTTTTTCGTTTATTTGTTTTAAAGTTTCCAGATTCGTACCATCGATGCGCAATATTCCAGAAAAATTGTGAATGTCGGTGTCAAACTTGTTATCTGTTAGTATAACAGTACTTGAAAAGTTGAAATTTTCTTCGACAATTTTTGTCACGCATGTTTTTAAATTCGGATTTTCTCGGTCGATTATTATTGCAGAATTTACTAAATAAATCTTCCAACTCAAAATTAAAGACAATAACAGTTTTCTTGACGTTGTTTCGACCATGATTAAGCACAAGTGTTGAAAACATAAGACAAGAAAGCATAATTTAAAAATAATTGACACCAATGGGCAACAATGGATACGACTAAAAGCGTCAAAATGGGAGACACTTTATCGAAATTAAATCTAAAAGAAAATTGGAGACTAAATCGTCGATTATCATTGACTTATTGTTGCTCATTTTATTGAGATATGTCCAAATTTATTATTTATAAATTTATTTGTTTGTTTATTAAAATACCATCGCAACAACCTAAACATTGTGTAGATTTAAAAAATATGCATTTGGTAATGGTATATAAAAAATAAACCTATTTTCCTAATGAACTGCAATAAAAAATAAAAATGATATGTAAAAATTCGTTTTTTATTAATTTTGGCCTCCCGACCAATGCCCAAACAATTTATAGTTACACCAAATTCGCAAAGTCAAAAAATAAATTATCTCCACTAATGTAATCAACGAAAATCCGGTAAATAATCCCAGCAGCCCCCCAAGATTCGCTATCAAATCGCAAACTCCATACAGTTCATTCCTTTCCAAAGTCTTAAATTGTTCAGCTTTGAAGAAAATTGACACAATCGACCAGTGATCCCTAAAAATTTGAAAACTCTACGTGTCATTAAAAAAAGAGAAAATTACTCGTCTTTTGCGTCCTCCCAGTCAATTTTCAAGTTGTGCCTTTTCCGAATTTTGAAATATTCCCTCCAATAAAAATCACTGTGAGACGTTTCGACTCCGTACATCAGGGACGTACAAGGGGGTTTGCAATCACACAACGTTTTTTCCGATATTCGATCCCCAAAATTTTTGACTTTCAATTCGTCTGAAAATGAATTAATTAAATTTACTTTAATTAAACTTTCGACGCACTTTCGGCCTCCTCCATGCAATCAACGTTTCCGCTGCCGCAAATACGTGTCAAATTATCTCCTAAAAATGCAATTAAATAATTAATTACTTCAATTCGTCCAAATTACTTGGCATAAAATAATTAACACAACCGCACTTTTGCAGTGTATAGTTTGTCAAGCATTCCAAAAGACAGTTTGATTGTGTATAAACTTTGAAATGTCGCAATGACCTTTCATTGCTCAAATAACATTGTCGAGTTTCAGGCGAAAATTTTTGAACAGCTTCTGAAGTTAAAATTAATTCCGGATTAATTGCTGCTGTTACAATTTTATCAATGGGGACGCGAAAATAATTCTGCGTTAGGCGAGGAACATCCCACGGATTATGGATCAAAATCTGAAAAAAAATTGAATTTTTTAAATTATTTTATTTTATTATTTTACTCGAAATCCTTGCATGAAAGCACTGCAAATATAGTCGGTATCGTTGCTGTTAGTCTTTAAATAAACATCAAGTGAGTTGAGAGCACCTGACATTAGTGCTCTTCGGGGATAAGTGTTTATGCCAGATTCAGGATCGTAGCCAGAATCTGTATTAAAATTTTTCGAATCGTTTAAAACTTGATAGAAATCGTCATGTTGGACCCTGAAATTGCACAAATCAAAAAATCTTAACCAAAAATAACTATTATACTTACACGTGATTTGTGAAAATGCGTTCACGATCTAAAATATTGAAAGAATAGCAAATCCCTTGATCGGTTATAACCGGGGTAAAAATATTTTTACAATCGTATGTGACTCCCATAAATTCACAGTCCATTTCGATTTCAGGAGCCAACTAATTAAAACTTAAAAATGTTTCAGATATTTATAAAATAAGCAAACCTTTTGGATATGTTGATAAAAACCGTCGTCTAGTAAGTTTTCGCCATTATTTATAATAAAATTTTTGTCGCACAACAAATTAACGTAGTTGAAGTAAAGGAGCCTGAAATTTGTATTTTGATAAAAAATTTTGACTGAAAAATCCCTACTCGGTCTTGTCGTAATTAATAGTTTTGTTGTTTTCCGTCACTTGGAAATAAATTTGAGTGAAGTTGAATTTTTTCGATGAGTATTTCGACTCTGGGCAAATCGTGACCGAAGGAAATGGAAATTCATAAACAGGGGTATCTATCGTTGAAAAATTCACAACGACGGGACTCGTTTGATATTTTTGCAAAATTTCATAAATCATATACAAGCAACACGCTAATGACACTAACACAATATTAGTCCAAAATATTCTAAAAAATAATGTAATTTTTTAAATAAATTTTGATTTACTCACTTTTCAAATGTTGATCTTCTTTCAGTGATGTATCTGAGGCCATGTATGCCCGTGACATCGTTGTATTCTTTAAAATATTTAAAAATGTGACTTTGCTGATTTTGTTCCTTCTCTACGGTCATTTCTGGGCGAATCATTGCAACATTGTGCAGTCCGAGTGGATTTACAAGGACATTTATTTTCGCGTGTGTGTGATAGCTATATTTAATAGAATTGAGATGAATCAGGGAATTCACTGCAAAGGGAATTGAAAAGTAATTAAATTTCAAAATCAATTATTGCAAAATTGCAAACTCCAAAGCATAGATATGAATTTCTGACAAATTTTACGTTTATTTACCTTGAAAAATATTGTTATTTGCAAACGTCACAAAAGTGGCCCTTTTACGACTAAATAGCACAAGTAAAAGTTTTAACTTTCAGGCATGGAGTAAAAATATTGTTTTTTGCTTTAGAAATTTTACTTTTACCTTGACATTTAGCAATGTTGTTTCTTTTTGGTCTCTTTCGCTGCTTCATAAATTTCTGGGGAGCAACACTGTATTTGAAATTTTGCCCTACTAACTGCACCAGTCATTTACTAGTTAAATCAATAAACACTTACAAATTCGTTTGCAGATAAAATAGCATATGTTATTTTGAGTAAAAGTGAGTCTATGTAGATTAGTTAAATTATTTGCCTCGCTACGTTTGGCAAAATAAACGTTCAGCTTCGCCACATAAAGTATTACTTTTACTCCTAATAACATAATATACTATTTTCATTGAGCGATAATTGGAAGATTTTATTTTTGGTTGTTGAAATTAATTTTTACGATTCTTGTGTTCCAATAAAATTTGTTTCTAATTTTTGAAATTCAAGTATTTTTGACAGCATGAACGCTTAATATTCACGAATGTATGTCGTTTTTTTAAAATGTTTTTTGTTTTTTTTATTGTTTTTCAGTTTTCAGTATTTATTAATCTCTTTTAATGAGAACCTACTGTTAATTTTTTTCGACAGATATTATGTAAAATTAATCCTCTTAGTAGAACAACATAATGAAAATTTTATCCTTAAAAAACGAATTGATTTTCTATAGCACTTTATATTTCAACAATTCTTATTTAAAGAGGTTGAATTTATACTTTTTGGTCACCCTGTATGTAGAACGCAAAGTGTATTAGCTTTTGTATGTTTCATTCTTTCGTAATAAACAGTAATAAAAGTTAGTAGTAATTAAATAAAAATTAGGTCAAAATAATGAGTTAGGTGTGAATTTAGAAATTCATTATTTGCATGTTATCATTCATTATTTAAAAAATTGGGTCAAATCTCACATTGTTAATTTATTTATCGCAAAATGTGAAATTAAAAAGCAAATTATTATATTTCTTGCAATAATTGGATTAAAATTTTTAATTGCATAAATGCAGAAGAATCTTTTAAAAGTAGTAAATGAAAGAATAGTTTTACTTAATATATCTTTACTGACTGCTTAACAAGCAAAAGTTACAGAAATAATAAAACTATTTTTAATCACTTCCTGAACCAAACCATTGTCCATGCAACCTAATGTTACAAAAAATCCTAACCGACAAAAAGTACAAGATTTCCATTAAAGACAAAACGGAAAATCCTGTAAACAGCCCCAAAAGTCCTCCGAAATTGGCCAAAAAATCTGTCGGTCCATACAATTCGTTTCTTTCCGATGTAATAAAATTATCGGACTTGAAAAACAAAGTTAGAGCCGAAAAATGTGAACTGAAACACAAAAAATTTATACAAAAACTAAGTCAAAATTTCATACTTGTTAATCCGAGGCAAATTTCTATGAGCTTTCAACCATTTATCCCACTCCCAATTCGTTTGAGACGTTTCAACTTCATAAGTCAAATCCGAACAAATTGGCAAACAATCACAATCAAAATTTTTCACACCCTTATCACTCGGTTTTTCAATTTTTATCGACAAATCTACCATATGCATAAGTGCTGAAAAATCAATTTTATTTGTCGACCAAGAAAATTGTAATAAAATACATTCCGCCATTGACATACACTCCAAACTGCCGATACCACAAATTTCAGTTTCATTATCCCCTGAAACAATTACTTCAGTCCTGAAAACATAATTACACAAAATTACTCGGCATGAAAAAATTAACGCAATCGCAAAGGTCAGACGTCCAATTCGCCAAACACTCGAGTTTGCAATTGGACGCTGAATAGTCCTGAAAAAATTGCAGTTTTCTTTCAGCAGCGAAATAGCACTTGCGTCTTTGGGGGTTGTAGGCTTTGATGGTTTCAGAGGTTGTAATCATGACGGGTTGCACAGCCCCTACGACACTTTGGTCAAGGGGAATCCTGAAATATTTTTGGTTGGGACGAGGGATGGTCATGGGGGTGTGGAGAAGGACTTTGTAGCCTTGGAGGGAATTTTTACAGGCGTAGTCGAGGTCTTGTTTAGGGGTGACAATTTTGAAACTTAGGCCCCACAAAACCCCAGATAAATAGGCCCGAAGGGGGTATGGGGAGAGTCCAGCGTTTGGTATATAGCCATTTTCTAAATGCCAGTCTGTTGTGTTAAATGGAGGTACGTGATAATTATCAAAAAATTGGCTAAAAAATTATGAAAATTAATTATTTTTTTAAATCTACTCCAAGTTACACGTTATCACGAAAAATGATGTCTCTGTGAAGCATATTAAAAGTGTAACATATACCGTCTTCCGTCACAATTGGAACAAAAGATTCGTTACATTCTGTATCAAATTTCATGTAAACACAGTCCTGAATTTGAAATTTTGGTTTAATTTTATCAATGACTGTAAAAAAGTCGTCTGAAAATGTGTTATTTTCCGAATAATTTAATTTCGAATTATGGTCACAAATTAGAGACATGTAATCGAACTGAGTCTGCCTGAAATTGCCGCTTAAATTAAATTAATTATAATTAATTACTTACTCCTCGGATGTTAGAGTAATATTATCTTCCAATTTGTGTAATATTTTGGTATAGTTAAACACATTTTGATCTGATTTTGATTCAGGACAAATTGTGACTGCAGGAAAAGGAATTTCGTAAATCGGTGTTCCTCGATTTGCAAAATTCACAATCACAGGACTTCGTTCCCATTTTTTGTAAACGGCGTAAATTGAAACTGTGCATGCCGCTAGGCATGCAGAAAACATGATAAACCACCATACTCTAAAAATTTATTTAAAAAAATTCAAAAATATATTCACTTGCCTTTCGAAAATTGTCCTCTTTTTTTCTCCAAAATATTGAAAGCCGTGGACGCTTGTCCGATTGCAATATTCGTGAAAGTAGAGTCGAACATTTGTGAAAAAAGTGCGCTTCATGGTGTTTGTGGTAACGATATGAAAAATTTATGACAATGTTAGACTAGTGTTTAGGGAGATGCCTTGCATGTATGACGTTATAGTCGACAGGGGATTATTATTTGTCTAATTAAAATTAGGCTCGCCCCAAATTTACTTTTTTAATGATTTTTTTAAATATTCAGAAATTTCATTTGTTTTGGATTCACAAATTTTTATTTCCAACTCTCCTATTTCAAGATTTTCTTATTTTTTTTTCAATGTGAAGAGAAAATTTTTATTCATAATTTGCAACTTTACGTTTGTCTTTGTATTTATTTACATTTTAGTTTCATGAACAAATTTAAAACAATAACGGATATATAAGTGGATGGTGAGATTTTTGTCTGTCAGGCGTCATATGTAATAAAATAAAAGAAGAATTCTAAAAAAAGATATTATCGAAGAATTTTTGTAGAAATGACGCTGCTTGAAAAAAAAATGCCTTTTTACCAAAACGTTTAATTTTAAAAATTAATAAAAAAATGAATGCATAATCTAATTAAACAAATTCTAAACCACATTCTAGATAATATTAAATAATGTGATAACTGATAAAAATTTTACTAAAATCGGTTTAGTAGATCTCGAGATACAAATTTTCTTCTTTCAATCTGCGATTTTTGGACCATACATCTAGCCAAAAAAATCAATTTGGTGAAAAATTCAAAATAAAAAAAACTTTCTAGATATTTTAAAGTTGAAAGTTGTTATTTAACCAAGAAAATTTTTATTTTCAACTCAAAATTTTAGACATTATTGCACCAAACATAATTTTTTATGTTTTTTCTCTTTACATAATATTTTAGTTTTAGTTTTTTGTTAATTAAATGTGAATCAATTTAATAAAGTTTAATAAAATAAAAATAATTATTGAGAAAAAGAAATGTTAATATTGGGGTTTTAATGAAATAAAAAACAGAGTGTTTATGTGCTTTATTTTAAGAATCTTTGCCTGCCCATTTTCTATACAAAACCTTATTACATAAAATCCTCACAGACAAAAAATAAATAATTTCCATAAGTGACAAAATCGAAAACCCTGTAAACAACCCCAAAAGCCCCCCAAAATTCGCGACAAAATCGATAGGACCATACAACTCATTCCTGACTGAAGTTATAAAATCATTCGACTTGAAATAAATAGTGAGGGACGAAACATATTTGCTGAAATAAAAAAAATAGTCAAAATTTCACCAAAATGGGCCAAATTTACTCATCCGAAAGTTCAATTCCAAGTGCAGTAAAAACCATTTTCCAATCCCAATCACTTTGCGACGTTTCTACGTTATAATTCAAATCGGAACACAGAGGCAAACAGTCACAATCATCGAACGATTTTCTCTTCTTTTTCCTTTCTATCTTACCTCTCAAATTTTTTATTTGCAAAATCTCTGTTACTTTTGTTTAAAAACAAGCAGACAATTTAATAAACGAATTACTTTCAGCCTCATTCATGCAGGATAAATTCGTCGCACCACAAACATTCGTTGAGTTGTCCCTCGGCATGAAAAAATTCACACAACCACACATATCCAATGTGAAATTTGCCAAACACTCAATTTCGCAATTGACTTTATTGTAAATTTTGAAATATTGCAAATAGCGTTCAGTTTGGAAGTAGCAACGTCTGCGATCTTTACTGTAAGCCCTGACTGAGTCCGAAGTGTTGATCATTGTTGGTTGGACTTCTGCGATTATTGTTTGGTCTAAAGGGACTCGAAAGTACTCCTGGGAAGGGGTGGGAAAACTTGCAGGGGAGTGGATTAGGACTTTGAAGCCTTGAGGACCCATTCTACACAAGAAGTCCAAATCGGATTTGGACGTGAGGAGTTGGATTGTGAAGCCGTTTTTGGCACCGGCTAGTAAGGCCCGTTGGGGGTAAGTCCACAAGCCGGCATCGTGACTATAACCAGATTCAACACTCCAAGACCTGGACTTGTTGAATTGATGAAAGTTTCTGTAGTGTATTCTAAAAATTAATTTGAATAAAAATTAGTAAATGAAAATTTTGGAAAATAGTACACATTTTCACGGAAAATTTCGCTCCTATCCAACATATTAAAAGTGAAACAAATCCCTTCTTCCGTGAAAATAGGTTTAAAAACGTTGGTGCAGTTGTAAGATTTTCCCTGATTTTTACACCCCCTCATGTTGAATTTCGGGTGAATTTTACTAATCGTGTCAAAGAATTCCTCGCCATAAGTCGATTCATTCGAGCCAGAAGCTGGATAAAACTGAGTACAAATCAATAACATGTACTCAAAATATAAATTCCTGGAGCAAATTTCTCAATTTAAATTTATTTCATTGAAAAACATACTCAGTTTCGGTTAAATTTCCGCCCTGGATTTTTTTATTTAAAGTTTTTGTATAATTGAAAATCTCACGATTTGATTTGGTTTCAGGACAGATAGTGACAGCAGGAAATGGTATTTTATATATTGGTGTTCCTCGATTGGCAAAACTGACAATCACTGGACTTTGCTCCCATTTTTTGTAAACCATGAAAATTGAAAATATGCAAGTGCTGAGACAAATGCTGAAAATTAAAAACCACCAAATTCTGAAAAAAAAAATATAATTACAGGATATATAAATAGAATTTTGCATTTTTTATTGAACACAAAGTGATTTGTAAAAAAAAACAAATTATCAGGGTGATTTATATAAAAATACAAGTAGATAACTTTTTTATAACTTTTCATGCAGATTTGGACATTATTGTCAGTTGTTCAAAATTTGTCCAAAAGCATAATTAATTAAGATTTGATTTTTTAATGTAGTATTTTGTCGATACATAATATATTTTGGGTTGCATTTGTAGTTTTATAATAATCACCCTGTATTAATTTTAAAATAAAAAAATTGTTTGGTTTAAACTTCATTTCAAATTTTGTAGAAAAATTGCAAAAGAACCAAATTTTGTAATAAATGTACAAGTAGTTACTTTTCAAAAAGTGTCCTTTTTTCACCCAAATATCGAAAACCATGAACGCTGGTGCAGTCACAATACTCCCTAAAGTAGGTTAAAATATTTTTTCCAAAATTATTTTTCATGTTTTTTTTGTATAGTGCAGTTGAGAGACTTTTAACACATACTAACACTAACACATTACATAAATTAGCTCATTGCGTACTAATTAATTAATGCAGGGGTGAACTTTTTAATTAAAAGTGTGTTTTATCTTTATTTAATTTATTGCCTAAAGGGATACTTATTACAGAGTAAAATTACATTTAAAAAAATACAGCATTGTGATGAAAAATAAGCTACAAATTAGATTTTGACCATAAAGTTTATTTTCTATATATTACTTTTTCACTCAGTTTTTAAATTTTTTTGGAAATCTTTAACGTTCCAAAAAGCAAGTTTGCTTTATACATTTTTGTGTTTTTGTGTAGTGTAGAGCGGAAATCAAATAATTTGTTATTTTGTAGTCGGAAGTTGCTGGCAAAATTTTTCCTCACATGCGCCACAAAATTCCAAACTTTTGCCAAATAATAAATAACAATCATGTAAAATATCTTGAAACGTTTATTTGAATTTTTTAACTCTCCTTCAATCCACCATACGCTAATTTATCATCGCTGAGTACTTTGGACATGAGCCAAAAATTAGATAAAGTGATGAAAAATTAATTTAGCCGACAAAATTAAAGTCACTGTTTATTAATTCCAGTCCATCTGTTATACATCTTAATGTTACAACAGATACGTAGAGTGAGAAAATAAATTATTTCCATGAGGGATAAAATTGAAAATCCGGTGAAGAGTCCTAAAAGTCCGCCAAAATTCGCCAAGAAGTCGGTAGGGCCGTAAAGCTCATTTCTCTCACTTGTTATAAAATGATTGAATTTGAAATAGACAGTTAAGCTTGATAAATACATTCTGAAATTACAAAATAACATCATATTTTTTTTGTAAAAAAATCATACGATGATTTCTCAAATGTTTGCTCATTTCGTTTCTCCCAATCCCAACCAGTTTGCGAAATCTGCGTGTTGTAACTCAAATCGGTACAAAGGGGCATACAATCACAATCAATCCCTCGCTGGGCACCCCCAACTTGAAATTTGCCATAAAGCCCTTCAGTTTGTAGCTTCCTTTCAGTCTCTTTCAGACACTCGAATTTGGACGTACCACAAATCGGTGTTTGCTTTTCTCCTGAAAAATATGTTTCAGGATTTTGTCTTTTCAGGACGGACATTACTCGGCATAAATATGCTAACACATCCACAAAATACCAACGTAAAATTTGTCAAACACTCCAATTGACAATTCAATTGACTGTAATCTCTGAAAAATTTCAGTTTTCTTTCAGATGGAAAACAACAGTCGCGTTTTTTAATGTTGTATGTTTTGACAGCTTGAGAGGTGCTTATCATTGTTGGCTGGACTGAAACAACAACAGCCTCGTCAAGAGGTACCCGGAAATATTCTTCTTTGAGACGGGGCATTCGCATAGGAGTGTGCAGAATTACCTATAATTATTTTTAATTACTTTAGAAAAAATAATTAAATCGGATTATTACTCTATAACCTTGCACAGCTTTGCATTTATAGTCTGGGTCATTTTTTGGGGTTGCAAGTTGCACAGTTAACCCGTTTGAAGCTCCGGCTAGTAAAGCTCGTCGAGGGTAAATATCTAATTTGGATTTGTTTAAATATCCCTTTTCGAAGGACCAAGTCGTGGAGTTTTCACTCGTTTTGTGGTAATTCTTATAATGGAAACTTAAAAAAATCAACTGATTTTTTATTAAAATTAATGACTTACACTAAATCGCTAAAAATTTGACTCCGGTCCAAGATATTGAAAGAGTAACAAACCCCTTCGTCTGTGATAACTGGAGTGAAAATATTGCGACAATTTAATTTTTTCCCCATAAAACTACAATTGTGGACGTAATCCATAAAATTTGGTTTTACCTAAAATCACCATTATTTCAGTTTTGCAAAATTTTGGAAATTACCTCGTCTATTGTTTTCAAAAAATCTGGTCCAAAAGAAACATTTTTGCTACTTGCGACCAAGTCGTCACAAAAGAAAGAAATATAATCTAATATTTTATTTCTGAAATAAATTTGTCTTGAGAAATTCTAACTGGGTTTGAATTTACTCTTTCGTATTTGTGGCTTGTTTCTTCCGTTTCAAAGCAGTCCCAAAATCAAATTTTTTCTTATCAGTTTTAGTTTCAGGACAAATGGTAATTGCAGGAAACGGGATTTCGTAAATTGCTGTTTCTTTTGTGGCAAACGTGACAATTACAGGACTTTTATCCCATTTTTCGTAAATCGTGTAAATCATGAAAGAACATCCGGATAAGCAAAAAACAAAGATTATAGCCCACCATAGTCTAAAAAATCATTTTCTTTTGAAAATTAAAATGAGAAAATACCTTTCACAAATCGGCCTATCCTCTCCCAAATATTTGAATCCATGAATACTGGTGGATTCACAATACTCTTTGAAATAACTTCTAACACTTGCACAAGTGCTTGATTTTCGATTTTTTTGAACATCATTCATCTCGCTCATCTCGCTTATAACTGACTGCCATTAAACCTTTCAATACTTGAAGTACTGAAAACTTATTTCAGGCTTCTCTCATTACTAGATTGTTATGGTTTTGAGCAAAAATAGCTTGTTATTGTTTAAACTTTTTTTAAACAAAAATAAATTGTTGCATTAATGAAATGTAATTGAGTTTGAAAGCACAGTCTTTGAAGATGCGCCACAAGATTTGCATCTTTAGTTTTGTTTATTGGGATAAAACAAACACTGTTACTATTTTTCTAGACTAAACAAAAATGTTTAATAATATTTTATTGTTGTGAAAATAATAAATTTGCAGTGAGATTAATTATGTTGGCTCAGGGCCAGTCAAATTTGGAGCATTTGTTTAGAATAAATGACAATATTTTGATTTATTTTCTCTGAACTGTAGAAAATACTTTGCATACAAATTATCGAGAAAATCTGCGTTAAATCAAAAATAAAGCACTTCAAAAACGTTTATTATTTTTGGATGAAGGATTATAATACCAAAGGCTAAGTTTGACAAATTGAGAGCAATTTAAACACTGTCTACGTTTTTGTACTTGATTTAAATTGAAATATGAACAAAACCACTGAAATTGCTAATGTTTTAAAAATTACAAACAGATTTTCTACCAAATTTTTTATACGTAGTAGGAGAAACAACAGTAATGAAAATTTTACACTTTATACAGAGTGTTGGTCAAAGTTTATTTCCTTCTGGAACCAATCAATTGGAATTTTGAAAATACAGGGTGTTTTCTTAATACAGATTTTGGAAAATTTGATCACATAGTCTAAATCAAAAAATAACACTAATTTGCGAAATAGCTCTTTAAAATTTTATTAAAGAATTACAGCCAATTTCTTGGGTTTTTAAAATTAAGTCGGTTAAAAAATAGTATATTATACACTGGAGAAAAAAGCTATGATTCCTTTAGTGCTTTATAGCCCTTCTTGGGCTTTGCCCTCTGGCTACAAGTGGCACCTCAGGAATAATCGTGCATTTCTCTCCATTTATCTATGTATAATATGCTATTTTTCATATTATTAATATTATTAATTAATATTTTGCTTAAAAAAAAAAAAACAAAAAAAAAATTAAAAGAAAACGTTTATTTGTTACATTAAATTGTACTTGTAGAAAGACGAGCAAACCTAAAAAGCTTAAAATTGAAACAGCAATAATTATGACACAAAATATCAATGTAAAAATTCGGAATTTTTTTTTTAAATAATGAAATAAATATTCTGCGTCAAATTCAAACTTGTTTGAACTTTCTATTACACTGGCGGACACGGAATTTTGGACATCAAATTTATGACAGTTCAAAAAATGTCAATGTAAGCCACGCTTTATGGTCATTATAATTGACGTTTGAAACTAAAATTTGAAATTTTTAGTTAAAATTTATTTTTGGCGTCGATTTTCCGAAACAATAATGCCAGCAATACGTGTTTTTATATAAGATCAATAAATTATTTTGATTTGTTGTCATTTTTTCTCTCGCTCTCAGGATAAAAATTACAAAAACCGAAAGTGAGGTTAGTTGCCTAAGGCCCGTTTTACATTTTTATGACAGTCTAATGACAAATCGTCCAAAATTCTTTGTCCGCCAGTGTATATGCAAGATACAGTCAAGCTATCTTATATCTATCTATTTTATACACATCTTGATTACAGTATCCAAGACTTGGTATAATTGGTTGCTTAACCAACCCCTTTTAACAAAAATAGGTTTAGTATTCAACCAGTTTTACAATTAACCCTCAAGAAGAATTTATTTGTCTTGTGTACAATGAAAAAGCATTTTTTCATCGCCAAACTGTTAGTTTGTCATTTTTGAAGCAATAAATTGACGACATACATCCAGGAAGACAAAAATTGTCCGCTTTATTTTTCTAATTTTCAAATTCAAATTTCCCGCTTTTTACGTGAATGCGACCTAACCACAAACCTAGGTTATTTTTTAAAATTTATTTGTAAATAATACAGACTTTGCACTCATAAGCTTCAGTTAATTGTATTATAATTATGTTACGTGCAGTACTGATCGATTTAAGCGGCACCCTCCACATCGAAAATCAAGTAATTCCGGGGGCTGTCGAAGCTTTAAAAAAGCAAGTATTTCCCCCAATCATCACAAAACCCTTACATTGCAATGTTTAGGTTATTTGAGACCAATCTCACCATAAAATTTGTAACAAATACTACAAAAGAAAGCCAAAACTTTTTATATACCCGGTTGAAAAATTTAGGCTTTCCTATTAAAAAAGACCAAATATTTAGTTCATTAGCTGCCGCAAAATACCTCATAATGAGTCGACAACTAAAACCCTTGCTCCTACTCTCCCCCGAAGCATTGGAAGATTTTGAAGGACTTGCATGTCCTGTGGAGGCCAACCCAAATGCTGTAGTTATTGGTTTAGCACCGAATGAATTTCATTACGAAAGACTCAATGATGCATTTAGGTGCTTGTTGAACGGTGCTGAACTAATTGCTATTCATTGTGGAAAATATTATAAACGGAAAGACGGTTTAGCGTTAGGCCCAGGCTGTTTTGTCAAAGGACTGGAATATTCAGCACAATGTACTGCCACGATTGTTGGAAAACCTCAGAAAATGTTTTTTCATTCGGCATTAGGTGATATTAATCCAGCGCAAGCTGTTATGATCGGTGACGTAAGATTTTTCACTATTTTTTTCTATTAAAACACTCCAAGTTTTGTCTAGGACGTAACTGATGATGTAGAAGGGGCTATGAAGGCCGGCATCAGAGGATTTTTGGTCCAAACAGGGAAATATCAACCTGGTGATGAAAATAAGATTTCCACACCGCCGGATGCCGTCGTGCCAAGTTTTGTGGAAGCAGTAGAAAGGATACTGAAGGAAATTAATAAATGATTTTGTTATGGTAATATTTATTAAAATTGATATAAAATAGACTTTCTGATACAAAGTGTAACAAAATAAATTATTTGCTCTTGACATCGGACTGCGTCCTCCTGGAACAGAAACAAAAATTTAAACACACCTCTACCACCGATAAACTCTCCCACATTTACTTCCTATTTTATCATGGTTATCGAGGCTTCCTACAGCGAGTTGCCAAACACCGAATATCTTATGAGAAAAAAGTTATTTTACATCAAATACCATGCCTTCAATTAAATTGTCGATGAAAGTGACCTTTGATAATGAATTAAAGTTGGCAACATTGAATAATCTACAATTTGGTACCGTGCGATCAAAAAAAAAAATAGAGTAGGCGGTGATTAAAGTCCTTCAGATGGCAATCCTGATTTTTGACATCAAATGTCAGCGGAAACTTTGACAAGTTTGTATTTTATTCATTTTGAGTGAAATAATGTTCACTTTAGAGCAGAAAATGTTTATTATTGCAAGTTACAAAGACGAAAACGGTGAATGGTCATTTTCACTTTCAGTTTGTGTAGAAGATTTCCAGCCCAGATTCCCAGCCAATGTATTGCCAACTGTAGAGGATTAATCGTCGCCTATAATTTTTTTGATCGCACGGTATAATATCTTATAATATCAGTGTTGCCAACTTAATCTGACCATTGATCCCATTTTTTTTAATAGAAACCGACCGTAATTTCATTAGTACAGATTTGTCAACAAGAAATTACCACCTAGGATTTGAATTTTTAGGAAGTTTACGTTTTTCATGTTGTTTGTAACTAGAATTTTTAGAAGTAATTTTGAATGCCTAGGGTTGGGTACCCCTTGTTGACGGTTGACGTTTTCTGTCAACCTGCTGTCAACTATTAATTGAGTTATCTACACAAGCTGACAGGTGACTTAACCTAAATTTTTGCCACTAGTTACGATTTTATCTTTTGTTTGTCAGCACAAACCAACCTAACCAAATTTATGGCAACCTCTTCACGAATATCCCTAAATTTTAGGGAATAATTTCTTGTTGATACGATAATAGGTTTTAACAAGAATCGTATTTGTGTACATTCAGAAAAAAATAGTTTGTTTGCAGACAATTATTTTTTCTGATTAATAAACTATCAACTGTTTAAGTGCTAGTGTCAAAAAATTCAATCTCATCGCCTTAGAACCTTTAAAACATCTGTTTATTTATTTTATTTATAAAACAAGTTTAGTGAAAAAAAATCTTCAATAAGTATATCCATTAAATTTTGTTTACTGTCACAAAAAACTCATCTTCCATTAAAAATTTTATGCTAAACCTGACAATTAATTAAAAATAAATAACAAATAATTGACATTTTATAAATAAAAGCGACAAAGCAACAGTGTGGGTCCATTTTCTCCCAAAACTGTATTCTTTAACAGATAAACAAACGTTTTTTTTTTTTGTTTCAAATTAATAATCGACTATTTTTATCTAAGCATGCACTAAAAGCTATGTCTTCTGGTACTTACTTTTTCAAGACTGGTAATCCTGATACTTTTTCCTTGCTAATACTAGTTATTGGCACATTATTTTTACTAATACTGGCAGTAATTGCACTGTTATTGACAGAATCATCCTTTTGTTTGTCAGTACGTGTTAAAATCTCCGATTTAGGCCTAACTTTATTTTGAGTTGATTCATTTGGTTTATATTTCATTCTTCCTGAGCTTTTATTCGTTTTATCTCCATCGCCACATTTAAAAACATTCTCTATATCAGCATTACTGTGTGACTTTTTCACACATACTGGAATTTTACTCAAATCCCCTGCACCTATATTCAGACTTCTTCTATTCAATGTTGTCTTTTGAACATTACTAGTCGACGAATCTGATGGAAACACACTTGAATATCTTTTGTATTTCAAACAGATTTCTTTTGGTGGACTCAGAAGGGATTTTCGATTTGTACTTTTCTTAGTTCTCTTTCGTAAATTCACTTTAACATCATCTGTTATATTCGTAGTTGATGTTTCTAGTTTCTTCAGTTCACTTTCAGACATTGTTTCAATATTAACATTCTCGACTGATACAGTTGGTATAATGTTTGGGTCTCCCGAATATAAATTTAATTGTTGATCGAAGTTTGTGACGACTTTACGAATCTCCATTTCGATTGGTTGTTCTATATGCGGTAAGCTTACACCAGCATCAATGTAAAAATGCTGTTCTAAGAAGCTCATATCGCTACAATGAGTCTAAAATAAGCAACTACTGAAAAAAAAATAGCTTTTATTGAAAGTACCTTGGAGCCGGGTTTGGGCCCGAACCTGACGAAGGCGACTTAGAGACAATTGATGGTGTTTTAGTAGGAACACGAGGGGTTGACCTTGAAGTGATGGGTTGAGACCTAGTGCTGGTAGTAGATGGCGTATCTCTAGCTGCGGGTGATGATGCCGTTTTTGGAGCTTTTAAAAGTTAAAAAAAACGTCATTAGGCACTTAAATTACAAAATTACAATTCTAGTTAATATAACTTGACAACAATATAAATTCGGCTGTGAAGAGAAGAAGAGGAAAACTAAAGTAATGACTTGAAAAAAATGATGAGCAATTGATATCTCAGAGGATTAAGTTTTAAAAATAAGAGTGGGTTTTGACTTATTTTTTCCTCTTTAAAAAAAGATAAAAGTAGCGAAAATGAAGGTAGAAAAAAAGATCTCTCAGAGGATTCATAGTTTTAAAAATAAGAGTGGGTTTTGACTTATTTTTTACTCTTTAAAAAAAAGATAAAAGTAGCGAAAAAGAGGGTAGAAAAAAAGATTCGATTAGGAAGAGAAAACCAAAACTGAGAAAAGCAAGAAAAAAGTCTAAACCGTCAACAGCTGTTAGAAGAAAAAGAAACAAAAAAGAATTGTTAGAGAAAAAAAAAATACGGAAATAAAGAAAAATAAGGAAATTATAGCTACTTAAATAAACAAAAAGAAGCTTAAAGCGTTTAAAAAACAAGAGAAATGAAAAAAAGAACTGAAAAGAAAAAGATCTACCCATTCAAATAAAAGAAAAATAAATGTTGCTGAGAAAATGAAAGTAGAAAAAAGAAGATGAGTCTAAGAAAAGGAGGTTGTTGAAAAAGAGAAGCAAAATTCAACAAAAGATAAATAATGTTAATGCATCAATAGAAGTTTCTGAAAAAAAGGAACGGAAAAGGAGAAATATTGAAGAAGAAAAAAAATCTAAAAAACCAGAAGTTGTTAAGTGGCTGCAAAAATGAAGGTAGAAAAAGAAGAACTGACAAAGCAAAAAAGAAAAGTTGTTTAAAGAGAAAACCAAAATTAATAACAGAAAGAAGCCTAAATAATCAACAAAGGATAAAAAAAGAAATGAAAAAAAAAAGAACTGAGAAGAAGAATATCTACTCAAATAAAAGAAAAGTTACTTAAATTGCTGATAAGATGAAGGTAGAAAAAGAAGATTCGACTAAAAAAAGACGAAGAAGGTTAATGGAAAATAAAACCCAAAATAAAAAAAAAACTAAATAAGCATCAACAGATGTTTCAGAGAAAAAGAAACAAAAAAAAAGAAATGTTGAAGAAGAAAAAAAGATCTTTTGAAATAAAAGAAAAATAAGAAAAATTTGTCTAAGTTGCTGCAAAAATGAAGGTAGAAAAAGAAGATTTGACTAATAAAAAAGGAAGAAAGGTTGTTAAAACAGAAAACCTAAATTAAAAAAAAACTAAATAAGCCTCAACAGATGTTTCAGAAAAAAAGAAACAAAAAGAAAGAAGTATTGACGAAGAAAAAAGATCTTTTGAAATAAAAGAAAAAAAAACTGCCTAAGTTGCTGCAAAAATGAAGATAGAAAAAGAAGATTTGACTAAGAAATAAGAAAGAAAGGTTGTTAAAAAAGAAAATCGAAATTCAAAAAAAAACTAAATAAGCCTCAACAGATGTTTCAGAGAAAAACAAACAAAAAGAAAAAAATGTTCAAGAAGAAAAAAAGATCTTTTGAAATAAAAGAAAAATAAGAAAAATTTGTCTAAGTTGCTGCAAAAATGAAGGTAGAAAAAGAAGATTTGATAAAGGAAAAAGGAAGAAAGGTTGTTAAAAAAAAACCTAAATAAGCCCCAACAGATGTTTCAGAGAAAAAGAAACAAAAAGAAAGAAGTATTGAAGAAGAAAAAAAGATCTTTTGAAATAAAAGAAAAATAAGAAAAAATTGCTTAAGTTGCTACAAAAATGAAGGTAGAAAAAGAAGATTTGACTAAGAACAAAGGAAGAAAGGTTGTTAAAAAAGAAAACCTAAATTCAAAAAAAAAACCTAAATAAGCATCAACAGATGTTTCAGAGAAAAAGCAACAAAAAGAAAGAAGTATTGAAGAACAAAAAAAGATCTTTTGAACCAAAAGAAAAATAAGAAAAAATTGCTTAAGTTGCTACAAAAATGAAGGTAGAAAAAGAAGATTTGATTAAGAAAAAATGGGTTAAAAAAGAAAACCAAAAACCCACAGATGTTTCAAAGAAAAAGAAACGAAAACGAAGAAATATTGGGAAAGAAAGTTGCTTCTGAAGTTAGCGTTAAGCCTAAAATTGTTCTAAAGTTGTTTTACAAAAAAATCCTTTAAACTCACCTGATGAAACATTATTTCCTGCTGCTGGAGCAGCATTTACCAATTTCCCTTGTATGATTTTATTCTCCTCTTCTTCTTTCCGTCGCTGTTCCACCAGATAATCGTGTTTGTTCGAAGGCCCGATACTTCTAATTTCCTTAAGTTTAGTCTTTAAAATATCTTTAACATCTTTATCTTTCTCTGTCATGTCCAACTTTGAAAAAATATTATCAATGTTCGTTTGAAGCTTTCTATCTTCGGGCATTATTAACATTTTGTACAAAATTGGCAAAAGACCAATAACACACAAACGTATATTTGATATAGGATCATCAGCCAGCGTTAATAACGTTTCAAAAAAATGCTTCTTGAAATAATTGTTACTGAAAAGCTCAGCAGCATGAACACACGCCAGTATGAAAATGTGTCTGGTGTAACAAGATTTTGCATAGCACAAATGAGTTACTAAATTATCACGAATCCATTTTCTTTGAACTTCTTTCAAATTATATCGGAGGAAAATCAATAACGTTCTACTAGCCTGCGAGCGGACAGGTTTAGGCCTCTGCAAAACACTATTTTATCAAAATTACTTTCAAAGTTAACATACTCACAGCTTCTAAAACACAATTTAAAATAACCGGACTAAAATGTTGATGAATAAAATCCGAGGTCATGCAAAAAGGCAGCCGTTCCAATTGCTGAAGAAAATTCGATTTAATCCGCCAATTGTACGATTTTGCTAATTCATTCTGGCACTTTAACAACGCTCTTGCAATTTCGAGACAAGCCGGAGTGTTTGATTCGCGTGAAAGCACACCATTTGCACAAAGTAATTCCAATGTTGGACCCACATGAGGCACGAGTAGTTGCAGCACTTCTTCTGCGTCGTCACGAAGTAATTTAATTAAATCGTCTTTGATTATTTTGCATTGGGGACCTTAAAATATACTGTTTTTTCTCGAATTTTCGAAATTAACACAGTAGACTAACCCAAAATTTTGGCAATATCGTGCATACAAGCGGCAGTGGTTTTTCTCACGATGTAACAGGAGTCATTTGCCAAACCACTGAAAATCGTATGCCACAGTTCTAGTTGGTTTGGTATACGAGCCACTGTGAATTGCGTAACTGGGGGCAAATTGTAAGCACATTGTTCTCTGCACAGGACGTCCTATAGGAAAAATAGAAGTGAAATTTATACAAAACGATAAAATTCAATGTATTCAATTAATTTACAGAAATAGTATATTATAAATGAGCTGGGAAATAGGTCAAATACATGTCATGTCATGAATTCCATCGAGGTTTGTATGCTATTTTATTCACAATTAAAAATAATAAAATATGTTTTTTTAATTTATTCGGCGACTAAAACCCTCTATATTTCAGAAACTAAATATACAGGGTGTACCAGCGAGTTAAAAAAGTCCATTAGTGACCTTTAAATGGTGAGTCTCAAAAATAAATTACAATACAAACTTGTGTTTTTTTAAAAGAAACACCATATGTTTCTTAGCGTTTTTGAATGTAAATTTTTATGACAATGTTTTATTGGTCGATTTTGCTTAGTTTTAAAAATAAGACAGTTTTTTGACGAAAACGTACTTTTTAAAAATTTATTAAACAAAAACTAAGACAGCTAGAACAACTTTTTTTTCTACCGCAAAGAAAAAGGTACAAGCTATAACGTTGACATTAGAGGGTTTTGTTCGTCAAATAAATAAATTTGAATTTGGGGCGCAGCCTTAAAGTTACCAACTAAGATAATTGTAAACAAATACGATCTCTGAGGTTATCTCTTCAAAGTCTATTACATACATTGTTTTAGAAAAATTGAGTTAAAATTAGCGAAAACAGGCACAGAAAATAAAAACATAAAATGGTAAAAATTTTAAATCTATTTTATTTATTGAAGATACGAATTTCATTACTAGCAATGTAAACTTTGGGATAAAGTCCTCAAAAGGTTCAAACTTCAAAAAATTTCATTTTTTGACCATTTTTTCGACACCATAGTGGAGGTTGCACCCTCTTTAAGTACTCAGAAACATTCGGATAAAACAAGTTTAGTTATTTTAACTTCTTTTGTGCTCTACTATCACCTGTTAAAGTATTTCCACAAACTTTAACATTTTTAATGGCTTTCCATAAAATGAAATTAACCAAAGTCCAAAATAATATACCGTGCAATAACAATAGTTTAAAGTTTTCCAGTGTTGTCAGGAAACGTTTTTATTGTGAAAAAGTTGAGGACAATAATTTCTTGGTTAAGAGATATATTTTGCGAAAGATTTAACAGTTTTCGATAAATAAAAAAAAAAAACTTAAGAAGTGGCTTGCTACGACTGTACAGAGAAAAACGAATTGTCTTATTTTTTACATCAAATCATAGAATTAAAAATGTTGTGTCTTCCTTAACACAAACAATATACTGAAACCATAGACATAGTCTCGTGATTTGAAATCATTTACGTAATTCGATACAATCTCATATGTACAATATCACAAGAAAAATTTAAAACATTCTATTAGCTCATACGTAAATGCTGAATTTTTGATCATAAAATTATTGTTTTTAATAAAAATTTCGAAAAAAAACCCACTATAGTATGCAAGTTTCAAGAATTTACACACAAAAACAAGCCAAAAAGGCTTTCAGAAAAATAAGAATTAAGACTATGTATTTGTAGTAGTCTTATGTAATGGCATTAATATGACGAAATAAATGTCCCAACTAGTAATTCTGAAATCGAGTTTTCCTTTTAATTAAGAATCACAATCTAAGACTATTTAGTTTCGCGTTTCTCTTTTTTTTTTGAAAACACGAATTAACAATAATAATTAGAGCTCATGTTTAATAACATATTTTTTTAAGACACAAAATCTTGTTCTTCTGTGTCAATTTTTAGCACTTTATACTTTTTTTTTTGAAAACACGAATTAACAATAATAATTAGAGTTCATGTTTAATAACATATTTTTAAGACACAAAATACTGTTCTTCTGTGTCAATTTTTAACACTTTATACTTTGTAATGTTTTTCTTTTCTATTGTTTTCATAATCTAGGTAAAAATTATTACAAAAGCGCATAATGTGGTCTAACAAACTGGTTTAATATTATACTATTATTAAAGTTAGAATTTCTTGTCTCCGTAAAGATTTAATCTTCACATTAAACTTTGTATTGTATTACCATAGATTTAAAAATGTTTTTCGTAAAAGAATTGCAACATGTAAGACTCAAAATTTGTAAAACTTACTTAAATTTTATTGTGTATAGCAATTTATGTACAAAAAATTTTTAGTAGCTGATTATTGTTTTTTTTTTAATATTTGCTCTCTTCAATTTACACAAACAAAAACTGCAAAATAATTTCATCAATATCCAAATGGGGTTTGAAATTCAATGATAAACAAAATATGTTGAAACACTCTTTAAATTCAAAATTATGTTTGGATTCTATCCTTCAAACTAACCCGTAATTTCGCTTTTACGTTTAGTAAAATAATAAATTTTGTAAGTATACAATTAAATAATCACTGTGGTTCTAATCTTGCCTAAAATCGTATAAGGGCAGCATTTACACCATAACGTAACAACAATGAAAATCAACCTGCATTTTGTAATTGTTTTTTGTTTTTCCTTCTATAAATCAATTTTTTTCAGGATTGATATTTTTCTGAATAAAAATTCATGTTGTTATTTCTCGTGCTCACCTGCGTCACTTCGAGATTGTCTTTATTCACACGCACAGTCTGCCCTTTCGAGGCCAAAGTCTTGAAAAATTGTAGCGTCCAAACACAATCGTTAACTTCCAAATCACTCTGCAATGCGCTCACTAATTTTCCATATTCTCTAGCAATCGTGGGATAAGTGGTATCACCAGGCCCTGAAGTCTTTTGGCACAACTGTTTAATTAAAGGAACAATGGTTTCTAATTTAGTCTCTATAAAAAAACGATTACTAACAAATCAGTTTCATTAATTACACCCACGCTTATTTAAATATGGGATCATTAAAACCGCTGAAGCCACCGCAGCTGACCTAACTGCCATATTATCATCAGATGCCAACTCAACTAAACTAGGGAGTAGACTTGTTTTTACCAAACTTTCGCCCAAACCTTAAAAAAAAATTAACAAAGTGGTTTTAGCGTGTTATTAACCAACCTTGAGCAATGAAATGTAACTGCGCGCACATTGTGGCCCTCACATCTTGAAAACAGTCTTGGCACAAGCTTTGAACAGCCGGCAAAATCGAAGCTTTCACGCTATAAATGCTAGTTGAAAAAAAGTAACAAATTTGTTTCCCCTTACTCTATTGACTGCATTTTCGGATGAGATGCACATTTTCCCAAAATTTTACAACTAGACACGCGGCAATAGACAGGACTTGAGGGCTGCGATTTTGCTAATGCTAGCGGTATAACCTGGAACACCTCACGTAACACTTCAATAAAAAACAATCCACACTTACTGCAGACTTAATTTGATCAATTGGTAAAATCGGAATGACAGCCAACAAAGTCTCGGTCCACGCATTTGAAACTACAGGGTCTTTGGACTCAGTGCCTTGTATGACAGCCCCAGTTAAATTCAAAGGCAGTTGCTTTTCAATCAACAATTTAAATATCTTACTAGTGGCTATGTGAAACTCGCATGAGGATTTTGGCAACTCTTGTTGAATTTTTGGCACAAGTCTGGTAAGAGTTCCGTTTGGGTCATATTGCAAAATTTGGGGTAAAGCTTGAATTACGCTTAATTTCTGGATGTCGTCGCCTTTCCTACAATTAAAACTAATTAAAACACTTACTTTGCGCCAGGTCAAGCAAGTACATGTATAATTCTTGCAACAACAAATAATCATCGTCCACTGAAGTCTGCGGGGGATGAAAATCGTATAAACTTAAATCCATAACGCTCCAAATAAAATTGTTATTTCAGTTTTGTGGCTAAACATTTGGCTACATTTTATGATTCTGTGCCGTTTTTGTCAATTTTAAAAAGAAAAAAATCACGTAGAAAATACTTAAAAAAATTAGGTTATGTTACATTTGACATACGTCATCTTTTTTGTTTTGTTTCAGTCACTTTTCAGCGGCAATTTTAAAAGTCTCGTATATTTGTCAAAATATGTGAACAATGGCGAGTCTTTGTGAAAATAAATACCTACTAGAGAATTCCGAACCGTTTTTGTCAATTTTAAAAAGAAAAAGTTAGGTAAATAAAAAAGTACTTAAATGTGACACGTGACACATTTGACAACTTTTTAACGGTAATTTTAAAAATCTTGTATATTTCGTCGAAATGTGAATAGTGGATTAACAATTTAAGTTTTTGTGAAATAAATACCTACCGTAGCAAGTGCAAACTTCTATCAATCGGTTTTGATTCAAATTGTGAGTCAATTGTATGTTTTGCCAGTTGTTCGTTCGTCTACAAAAGTCTATTTTCCATATAAATAAGACACAGCAAAATCTGTCTTCAGAAGCAGACCTTACAATTTTTGTAAAATAAAGTAAATATTCGAAAATATAAGATTTGCTTCAGTTTTTCAACAGAAGTTTCAATACTTTGTTTCCCCAAACCGATGGCCTGTCCAGTTGCAAATTGGTGAGTTCTTCATCCATTTCTATCAGAATTGTACTATAATTTTTAAATTTGGAAGAAAAAACTGTTGACAGCAAAAATTTTGTTTGACAAAGTCAAACAAGGGTAGGAAATTTTTATGAAAAATATATTTCTTATCAGTTTAACACATCAAAAACAATTACAAAGTTCTGTTACTAAAACTATTTACAGTATTTATTACTTAATAGTACAAGTGTTAATTAAATCTATTCTAATTTACGAGACAACACAAATTAAAAGTGGACAATCTGAGGTAGGTATAAGTGAGTTTTTTATGAGCATAATGCATTTAATCCCTAAAAAAGTGAATTGTTAAAATCCTATTACTTATTATTAAAACAATAAAAACACAGGCTTGTCACAGCAAAGCCTTTTTTTGTCTAATAAACTCAATTAAACTCTCTAGAGATAAAAATTTTTGTCGGTCCTCTTCCAAAAATATTTGTACCCTCAAGACATACGTAGAATGAAACGATTGGTCTAAAAAAATCCCATTATATGAAATTTACAAATTAGTAACTCCTTACGTTCGCTAGTTTTTAAAAGTAGAATCGAATTTACTTCATAACATTCGTTATTTACTTTATATCCCAAAACCGGTAGTGGAGAAAAATATGTTCCAAAAATCTTGTCTTTGTTTAAATGGCCATTCAGAGGTAAGGATTGCAATTCATCAATTGTTTTTGCACGAATCCTGATACTATTAGTGCGAAATTCATAATTAATCGCTTTACAATAGACTTTAATTAATTTTATTCTGAAAAAAAAATGTAGGTACAATTTATAAACAGTTTAAATTACCTTTCGTCAAATTTTAAATCAGTCAAATAGAGGTCTCCCAGTCGCAGAGCATCTATAACGTGTAAACTATACTTATACCCCACTTTTCCCACCGAATTTTCCATAGAACACTTTTCTTTGACTAATTCCCCATATAGTAGGGTTCCACGGACCAACTGCAAATTTTTCACTCTCACCCATTTATTGCATTGCAATCTGTAGACTCGCGACAATCCCACCCCTGCAATTAAGTTGGCAACATGAACTGTCAAATTCAAACATCACCAATAATTCGGTGTTGCCAATTTAATTTGAAATTTCAATTTATTTGGAAACTTTATACCTGCATAAAAGTTGCAAATGTTGGTGGCCTTTTTACAGTGCATTAAGGCATAATGCCAATCATTTAAGTCATCCACCACTGTGTGTAATTGTTCAATAGAGTAAATTTCTCGCGGCTGTACCAGAAGTAATTCTAGAAGAAAATATTAAACAACGCAAATTTCAAAAATTTGCAACCTCGGTTATCGACAGTTTCGTCAAGTAGGTCCTCAGTTGTGTACCTGGGGAGAGGTACTTTGGGTTTATCTGGTATTTTCCAATAATCTAGACACTGTTTTCTCAATTGTTCCTGTCGGTACTCTGTTAATAAAGGGTTTCGACAAAAGGCAGCGAGTTTTTGGAGATTTTTCGTTTGGTTTTTGGCTATTCTACAAATAAATATTTCAAAGGGAATATAAAATATTCTACAAATAAATAAATAAAATATTCTACAAATAAATATTTCAAAGGGAATATAAAATAGAAAAAAAGTTACCTATTGTTACTATTACAAACGTACGAATAGAAATTGTGATCACTTTTTAAGACAGAAAGAGGTACGATTTCTGTTACGTCTAAATTATTGTCGTTTTTTAGTTCCCACAACCTTTGAACTATTTTTCTCAAATAATTTTTTATACTTGCAACATTCTCTCGACCCTTGTAATTGCAACAAATGATGTATCGTTCCGAATTTGCAGGTCTTGATGAATTCGGTTTCAAAATGCACACTAAAATCGTGAATTAACCACGAACAATTTTTGACAAAAAATACCTTTCTCAAAACAATTGTACATTAAATACAAAAGTCCAACACTAAAACACGTAAAAATATCGAATACTTTGGTCACAAAATGCCCGTGGTTCCTTAAAATTTCTAAAGCAATCAAACATTGACAGATATATAAACTCTTTGAGAGAATTTCTTGCATATTTTCGTTGCCTTCAACGGAAAATCCCTAAAAAATTCTTCATTGAAACATTTGCTACAGTTTGCTACAACCTACGCCATCTGACATCATGAAATGCACTCCTTTATTCTCCGTTTCAAATAAAACTTTTTCACTAAAATCGCTTATATTTTCAGGACAACAAGCATTACCATCACCATGGGCCCCATACAGTGGCAAAAAAGTGACAGGAGAGGCACAAAATGACTCCGTTAATTTAAAATCGTTCTCGCTACGTAACGTGAGCCCAAACCCCTTGAATAGCCATTTCTTCCGCCATAAAATATACTCGGTGAACCCCCCAGGGCCGGCACAAACGTCTGCAAAGTAATAGGGCCCCAAGTCCCCTTCATTTATATTTGTGAACATGAAATCAGTGGCAGCGTCAATATTCGCCATTTTTAACGATGCTCGATTCATGAAAAAAACAGAACGGATTGTTTCAAAAGGATTGGCTCTTGCGCGAGCTTGGCAAAGTTCCTTGAGGTCAAGTACGTCGAAAATATTCTAAAAAGGGGTTAAAATGATTGGAAATGAAGTAAGTTACATACTTTTCCGTTCAAAACATCGTGTAATGTTTGTTTATCACAAAAATTGGACTCTTCGTCCATATTATTAACTGGTTTGTCCTCCCTTAGCCATTTCGCCATCTCATCCTCGCTGATTTGCAAATCTGGTTGGCTATACAACCAGTCAATTTTTTCCACAACTGTTGGTTTCTTTAACAATTGTTTTGTAAAACTCGGTATTAAGTAAGTAAAACTTACATCTGAAGAGAAATCCCACTCTTCTTTGGAATACTCCAAATTTTTTATTTCTAAACCTAAGCCTCTTTTACTCAGATGTGGCTCAACTGCGACTGGTTGCGTCACGCCTTGTTTGTTTTTACCCAAGCCGAAACCCGACTGGTACCCCATCATTTTCTATAAAATTTGTAAAATTAATTATTCACCACCACAAATGGTAATTCAAGTACCATCATCCTGAGGATTTTCTTGTCGACAAATGTTGAAGACTCCTCTTCCTTGTCTTCATTTCTCGTATTTATATTTGGCCACTCTTGACCAACGCTCACTTCGCCCCCTAAAAATCGGAGAAGTAACATAAAACATGCCAAATTTTTTTACTAATTAACGAACCTTCAACCGGATCCATTTTTTGCATTCAATCAATGTCCCAAATTGTAAGTTAATGCTGCTCAAGGTACGACATAAACGCACTTTGTAGTGATTTACTTGAAAAATAAACAATGGTGAGAAAATGAGGTTAGAAATGCAACACATTTCACGTCATGTGGTTGTATGACGTATTGTGGTATGGACCAATCACATTACAGCTACCTTGTTTGAAATCTATTTAAAAAATTTATACTATGTGAATAAAAAGTATGGAACCAAACGTTTTTTGCTTAAACCATTCATTTTTTAAAAAAAACTAATTGATGAGTGATAATGTACTATAAAAATGTGATGTTTTAACAAGAATAAAATTTTTCAAAATTTCCTTTCGTTTTTGAGTTCTACAAAAAAAAATATTTCTTTTAAATGACAACCCACTATAAAATCATTTTTCTCATAAAAGCTATACTCTAAGGATTACAACTATATGCTTTATATTTAATTTTTTCAAAATTTTTTTTCACATAAATTGTAATTTTGACGAAAAAAATCGTATAACTTAAAAACAAAACAAAATTTCATTCTGAAAATACGATCACATTTTTTATATTATTTTAATTTATATTAATTATTATTTTCTGGAGGCAAATGATTAAAAATAAAACCGCTTGGTTCGATACTTTATATTCACCCTGTATAATAATTGTATTTTTTTTATTACTGTATTTATTTATAACTTACTATGACCCAGCAATGACATAGTTTTTCTATCCCGAAAGTGAAAATGCAGTTGCAATGTTGCCATTTAGAAAATTAACCTTGATGAAGATCTGTGATAAGTACTGATAAGAAAATGGCACTCTCTTTTTTTAATACACTTTTATTTAAAAAAATACATGTAACAATAAAACAGACATAATAAAATAAAAAAACACGTAACAATACAATATGTCCCCGAATTGAATTTACAAGAGGAAACATTTTTTTATCTTTCATTTTACGCCAAAATTGCAAAGGAAAAACATTTTTGCTTCACCTGAAACGAACAAATCTGTAATTGAAACTTCATTATTCTAACTCAGTAGAAAGAAAAGTTCATTTTTCTCTTGATTTTGGACTTTTTCTCTTCTTTCTAAGTCCTATCACATTGGCGGTTTTATTTATTTAACAACGATATATGTCTCTTTGACATTTAATTTATTAATTAAATAATGATAGTTCTTGAAGCTGTTTCTGTTGCTGTTTATTAAAATTATGTTTTTCACAAACATTTTTGTTATTTAACTTGCAAGAACTCATTTGTCAGTCTCATCATTGTCAAAAAAATAACGTCAATGTGATGGGATTTAAAAAACAGAGTCCAAAATCAAAAGAAAAATGAACTTTTCTTTCTACTGAGTTAGAATAATAAAGTTTTAATTATAGATTTGCTCGTTTCAGGTAAAACAAAAAATGTTTTTCCTTTGCAATTTTGGCGTAAAATCAAAGATACTATTTTTTTCCTCTTGTTAACTCAATCCGGGGACATACTGTATATTAAAACTTGTTCTGATCACGTGTCCAAATTGAACCAACCAGATGTTTTGATTCAAGAGCTAATCGTGCATTAACTTTTAACACAGAATTAATTTTTTATTAATTATATTATGTATTAATTAATTTGGTCACGTGGTCAGTTAATCGCTTCTAAAACTTACAAATTTGATATAGACAAAAAAACAAATATTTAAATTTGTAATAAAAAGGGAATAATTTTGAAACGGAAAGAGAGCTGACAACTAACTGACACTTAAATGTTATAGAAAAAAAATTGGAATTTTTAAAAAAATATTTATTTTAATTACTACAGACAACTAAAATATGATATTTAACTAATATCGGATACTTTATGAAAAGTTGATACACAATTTTAATTAATAATGGTTTAGACTACATTTTTTCATTCTCTGTTTTTGACAGACGGAAAAAGGGCTGACAACTAAGTGACACTTAAATGTTCCAGAAAAAAGTTAAATTGTTAAAAACTATAAACTTTTTAATTAGTACAGACAACTGAATATGATTTTTAGCTGATATGGGATATTCTATTAGCAGTTGAGATACACATTTTTAACAAACAATCGTTTTTAGGAATTTTTAGACTGATTTTTTTTATTTACATAAGTATCGAAAAAGTGCCTCTGTTCTGAAGTCTGGCTCAGGAATTTTTTTTGATAGTTGTCTTATTTGCAGCGGCCTTTCGTTTTTGACCTTTTTTATATCTGACAAATAGGTCATAACAAATACCGGGTGACTGTAAATGATTGTGATTTTTTACCTCAAGTTGATGTCAAATTTAAAATTTTAGTTTGGCAACCTTGCCTTTCAAATGTCAAACTTTTTTAGGCAACTGCTATTTAGCCGTCACCTGAAACATTCTGATATAACAATTTAAATAGATGGGTGAAGGGTCACCAATAATTCAGTGTTGCCAATAAATTTTTTGGTAACAAACATTAATAGTCACTCCGGATGTTTGGTTTTCCATAAAAACAGCTCTTCGCACTTACAAAAAAAACATCTTTATTTTCGAAAATTCTACATTCAATATGTTATTAATATAAAAACCTATGTACATTCCAAATGTGCGTTTTCCAAAAATAAATGAAGGGTTCGTTTTTAATTCCGATTATAGCCTAAAACATGCCATCATTGATCCCTATCGGTACTAATATTGCCAAAAACAAGATAAAGTTCCGCAAAACACACTTCCAATCTAATGGAACGGCATACGGGAGCAGTACTTTGGTTAAGCGGTGCACCTCGTGCGAAGCACACACAAAAATAAACGACGTAATCATTACATTCAAAACGGGATAACCTGGAATAAGTACTAAAACACCATGGGTATCAGCTGCGAGCCAGATATGATACTGACTAATAAAAAGCTCCAAAGAGATCTCCCCAAACCACGCAAACAAACTCGAATATCTAGTCCGCAAGACTCCAGAAATGTTCCTCAAAACAATGTATCCCACAATTGGGATGAAGACAATATAGGAGTGAATTTCGCTACACTCTAGTTCGTTCGAACACAGAAATGTTATCGATAAATAACAGCCGATACCCGCGATTGCTACCAGAATACCAGTCAGTGCTAAACCTCTCGAAAATAAGTTATTGTGATTGTTGTCGTCGTAAATATTGTAGCGTTGGGCCAAAAGCAGTATTACGGCGAAACCCATACCGTATATGATGGTATACCTGTCGAGTTTCCACCGAAACCACCATTCCCGGATGTCATCATCGGTGGTCACAAAGAGGGCCTTCCAAGGCCGGGTTACAAAAACCTTCTCGAAAAAAACTTCCGACATAAAAAGAATCGTAATAACGGTGAAAAATACAATAAATTTAATCAACAAATAAAAATATTGCATTACGTTATTTTCGGAGGTTTGTGCTGTGATGTGGGGCGGAAACGCCAGAAAACAGTACGTCATCAAGTACCAAAAAGACAGCAAAGGTACGAAATAATAGAACTGATACGGGCGATTCATGCAAAGACACAAAGTCACCGTCATGAAATTTAGCTGAAAAAGCACCCGGAAAAAACTAACTATGCCTATATCACCTCGTTGCCACACGCAACAAAACTGTTCATACCCTAATAAAAATAAATACGACGAAATTAACACTTTAATGTGCATATTTATGGGCAAGATGCGACTTGCTCCCGTGATGTGGTACACTAAAATGACTAGTTGCATCCAGCCTTTCCATTCGTTTAACTGATCACGATGTAACACTTTGGTGTATTTACTGTCTTCAGTGAAGAATAGGCCTAATACCGTAACGTAACCGATCGGAAGCCAAAAGCTGAATTCGGAATAGTATTTATTTTCTTTCATGAAGAAATTCGTGCGGTCACAGACGAAAAAGTACGACATGATGAGGGCCATTTTGGCGAGGCTGATGAATAGGTTGTAGTAGCTACCGGGGGTGGGCGAGGGCTGGTGCTCGTTTTCGGGCAATTGACTGTATTCGTGGATGGGACGACCGCGCCATTGCATTACGAGGCGGGAACATATCATCGCGAGGGCCACAGTTGCGCTGAAAAAAAAAAAACAAATTTTTATCGAGGGGCAGTTCTCAAATAAATGCACAATTTCCAAAAATAAATGTGATTTCTAAAAGAATACCAAAAATTACAGAATTTTTAATGAGAATTCACAAATAATAATTTGGAGTCCACGTGAATACATAAAGAAACACTAGAATAAATCGAGAATTCAGCCTTGAGAGTACGCAAAGAATAAACAAAAAATTAGCACAGATTAGGTACCTTGCAAATACACGAAAATTTTGAAGAAAATATGCACTTTTTACTAAAATTTGGGGTTTTGCAACATTTAGAATATTTGTTAGATAAAAAAATTAGATTTATTTTTTTCATTAATTTTCAGCAGAAAAGAATGTAACTCGTAGTGTTAATTAAATAATAATTGTAGTTGTGGTTTCAGAATTTTTGCAGCTACTTCCATGTTTGGTCTTTTTGTCATGGCCGCTGACTTCTCGTATTTTCAAACAAAAAAAACTTTATAAATAAATTGTCTTTAAAGTAAATCAATTAACATAAAAAGTTTCTTTAAAAACTATTAAATTAATTACATCTGTTACATTTTTAAAAAAAGTCCGTAAACAATTCAAAAAATTTACTTTTTCTTGAAATGAAGGTTCGTAAATCGAGTGCTTGGGGGGCATCAACTTTTAATTAATGCAATTAATTTGAGATGAGTAAAATTAGATTTTGCAAAAATTGAATGAGCTCGAACACTAGTCAGTATTGTTATTTATTTTTTACAAATCTTCAAAAGTATAAAAAAAAATAATTTTTTCGAATTTGTTTTTCAATTTAATATGTAAAATTGTAAAGAAAGTTGAATTTTTTTTTCATCTTGATGAAGAGAACACAATGTTCAGAAACAATTAATCGGTCCAAGAAAACAGAACAAAACAGAAAACAGACAGAAAATTTACAGTTATTGAGAGTACATTAAACGGTAAAAAAACCTGGACACATTAGTCTCCCCATCAATATTTGTGAATATGCGGTACATTTACTAAAACAACAAAAAATTTACATTTTTCTCTTTTCTTTAAATCAATGTTGAAAGTGAAAAAAATTTCAAAGTGAAAAAACAAACAAGGTATCCGGCCCATGTATTGATTTAACTAATAAAGATTTCCCCAAATCTGTGAACCAAAAAAAAATCACAAAGTTTTTTTCTCACTATTTCTTAGGATTGTGTATTAACCGTAGTTTAAAAAACTTATAAGTATTTCTCTGAAATTTTCTAAAAAATGTCAAAGACTTCTTTTTCTTTAATAAAAGCTTTTGGAAAAAATCTCTTATAATTTCAGATTAATTTTGATGTAGCTACTCTAAGGTGACCAACTTCAGGACATTAATAAAAATAATTATAATAAATTTATTCCAGAACAAAAAAAATAGGTCTTAGTATCTGTACAATTTAATTATAATAAGAATATAGTATGAAAAATAGTGACACGAAAAACAAACAAAAAAAAAATTTGAATTTCATTCTCTGCAAACATTTTAATAAAGATTTTTAAGTAGGTATTTCTACTATTAGTTGAGTTTTTTTACAATTGAAATGACGACAAAAAGAAAACCTTAACTTGAAAGACACTTTGTTTTCGCGGCAAATGGAAATCTCAAAAAACTGTACACTTAGGTGTGTTAATCCTTAAATCGGGATAAATCAGGACTCAAACGTAAAACAGGACAAGACAATAAAAACCTAAACAAGTCCTGGCTAAATCAGGACGGTTGGTCACCTTAAGCTATGGTATTTCAAAACCAACGACTTTTTCTATTTTTTTTAATCGTTGATTTTGTTAGACATGTTAGACTGTAGTCCTAAAAGGGCTACACTTGTCTAAATGTTCCTATTTTAAGTTAAGCTCAAAATAAACAAACAACCAATAAAAGTATAAATATTAAACAAATATTTTCAAGAAAATAGAAAAAAAATTAGCGAATGCATATAGATATAGATTATGCAATGAATAAATACATACAGAATCAACACATTTTTATACGGTGAATAAAGTAAAATACTAGGTGAGTACCCTGAAACATCAAGAATAAACAAAGATAAAAGAAATAAACATAGAATATCAGAAAAAAAATCATTCACACATGTGAAGCGTACACTGAATACACGAAGTTACTGCCCCCTCGATTTTTATTCACAAAAACTTAATTTACTTTTTGTAATTATCTTGAAAATTTGAACTAAGAAATCTTACCAAATACCAAGAATGGCAAATGTGACTATTTGCAACGTTGTATAGGACTCAGTCGAACTGCAACACGTCCCGTCATTAAAATTCATGTAATCATTACAATACATGTTTAGAAGAATTTGTATGTCATATTGTAGAGGGCGTTGCGGTAGAGATACCCCATCGGGGCTCATGGACATCATTCCCTCACCCACTAATCTGATACTACGCCATATTTCAGCTTCAGAGTAATGCAACATCTTAAATAAACAAAAGCGTTATTTAAAAAAACATCATTGTGTGATTATTAATCACCTCCATGGCGGCTTTATTGTACAAGTTGATAATTTCATTTTTGATTATCTGTAATTCAAGTGTGAGTTTTTCAGAATTTACAGGTTCCTGTAACGCCCATAAAACTCTAGTTTTCTTTTTGTGAAGATTATGAATCGGTTGCACAAGTCTTGTTAAATTCATTTTATATTCTTCAACCATAGTCAGTGATGCATTTGATATTCGAATGGCTTCCAATGCGCATCCAGCTACTATCACAGATGGGGGTTGTTTAGACAATTGCCACTGTCTTAAAAACACAACTGTATTGATATTTTGAAAAATCTAAGTTTACCTAAATTTATCAATCATCGCTTTTGAAATAAAAGGCATTCCAAAAAATTCAGCCTTTAGCTTCAGTGTGTTATCGACATGTGTCAGGTTCTTTGCAATGTCTTTTGGCGGTCGCAAAAACCGTTCTTCATCCTGGATTAGGTGATTTACGAAAGTTACGTACAAATCTTGCATTCTCTTATCACCAATAAACACAAAGTGGCTACTAGTACCATAGAATGCTATGTAACGTAAACATTTTCTCGTATCGCTGCAAAGATTTAATTATAGCCACTAGCAGACTTTTAAATTGGGGGCCTACATCTTAGTGTACCTGTGGAGCATGCAACCGTAGGGTTGCCACTCCTGGTCCCCCTTGTAGCGACCATCTGACAGCAACCACTTGCAGGAGTTGGTGCCTGGAGTGGAATTATTTCAGTGTTAGGTGTTAACCTCCAGATGAGTCACTTACCATATCTGATGTGGAGAATTCCATGATAACACACAAAACCAACCACTAAAAGAAGAGCGATTTTTTTGGCGTTACTTGCATTAATCTGGTCAATTATTTTCTCAATCCGAGATTTGTCACTGGTCATAATAATTCCAATAATTCCTACATCGTTAAGTCACATGAGAATTGTTTTAACCTAGAATTCAATTTTATAACCTGACTCATCAGCGAACACGCAATTACTTACGGATGCGTTAAATAGAACCGTTGGGCTTATCGCAAATGTCTCTTGAAACTTAATTATCAATTATCTGATATGACTAGTTTAAACTGAAAGAATGTTTCAGGTTTTTCAGGTGGGAAAACAAAATGTCAGTAAATCGACTGCCATATTGATTTTCAATTTCAACCTGCTGCAATCCCAGCATCCCTTGTATATTAAACATTTGAATTTGATTGGGCATCACCTGATTTTTAGGTTTTTGATTGGTTGATTGTTTTCGGAATTTCACGAAGATAGCCGATGTCAGAATTTTTATTTTGCGCCTTGACGGAATTGAGCGGTCTGTTGAAGGTGTTACCGGCCATTCGTTTTTATATTTTAAACAGTGATAAGTGAGTTTTATTAGACTTTGGTGTTTAATATGTTGTGAAGATATTGTTGTCCGTTAAAAATGTCGGATATTAAGGTAAGAAAATGGTCGTTTTAAGCTAAAGTGAGGTAGGTCAACCTACGCTTTGTGTTTGAGGTTATGTTATTGGCGTCGTTTATAATTTTTTGAATTCTTGTTTGGAATTTTGCTATTTCAGATGAGTTTCTTGACATATTTTGGACTTGGGGCACTTGCCTGGAAAATTTGTTGTAATTGCAATGAAATTATGCTAGTTTTAGGCCAGATTGAACGTAATCAAATGCAAGTGTGAAATGGCGGTCTTTTTTTCGGTTACAACGAACCTTTGCAATATCATATTATTAATAATAACTTCAAAATTGGTAAAACATGTGTTAATGTAACTCATTATTGTAGAAAAATGGCAATAGCAGCAGTACACAAAGTATTTTTTGAAACCTTTGTACCATTGAGAAAAATTTAAAAAAATTGATTCTATTATTTTTATAATTTTCGTTTAATGTCAGAATTATGGAGATTTTTTTAATTTTGTACTAGATAAAAAAAATATTAACTCAATTAGCATTTTTTCTAAATTCATTTAAATACAGGTGCGCCAGAACTCGTGCGTAAGATACCAGGAACATTGAAAAAATGTTAAACAATTTTATCTATAAAAATTTAGAAGTTATGAAAGTTTAAACTTTGCACTTTGACTCTATTTATTTCTGTTGGAAAAATAATTTTCCAATTTTTTTTTGCTATAGGCTATTATAAAGAGGGAACAAGGAAGCTCTATCCTAAATTCTAACTCTGTTCAATGTTATTTGGCGCTTGTATTGGCAAAATTTTGGTATCTTTACTAAATAATTGTAAAAAAAAAACATATACAAGATCATCAGTATCATTAGACATAAGAAAATGTCAATTTTTTTTGACAGATAGAATTTTTTTAAACATTTTTTCCATGTTCCTGGTATCTTATCTTGCTTTAAATTTTTCTCTGTGGCGCGAGTTCTGGCACACCTGTATAAGCAACATTATGCTGAATTTTTTTATAATGTTATTGAAGCCTAATTTGCAGCATTTCAAACTAGGTTTCTATAAACCCCAAACATGTATTAATCTAATCATTCACATAATTTTTTATTCTTCGACACTCAAAATTTACAATTTTTCTCCCGTGTAAATTTTGAGAACTGTTTGGCATTTCTCAATACGAAACGTCAGATTATTTTTAACGGAATTAAAGCAAGTCTATGCTTTGTTGAGTCTAATTCGAAGAATAAAATGTTGTATTCAACTCGTTTGAGTGTAAATCGGACGCTTTATTCCACCTCGTGGATGATAAACCACGAGTGTAACGAACTCGTGAAATAATGCGTTCGATTTACACTCAAACTCGTATAATAAATAACTATTTACATACTTGGTCGTAAAAGTAAGTTTAAAAATTTATTATTTAAACAATATTCATATTTAGTTCCTAAAACGCCACCTCTTTGTAATTTATTACATTGACGTATAGTGAACAATTTTCTTGATTGCATGATTTAAAATTAGTGAAATAATTTATTTAACAATAATAAGTGAAATCTTATAAACCTACTTGTTTTTTTTTTAATCTTGTAGAATTTTGTATTATTAAACTATTGTAATTGAATTCATTAAATTTATGGTTATTTGTATTTGAAATAAAAATGAGAAGTTTAATGATTTATATTTTCAACAACTCTACAAAAGTAGAGTGGTTTATGCTAAAAAATTTTAAAAGAATAATAATAATTCATAATAAAGTGGATAAATACAGATCTTATTATTAATTTATAAATTTTGTAGGGCGATCAATTTTTCACTGAAGTAATATTATAATGATATTAGTAACGTTTTTTGGCACAGTCAGGTGTAGTAAAACAACCCGGATTTTTCAATTTAATTGTCACCTCAGGGTAAGAAAATGTTTTTCTGCGATTTCAATGTGACTGTAATTAATTTCACAATAAATGAAATTGAAGTGATAAAAAAGGTATAAGTGAATTTTTACAAAAATAAAGAAAAAGTTTGTACCTCAGAGCCAAATAGTGATAGATAACACGAGTTAACAGACACCTAAACAAAAATTATAGTTTTAAAAGTGCTCTCCTGAAAAAATTGTGTTTTGGTGGTGAATACTGTTTTACTCTGAGGTACAGAAGTGCTTTTTTTTTTCAACAAAAAAAAAAAAAAAAACACCAAATACAGTATCGTAAAATCTTACTATTTTCTAATTAATATTTTATTTAAAAAATCATCCATATCTTGTAAATGTTGCTTGTACCCTTTTTTATCCTATACTCTTCAGTTGTAAAATACTAAAAATCTTGATATTATTATTTTTTGCAGAGTATGTTTGCCAAAATGGCGACAACAAACGATACCGGTGGCGGTGGTGACAATGGGGAAACATCTCCACCTCCAAAACCAAAACCGAAACCGAAACCAAAACAAACTATTGAGGAAACCTATCAGAAAAAATCGCAATTGGAACATATTTTGCTTCGTCCTGACACGTATATCGGCTCGGTGGAAAAAGTGGAAGAAAATATGTGGGTCTACGACAGTGACAAAGAATTGATTGTTCAAAAAAATATCTCTTATGTGCCCGGTTTGTATAAGATTTTTGATGAAATTTTAGTTAACGCTGCAGATAATAAACAACGAGACAATACAATGGATTGTATAAAAATCGAAATTAATCAAGAGGATAATATCATTTCGGTTTGGAATAATGGACAAGGTATTCCCGTCGCAATGCACAAAAATGAAAATATGTATGTCCCGACTATGATTTTTGGTCATTTATTGACTTCTTCGAATTACAATGATAAAGAGGAAAAAGTAACGGGGGGTAGAAACGGTTACGGTGCAAAATTGTGTAATATTTTTAGCACAAAATTTACTGTCGAAACTGCCACTAAAGAGTATAAACGGCACTTTAAACAAGTATGGGGTAATAATATGACAAAAGCATCCGAGCCGAAAATCAAAGATTTTTTCGGTGAAGATTTCACGAAAATCACATTCAGTCCTGATTTGGCGAAATTCAAAATGGAGAAATTAGAAGACGACATTGTGAGTTTAATGTGTCGACGAGCTTACGACGTTGCTGCTTCAACTCGAGGCGTGAAAGTCTTCTTAAATGGCAAAAGAGTTCCCGTGAAAAATTTCAAAGATTACGTTGATTTTTTCACTAAAGGAAACGACGATGACGGAAACGAAAAAGCAAAAGTTATCTATGAGGTTTGCAACGAACGTTGGGAGGTCGCTATGACCTTATCCGATCGAGGCTTCCAACAAATGTCCTTTGTAAATAGTATAGCCACTACTAAGGGTGGTCGTCACGTGGACTACGTCACCGATATGATCGTCAAACAAATTATCGAAGTGCTCAAAAAAAGAAACAAAGGAGGAATCACAATCAAACCGTTTCAAGTCAAAAACCATATGTGGATTTTCATCAATTGTCTCATTGTAAATCCTACTTTTGATTCGCAAACTAAGGAAAATATGACACTTCAAGCGAAAAGTTTCGGATCTAAATGCACCCTATCTGAGAAATTCATCAGTCAAATTGTGAAAAGTGGAATTGTTGAGTCGGTTCTCACCTGGGCTAAATTTAAGGCTCAAACCGAACTCGAGAAGAAAACTGCAGGGAAAAAACAATCGAAATTGAAAGGTATTCCGAAATTGGAAGACGCCAATGAGGCAGGAACGAAAAACGGTCTACGTTGCACATTGATTTTGACTGAGGGAGACTCAGCAAAGTCTTTGGCGGTGTCAGGTCTTGGAGTTATTGGGAGAGACTATTACGGGGTGTTTCCGTTGAGAGGTAAACTCCTAAATGTCCGAGAAGCGACACACAAACAAATTTTGGAAAATGCGGAAATCAACAATTTGATTAAGATTCTTGGTTTACAATACAAGAAAAAATATAACACCGACGAAGATATGCGAACGTTACGTTATGGCAAAGTGATGATAATGACCGATCAGGATCAGGACGGGTCCCATATTAAAGGGCTCTTGATTAATTTTATTCATTATAATTGGCCGGAACTCTTGAGGAGGGATTTTCTGGAGGAGTTTATTACTCCCATTGTGAAGGCGAAAAAGCGAAATGAGACATTGTCGTTCTATTCACTGCCAGAGTTTGAGGAATGGAAGTCGAATACGCCCAATCATCGCACTTATCAAATAAAGTACTACAAAGGTACGGATTTTTGTCTACAGGTGTACTAAAGTTTACCTAAATGCATGTTTTTGTTTAATTTTTTTTCTAAATAAAACATAACAAGGGAATATTTAAAAAAAAATAGAATAATTTAGGGGTCATGATTTCAATCATCTGTAATTTTACTGCACAACTTTACCATACAATACATTAGTTACCTCGAACATGCGTTAGAGAAGGAGTGATAATGGAGCTACAAGTTTTTTTTTTGTAAACCATTCCTTTTTGGAAAGTCAATTATTTATAAAGAAAAGAAGTTAAACTTTAAATAGAGAAAAAAAAACAAGATTTCCTACTGTTAACGTATCAAAATTAAATATTTATAAATAATTAAATACAATTGTAAAACTGACTTTCCACAATTTTGCAATCTAAATATCAACAATTGTTTTTTTTTTTAGTAAATTTAATAGTTTTTTTATAAATCCAAAACTAGTAGAACGATGGTGAGTGCTACAAATATCAAAATAATTCTTTCACCAAAAACTAATTTGAGTCATTAGCTTATGTAGGGGTTTATCTCTTAAAAAAAAAATGTCACAACTTGAAATTTCACCACACAAACATTACACGTTATAAGAAAACTTTAATTTTTTCAGTTTTCTTTTTTCAAGACTATAGTGTGTCAGAACTTGCGCCCAAAGGAAAAATTTCAAGTAAGATAAGATACCAGGAACATGGAAAAAATTCTATTTAAAAAAATTTTAACATTTATTTTTTAACATTTGGTCTATTTTTTATTTAATGGTACTGACGTTTTTTTTATAATTATCTAGTAAAGGTACTAAAATTTTGCCAGTAAAATATATATTAACATTTGACATTTTTTATGTCTATTTTTTATTTAATGATACTGACGTTTTTTTTTTTATAATTATTTAGTAAAGGTACAAAAATTTTGCCAGCAAAAGCCACAAATATTATTAAACAAAGTTACAATTTAGGATACAGCTATCTTGTTTCCTCTTCTAATAGCCTTTAGCAAAAAAAACTTGGAAAATTATTTTTCCAACAGAAATAAATAGTCAAAGTGTAAAATTTAAACTCTCATAACTTCGAAATTTTTTTATGCATGTTCCTTGTATCTTACTTCTGACGCACCCTGTATGTATACGTGAACCTACATTCATTGAGGAATATTTGCAAAAAAAAAAGTTTCTGTCTTTGTCCAGAAGGAAGAAATGAGGATGTAAACCGAAAATTTTCCCAATTTCATGTATGATTTTTTTTAAGTTATACACATCATTTCTTTATTTTTAACCACCCTAACTGTTAATTTTAATAATATCAAAAAAGTAAAAGAACATTTACAACAATTTTATGCTTTGCAATTTTTATTTAGAACTCTTTTTCCTAACTCTTACCTATTAATCTTAAAAAAACGCTTTATTTAAAAAAATTTAACCTTTACTTTTCTTTTATTTAACGCTTTTTACAATAAATTATTTCAAAAATTCAAGTGTATCCAAATTTGATTTGAAGGCTTATTTGGCTCAAATATTGAATTAAAGACTCTTGTTTGAGAGTGATAAAACTTATATTGTGGAGGGCACATGAAATGTAGATTTATCGAATATATAAAGTAAAAAACGATTTATTTGGTACGATGTCATGACCAATCCCCTTAATGAATAGTCTATCCTCTTTCCAAAGCAGAGTAGACTTTTTGAGTACCATAAAAACACTAAAATTAATAATTATAAAAATAAAAAAAAAATTTAATTGTGGCTACAAAGCGCACAGCTTGAAATATCTGTTCCCATTATTTATTAAAAAATTCTATACAATTTTTATTTGAGAAAATCATCTTGAATTTGAGTTTACACATTTTGTTTGATCAGGTTTGGGTACTTCGGACTCGAAAGAGGCGAAGGAATACTTCAGCGACATGGGTCGGCACCGTATCCGTTTCCGCTACAAAGGCCCCGAAGACGACGACCACATCGTCCTCGCTTTCAGTAAGAAACACATCGAACACCGCAAAGAATGGCTTACGAATTTTATGGTCGAGAGTAGACGACGAAAAGAGCTCGGTCTTTCCGAAAAATATCTCTACACAAAAGACACAAAATCGGTTTCGTATACGGATTTTGTTAATCTTGAATTGGTTCTCTTCTCGAATGCCGACAACATTCGTTCAATTCCATGTATGGTGGACGGTCTTAAGCCCGGCCAACGTAAAGTGATGTTCACTTGTTTCAAACGTAACGATAAACGTGAGGTAAAAGTGGCCCAATTGGCCGGTTCCGTGGCTGAAATGTCGGCATACCATCATGGTGAAGTGTCACTTTGTATGACAATCGTTAATTTAGCTCAAAATTTCGTCGGTAGCAATAATATTAATCTCTTGGAGCCTAGAGGTCAGTTTGGTACGCGAATGGCAGGTGGGAAAGACAGCGCCAGTGCGAGATACATTTTCACAAAGATGTCGCCTTTAACTCGAATGATTTTCAATCCTGCCGATGATAATTTGTTGAAACATGAATTTGAAGATAATCAGAAGATCGAGCCGGTGTGGTACATTCCTATTATACCTATGGTCCTGGTTAATGGTGCTGATGGTATAGGCACTGGTTGGATGACGAAAATTCCCAATTATAATCCACGAGAACTTGTTAAGAATATAAGAGTGTTGTTGGATCAAGAGGATCCAACGAATTTGATTCCGTGGTACAAAAATTTCACAGGGACTATAGTCGACTGTGGCGATAACAGATATGTTGCCAGTGGAGAAATTTCAATAATAGGTGACAACAAAGCAGAAATTACCGAATTACCAGTTGGGACGTGGACTCAGAATTACAAGGAAAGTGTCTTGGAGCCTCTACTACACGGTAATTTTTACTAAGTTAGAGTTCAAGTCACTAATTCTAATATTTTCAGGGTCCGAAAAAGTAAAGGCCGTACTTCAGGATTACAAAGAATACAACACGGATACGACAGTTAAATTTATAATCACTTTCTTGCCAGGCCAGTTGGAGACCTTAGAAAATACAGAAGGTTTGCATAAAACTTTCAAATTACAATCTTTGATCTCGACAAGTTCCATGTGCGTTTTTGACGAACTTGGATGCATACGAAGGTTTGTAGTATAGTCTCGTCATATTCATTTCTAATAAAAGCTTTATTTAAGATATGATTCGGTGAACGACTTGTTAAAGGACTATTTCAAGATACGTTTGAGTATGTATCAAAAACGTAAAGATTATCTTGAAGGTATGCTAAAAGCCGAAGCGAGTAAACTGTCAAATCAAGCTCGTTTCATCATGGAGAAGTGCGACCGCACTTTAGTCGTCGAAAACAAGAAACGTAAAGTGATAATCGACGAACTTATCAAAAGAGGGTACGAACCCGATCCAGTTAAAGACTGGAAACAGAGGGTCAATACGGAAGAAGAGGATGAAGGTCCAGGTGAAGAAGAAGAGCAAGCACAAACGACCGAACAGACAGCGAAGAAACCGGTTGATCCAGGTTGTAGTGCTTTGTAAATATTTTAACTTTTTGACTATTTTTGAATACTATTACAGAGAAGGCTTTTCAAAATTCGACCGATGTTCAAAAGTTTGATTATTTGTTGGGAATGTCGATGTGGATGTTGACTGAAGAAAAGAAGAATGAATTGTTGCGACAAAGAGACATTAAATTACAAGAATTGGAGACATTGAAGAAGAAATCTCATTCTGATTTGTGGAGGGAGGATCTCGATGCGTTTATGGAGAAGTTGGACGAAGTTGAAGAGAAAGAAAGAAATGAGGAAGCTGGAATTAAACCGAAGAAAACTCAAACGGTAAGTGGAGGAAATTAATTTTACGTTGAAACAATCGTGATTTATTACTGTTTAATAATGTATTGTTTGTTTTACTTGTTGCTTTTTAAGGAAATGAAACCTGGAAGGGTAAGTTTTTCGTGTGTAAAAATAAAAAGGTTTTGTGTCTTGTTAAACAACAATAAACACTGTTTATTTTTCCAACAGGGAAGGAAAAAAGTGAATTTGGCGGAAACAATGCCGTCACCTGTGGGAAAAAGAATCGAACCGAAAATTTCCGAGGATATGAAGAAGCGCATCCAGACTGCAATAAAAGAAAAGAAAAAGAAAATGATCAAAAAAGAGAGCACGATTGAGGAAGTGGTAAATATCAAAGTCATGGGTTTTATTCTTCTATTTAAAACCGTTTTCGTAGGAAGAAAAAGACGAATTTGATCTTTATGTACAAAACAAGAAGACTTTAAAAGAAAAATTAGGCACTCCAGAAGAAGCAGAGAAGAAAGCAAAAACGAAAAAAGCCAAAGATGGCCTTAAACAAACTAAACTCAATTTCAAAAAGAAGAGTCCTGAGCCAAAGCGTAATTAGTAGTGTTAATCTAGTGGGGAAATAATTAAAATTTGTTTTGCAGTGAATGGCACTCCGAAAAAACGTGGAAGAAAGGCGAAGCCGACCAGTTCCGATGAGGATGACGATGGTGAATTCAATTCAGATATAGAAAGTCCGGTAATGAGAGAACGACCGGCGACCAAGAGATTAGCAGCAAAACAAATTAAATACAATTTGAATTCATCCGATGATGATGATGATGATGGAGAAGTAGAATTGTACGATAACAACGCTGTTATTGAACCCGACACTCGTCAAGAGAAGATGAATATAAGTTCAGACAGTGAAAATGAATCTCCCCCACCAAGACACGAAACCTCGGAAGACATGTTTGATAGTCTCGTAGGCCGAACGAAAAAGAACGATGAACCAGTACCTGCACAAAGTGAAACTCAAAAGAGAAAGATCTTGTCGGATTCCGATTCGGATATGTTCGTCCGTGAAGAGGAAACCAAAAAAACTAAACCGAAAAAGAAAAAGGTCGAGGCAAATAATGAAGGCAAAAAACCGAAACCAGGCAGGAAAAAGAAGAAATCAGATGATGAGGATAGTAGTGCAAAAAAGACAAAGGGGAAAGGTAAAAAGAAGAAAGATGACAGCGATTCAGATATTGAAATTGATTCTTCTTCCCCGCCACCGGTTAAAACCTCGCGAGCTCCGCGGAATATTAAACAGACGAAATATGTGTTTGATTCGGATGATTCTGATTGAAAATGAATTTTTTATTTCACTCGATTAGAAAATTTTAAGATGTATTCAATGCATTGTTTCAATAGGTAAATATGTGTTAGTTACTTGTGAATTTAATAAAAAAATTCTTATTTTCATTATTACAAGTTTTAATAATAAAAAGTACGGAAATTTACCTGCATTTTTCTTTCTTGAAAAAAGTAACCATGGCTACTAAAGTTTTTTCTTTAAATGGAAATTACAGAGTCAAAATTTTAGTGAAAAAATTGATAGCAGCTTTGCTCCATAGCCACAAGTTTTGTTTACTTTTTGTTTTTGTCGTTAGAAATTTTGTTAAAAAATAATTATGTTTTCAAATTGAGATGTCAAAATTTTGACTTTTATGAATCTTGTATACCTCTTTGCTCTTTGAAAGCGCTATAATTGAATACCTGAAGTCAGACATCATTATCTAAGGTCTAAAGACAGAATTCAGTCCTAATAATTTTGATAAAACACACAAGTAAGTACAATGTTGTGGACAAAAATGAGGTTCCTGCCACAAAAATTTTGAAGAAAAAGGATGTATATACAGAATAAAGTTAATTAGCAAAAGATGATACAAGTAGGTATTATGATGATTGGCAATAAATTTTGTGCAATTTATTGAAATGAGCTCAAAGTTGATTCATTTTATAATTTTTTTTTAGCTTTAGTTTTAAAATTGTTACTTTTTCTACTCGTTCTTCAAAAACCATGCTCAAGACACTAATTTAATTGCGTTTTTTCCGAGCTTCTTTCTTATTCATGTTTATTTTGTGTTCTTGTCAATTTCTTGCTAAAAATTGAGAATGTTTAGCAAACCTGCATTACAAATTGCGTCTATATTTTAACGGGCCCTTTTTCTAACTTCCTGTTTACGAACTATTCGTTTCCAAATTTTTAAAAACTGTTAGCGGTACCGAATTTGTTCCTTTTTTGGTGTTTCGTCTCTAATAAATTTTCTTAGACGATTTTTTGTGTTGACGTTTAATGACATTTTCAAATTAATTTAAAAAACCGGAACTGCCAACTTCCTTTATTAAAATTACTAGGAATGAATTTACTAGTGGTGCCAACGTTAAGAGTTTGGCTTTTCAAACAGAAGAAGAAAGAAAAAAACAAACTTAATGCTCTGTAGACATATAAAATAAATGTCAAAAATAGAGGATGAAATCAGTTTCAACAGAAACATTTATAGAGTTGCAACATTTCTAGTGTCGCTGAGTGTATCTGCTCTTGAAGCCGTTAAATTTTCAAATTTCCCACCACTGTTGTTACAAACGTGCGCACGCGCACTGATAATTTTCAAAATTTGTTTGAAACGAATGTTTTCTGTGTTGTGTTTGTGATTTATTTTGCTATCCCAATGTTTTATAGAGTTTGGACGAAATGGAAGGTTTTGTAAACGTGTCAGTCCGAATAAAACCAACTTTCAACGATGAAACAACAAATTCTTGTTTGCAAGTTATAAACAAGCAACCACCGGTAAAAATAAATTGAGTTTTATTTCTTATCAATGACACACATTTTCAGATTTTATTCGTTTTGGACAAGGCCCAGACTTATCATTTTGATAACATTTTCACTCCTGATATACAACAAGAGGAAGTTTACAACGAAACTGTGAAGACCCTCACTGAACGTGTTAAAACAGGTTACAATTGTACGGTGTTTGCTTATGGACAAACGGGCACTGGGAAAACATACACGATTGGCACAAATGCTGACGTATAAAAACAATACTTTAAATTAATAATTTTGTAATTGGAAAATGATTTTAGGTCACTTTAAATGAAGAAGAATCTGGACTTATTTCACGAACTTTGGATGATTTTTTTACTTCTTCCGATGATTACACTGAAACTGAAATTTCAGTCTCATTCATTGAAATTTATAATGAGAAAGTTTATGATTTGCTTTTTCCGCAGCATGCTCTCCCGGTTAAAGGTTACTAGAAATTATATTTGGAGTAAAATGTAATTGTTATTAATTTTATAGGTTTTACTGTCCAAGGCTTCAAAAAATTGAAAGTTAACAATACTTTTGAGGCTTTGGAGCAGTTGAAATATGGTAGCAGAAATCGTCACACCGGTGAAACCAAACAAAATCTCAACAGTTCAAGATCACACGCAATTTTCTCCATTTATTACCATTCAAGGACTTGGTATAAAACCTCCCGTTTTGTTATACAATTTTGATAAAATTGTTATTTTAAGCACGAGTGAAGTTGAGGCAAAGTTGAATTTAGTTGACCTGGCAGGTTCAGAGAGAGTTAACAGGACTGGTAATCAAGGTTCCAGTTTTTACGAAGGTGTCAATATAAATAAAGGTTTGTTAAGTCTTGGACAAGTTATGACAGCGTTGTCGACAAATTCTTCACACATCCCTTACCGCCAGTCTGTCATAACAACAATTCTTCAAGACTCTCTAAACAAAAAGAATTACGTTACGTTAATTGCTTGTGTTAGTTCAAGTCCCGAAGATTTACCTGAAACATTACAAACATTAGAATTTGCAAACCGTGTTAAAAAAATGAAGAACAAGCCCGAAGTCAATCATTTCATAACACAGTATAAAAAAGACAATCCTAGCTTGTTTCCAAGGGGGCTTACTCCGTCCAAACGGACCAATTCTAATACGTTTGAAACGCCGTTTAAGAAGCCAAAAATGGTTTTACCTGCTGTTCAGGAAACCCCGTTTTTTTCCACCAATTCTGCTTTTGAGGTGTCCCCCTTATTGTCGTCAAGTTTAATATCGACGAGTAGTGCCCAACAAAATTTTAGTCCCGTGATTAGAAAATACATGAATGCCATGGAGTCTTCAATAATTAATAAGTTGGAAAGTGTAATAAAAAGCACGTTAAGGAGATCAAAGAGATTGAGTGTACGCAAGGGGGATAAGGAAAATGTATCACCAAGGTAAATATGAGTAAATACTCGAAAAAAATTTTTTTTTTCTTTTATTAGAAGTGTCAAATAGCCTTTCAACCACAATTTAACGGAATTTGAGCCTTTTTACAACATAGTACAGAAAATGATATCTGGTGTTTTTGGACTGATTATTGAAAAATACAATTTTTCGGCAACGTTTCGATTTATTTAATTCAATCCCAAACCTGATGAAGATTGAATAAAAAAAATTGAAACGTTGCCGAAAAATTGTATTTTTCAATAATCAGTCCAAAAACACCAAAATACCTTTTTTTATAATATACTGAAACAAACTGGACAACACATTAGAAATTAATAATGAACCTTTTTACAACATTGCATGAAAATATTTTGATTTTCATTTTTTGAAAGCATAAAACTTAAATTCTATTTATTATTAGTCTCAATTAACATTGTTTTGTTCCAAAATGTATTTTTTTACTTATTTGAACAGCTCTTTTATGAATAGTTATTGCTTTTTTAAAATTTGCAATTCTTTAAAGCAAAAACATTCTCAAATTAAATTTGCCACGATTAATCTTAACATTTTGATTGAAATAAGAAAAAGATTATAGATTCTAATAGTTTTTCTGACAAAACCAGTATTTTGTTTTTTTAACTTTGGTTTTCTCTAAATTTTGAATTAAGGTTATTACTTTTAAAAAACCCTTTTCCTTTTGAAATTATAAGTAAAATATACAGGGTGAATATAAAGTATGGAACCAAGCGGTTTTATTTTTAATCATTTGTCTCCAGAAAATAATAATAATAATTAATATAAATTAAAGTAATATAAAAAATGTGATCGTATTTTCAGAACGAAATTTTGTTTTGTTTTTGAGTTACGCGATTTTTTTTTTGACAAAATTGCAATTTATGTGAAAAAATTTAAAAAAAAAATTAAATATAAAGCAGATAGTTGTAATCCTTAGAGTATAGCTTTTATGAGAAAAATGATTTTATAGTGGGTTGCCATTTAAAAAAATATTTTTTTGTAGAACTCAAAAACAAAAGGAAATTTCGAAAAAATTTATTCTTGTTAAGGCATCACATTTGTACAGTACTTTATCACTCATCAATTAGTTTTTTTAAAAAATAAATAGTTTAAGCAAAAAACGTTTGGTTTATTCACCTGGTAATTTACAAAATGCAAAAAATTAACATTATTTTCCTCAATTATACTTTTTCATTCAAGGGCATTTAAAGAGGTATTTAAAAAAATCTGAACAAACATTAGGTTTGACAATTAAAAGTAATAAAAAACAAACTTGTTAGATTTTGTCGTTTTTCTAACTGACTCCATAAACAGCTATTTCATAACTTAATATATAAATATGTATTTCAATTGGGGCTGTAATTGTTTGATTCTTCCGGAAACAAAACTTATATGTTGTTTTGCAACATAATTTTTAACTTTTTCATTTCCTACCTAACCAATTAAATGCTTTGTATTTTATATTTCCAGAATCTCAATGAAAGCAGTATCAAAAAATCTTTACGCTGAATCACCTGAAGGGAGGGCCACTAGCAGTCCTCTTGAACGGTCAATTACCAACAGAAATAGCGGCCCTTTAGTAGAAGAAGTGCAAGATTTTAGTATAATGGTAAGTCATTCATAAAAGCAGCCCAACGACAGAAAAATCTTTAAAAGTAACTTATTTAAATATTATTTGTAGGAAAATAACAATGAAAGTTTTTTTAATGAAACGAAAAACAACGAAAGAAGAGACGAGTCGATATTTCTTGTCCCAGCTCCAAGGACGAAAAAACCAAAGATTCCAAATAACTCGATTAGACGTAGTGTTAGATTACAATTGCGGAAATCAACACTGGAAATTCAATCACCGGAAGGTAACAGACGACGTAGTGTGCGGCTGCAACAGAAACAAACTCTCATGAAAACTGAAAAAACGCAGAGGAAAACACCACTCAAAAAAACTGCGTCAAAAACGAAAACTGCAGAAAGCCCAATTACGTCACGAACTAACCAGGTTTTGCACCTCCTAAATAACGGCAGTGTGAAAGAGCTGGAAAAGTTGCACACAGTTGGATCCAAAACTGCTGAAAAAATTTATTTGTTCAGGTTGGTACTACATCCCGAGCTTTAAATTATTTCTTTGTGAAATTTTAGACAGTTGAAGGGGAATTTCCGGAGTATAGCAGAGATTGCAGAGATGCCGTACTGGACCAAAGCCAAATATGAAAAATTTTTGGCCGAAAATTTTCTTAGAAGGTAACGTAAACCATTTTAGTCAAGGGATCTCCAAAGATAATGTATTTGATTTGAAAAAAATATATTCTTAGTGTACACATATTTATCAAGCCTTTCCAATGGTCCAGTTTTCCTATATAAAACGTAGAATATAAAAATAACCAATAAATAAAATTTTATTAGACCTAATTGTTACATTTTCGAATTACGCCGCTGTCCTCCATTTTCGGCGTAGGCCGGCGGTGTGGTCAAACAAAGTTGGGTTTTTAAATTCGCCCCTCATGTCGAGAATATAATGGAGATAATGTCCTTTGACTTTAAGGGGTAGTTGCGACACAGCAACACTTCTTGACTCCTTACAATTCACATTTTTCAAACTTACTGTAAATATTCGGTTTTTCATAAAGGGTGTGTATGTCACAAAAGATAAATTTTGTCCCCCTTGATGTAGAATCAAATACCGGACCGATCTTAGAGTATACATCCACGTTATAGTCAAAATACCATAGCCTACAAGAGCAAATTTGGTCATTTGGGTGACTAGACAAGGACGAAAATTAGACCTATAATGAACGATATTACTGCCAACCCATTTCTGTACTTGTTTTCACCCAGATTAATTTTGCGCCACCAAGTTGTCTCTTTTGAGGGGTCAACTGGTGCATCTCGAAGTTTAGAATATGCAAATACTGAAAGATAAGACCAGAAGACAAATTGGCATCCAGCAAATATATTAATTATTTTGAAAAAACGGGGATTGTCGTATTTGAATAATATAACGTCTTTGGCGACATTTGTGTTCACATCTAATGGTTTTTCTGAAAAATATCGCACCCTGGGGAATATTACAAAACTGGGTCTTTTTAACACATTCTTCACAAAATGTTGGATTCTCAACATTCCAATCATATCGTTTATTAAATCAGCGCGTATCTTCAACTTTTAGGCGCATTTATCGGTGTTTTCACAAATTTCATCGGACTTTGAGGTTATGACATAACCTAAAAAAAACACTACAATATTAAAAAAAAATATCCTTGAACCACGAATACGGAAAAACAGTAAGTACTAAGAAATATGTGTCACAACATTTGTAAGTTTAAAACTATTATTAAAATTTATTTAAGATTTGAAAATTTGAAAAATTCGTGACTAGTGCCTTTTAAATCGTTATGTTGGTACCACAATTCAATTTTCAGCGATTTATAAATATAAACTACATTTTTTGCGTCATTTTAAATTTAGATTTCAATGATAATTAACCATGTGTTTTACTGGTTTGTGTTCGTTGGTTTGTGTTCGTAATTTTTAAGTTAATTCCATTTGGGTTAATGACAACTTAAACAAATGAACGAATGTCCCTGTTGCAAACGTCATTGTCAAAAATATCTAACCTTCAAACGATAGCATTACGAAAATAGTTGTAAAACCGAATAGCCAGTTTAAAAACGATCAATATGGATAATACTGAGGACGACAATTAGACCCGTACCAATTCCAAACATCCGAGACACACAAATCAATAAATCACAATGACTCAAGCTCTCCTCAACCGATGCAGAATGCAGTCTTTTAGCCTATTTCCGTTATTGAAACCTCCGAAAATGCCACCAGTCACGTAAGTCCCCATCGAAGTAACCACCATTTGAGTCATCACACTTTTAGGCATTTTCACACAACCCCCATCCCCCATCGCAAATCCCTCTACAAGACTGAGTCGAAGAAAATCCGCTTCTTCGTAGTCCACCGTTACCTCGAATATTTAAAAAACTACGACAAAGTCTTGGAGCGTAGTTTTCCGGGGGCCATGCGAGTCTACCGCGTTTTCACGGTGGGAATAAAAGACTTCGCCCGAGACTTGAAAGACTACTTCAGAATAGTTCGAATTCTAAATTCACCCACTAAAGGCAAATTCAAGAGTCTGACACGTCGCGAGATTGAACTGTACCACCAAATGCCCAAAGACATGCTAAAAGTGGCCCCGGTTTTGTTGATTTCGGCTCTACCCTTGGCGAATTATGTTATTTTCCCCTTGGCGTACTTGTTCCCGAGGGTGTTCCTCTCGCGACACTTTTGGAACTTGCAGCAGAGAGCCGAGTTCAATATTCTCGACCTGCGGTCGCGTTTGGTGAACAATAGGCCGCTTTTTCGGTGCGTCCAAGCCGAGTTAGATAAGATAAGGGGGCACAGGTTGTTCTGCAAGTGGGCCGAGGTTCTGGGTATGATGGGCAGTGGTGTTCAACCCAAAGTTGAGCAGATTTTAGAGTGCAAAGATTTGTTTACGTGTGAGCCTTACCACCTGTTTTATTTAAAAGGAAAACATGTGGTAATTGGTAACTAACTCATTGCTTTAATATTATTTATAATCATTGTTTTAGAAACACTTATTGAGAATTCATGACCTCCATATGGGGTGGTTCAGGCGCTCGCGTCTTATTGAAAGAGCTGTGATACTACAAGAAATGGACAAAGCCATAATCAGGGAAGGAGGGGTCCATAACATGCCTCAAGATGCTTTAAAAAACGCTTGTTACATCAGAGGACTCAATCCAATGAATATGCGAAACGAAGACATGATAGATTGGTTAAATAATTGGATTAAAATTTCCAATGTTGTAGATAGAGAAAGTTGGTCACTTCTTTTGCACTGTCCGATTTTATTGGCTTACAATGAGCCCTCAAATTGGACATTAATTTATAAAACCAAGTGACCTGGTTTTTATTTTTTTGTGATAAAGTACCAAATGTTTAATTTTGTATTAAAATAATGACAAGGGTTGAAAATAAAACCGTTTGTTGCTTTATTCGTTTTATTTTTTCAATGATAATATAAAGAAAATCTAAAATTGCCAAGAAATATTCGTCACGTGGCTTGAAACGGTATAAAAGCCGGTAAAACCCCCAATTTTGGCCTATCCTTTGAAACAGTCTTAATAACATTTTCCTCCCCATTAACACACTTGTTTTCCGTTTCTTTTTCCTTGTAATATCGGTTTTTTTCCGGCGCGTCCGTTAAAACAGGTTCCTTTTTTGCTTTTTTCGTTGAACATTTCTTGGCAAGCCTATTTAAAACCTTTGAATTTTTTCTTACCGTGTTTCCATGTGGGTAAGGACACCTCCGTTTCGCACATTTCTTGTTCTTCTCGAATTCAGGACACAAAAATTGGTGGCGTTTGTTGCACTGTAATCACATTTCCCAATCGGGGAACCCCACCAGATGGCGCATACTCACCTCAGCGCCCTTCTTGCAAAAACCTTCCAAGAAATCCTTGCAAATGTCGGCCTTGGGACTGATCCTGACGTGGAGATAAGGACAATTGTCCTTGGAACATAACCCGTCGAGAAAGTACTTGCAAGTCGGCATTTTTTCAAGCGAAACTTTATGCGAAAGTAGGCATTTCTCATTACGACACGCCCCTTGGAGGAACCTTGAAAAACCGACCAATAAGGAACAGCGATTCGAATTCGTCGTCTCACCTCGTGCACAGGATGATCTGGTCGGGGTTGTGCAGCTTGAAACAAGTGCCGGCCGCTTTTCCGGGACATTTTCCGTATTTCCGGAAAATGGGACACGGAATGTTGCATTTGCGCAATTTGCTCGGCGTGGGCTTTTTCGACCTAAAATTAGGGCGTGCTCTAAGTTTGTAGGCGTGGTTGGGGGAGGAGCTAGACCTGATCAGCTTGTAACGTTTCACAAGGCTTCGCCGCGAGTTGGACGACTTCGTGAAGGTCCTGGATTTGAGGAGGGACGTGTCTGAGGCTTTCCTCAGGGAATTCGGGGATTTTTTGTACAGAATTCCGTTGATGTTAACAAATCCCGGTTTAGACAAGTTTGAATTCTTTTTCAGAAGTACGTTTTTGGCCATTACGTCAATACTCAAAAACCGGTTCACGTAAACGTAACGTTTTTTCGCAGATCTAACAATACTTTTATTTGCACTTTTGTCATGTCTTTTATCTAGTTTAAATCGATTTAGAGAACCGTTTTTAGCACCATTTCGCACAATTTTGTACTTTGTATGCAACGAATTACGTCTTTTTCTAACTTCGGGTGAATTGCACGGAATTCGGATTAATTTATTCCTAGTAGATATCACAGTCGTTGACTTTGGAGTTTCGACAACTTTTGAAACTTTCCTTGGCACCGTGTTTACAGTTTTAGCGAAATTTTTCAAAACGTTTGGATTAATGTGAATTTTTGGTTTTGCGCTTGGTGTCGGAACGGGGTTTTGGGGTGGTTTAAATTGAGGATTGACATAAACTTTTTTCTTGAAATGGGGATTGACAAGGACTTTCGGTGCTGGATTCGGAGCAACAAAATTGTGTTTTACGTAAATAAATCGGTTTGTAGATGAATTTGGGACGTTTGCAGGGTTGTACTGGGGGAAATGGAATTGGGTTTGGTGATTCATCGCTGGAACATCTGGCTTTAAACAACGTTCAAAAAATTTTGATCACTTACGTTGATAATAATTCATTCTAACGTTAAATTCGAGTAAAATAAAAATAACGCTCTTGTTCACCGATTATCACTTGAATTGCTGCAAAACTCACCAAAAACTGGAGTACATTTTGAGATCAGATGACATTTAGTGGCTTTGACGTTTTTAACTTTTTATTTTTTGCGCTTGCGCGTTAATCAAATAGTGTCCGTGTTCGAAAAACATTATTTTTATATTAACTAAAAATCGTGGATTAACTTTTTATTTATTTTAATTTTTTTAGGTAATTGCCGCATGCTACAATTTTAAATTAAGTTGTGGCATTTTTCTCTGTTTATAAACGTTTTCGAAAATTGAATAAATCAGCTTTGGAATTAATTAATTTTTGTATTGAAATTATATTGTGTAATTTACTTTTTATAACATTTTAAATTTAGTCATTCTAAGTAAACTGGATTCAATTTGCAAAAAATTGTAGTAGATTTTTGAATCAAATTTAAAATAGTTGCTGTTTTGATCATTTCTGGTACCTGTCAAAAGTTCATTTCCGGTTGAGGTGGCCGCCATCATTCTTTTCGTTTCAGTGTAAAGCATGGTAGGTCTTATTTTAGTTAAAACTTGTAAATATAAACAGAAAAACCACCAAATTCACTTAAAGTTTAATTAACTGTTTTTAATTAAGCCTTTGGCTAGTGGTTTCTGGTTTTGTGAAATTATTTTCCAAGTTTTTGCTAACCTTTACATCCACATGGCTTTTATGTATTTTTCTAATTAAAACTGTTATTTTCAGCCTTTCCAAAGGTTTGTGGAGACCGGCCGCGTGGCCTTAGTGGCCGACGGCCCCAACAAGGGCAAATTGGTCAGCATTGTTGATGTTATAGACCAAACGAGGGTGAGTCAAAGTGAGGTTATGTTTCTTTTTCCAAACTCAAAATGATGATCCCACAATTGATAGGAATTGCCGACTGATACGAAGCTGAAGCTATTTAACTACTGAAAACATTTAACATTACATAAACATAAAACTGTAAGAGTCGTGGTAAATTTTTATTTCTTCTGTAGGTGTTGATTGATGGTCCTGCTAGTAAGGTACCCCGGAGCCAACTGCGCCTCAATCAGTTACATTTAACCAAGTTTAGGCTGAAATTCCCGTTCACAGCCTCGACCCGTATTGTGCGCAAAGCGTGGACAGACGCAAAAATCAACGAACAATGGGAGAACTCAGCATGGGCCAAAAAATTAGCAGCCAAGCAAAAGGTACACAAGTTGCATTTTTCTCATTATTGTAAGAAAATGATGATCCAGCATTTGATAGGAATTGCCGGCTGATAAATAATGAAGCCAACACTTAACTGACAGTTTTCCTATAAATAAATTCTGTGATTTTAATTTTGCGAATTCTAAAATTGTTTTTTTTATCAGAGGGCCCAATTGACAGATTTCGATCGTTTCAAACTGCGTCGTGCACGGTCCCGCAGGAATCACATCAGGACCATTACTTTCAGAAATTTGAAGAAAGCGGCGTCAAGAAACGGCACTTTGTACGGCAAGAAGAAGATGGCGAAAGGTGGAGACAAACCTAAGCCGAAAAAGGGGGCCCAAGCTAAGGCTAAGAAGGGCAAGAGTAAATAAGTTGTTAATATAATGACCGCGAAATAAATTTTTTAAGGAAAATTTGGTTTTATTTTACCTCTCCTACACTCGCCATAATGTTTTTTATTTTGTTGCTATGGCAACTGGCTAATTTAAATGGGCGGGGGTGTGATATTTTACTCCCCTTCAGCCATTACCTTTTTAATAGTTTATTAATTAAAAAAATATATAAGTAAAACGAGCAATTACGTTTTATTTTGATAATGTTTGGTAAATGGGTTTCCCGGCTTAAAGGCGCGAAAGCCAGCTCTGCGTCGCACAAGATCGATATTTTCCAGCATCTCTGTCAGGCAGTGCAGTTGAGAGAGCGGCGAGGCAAGACCAAGTTGGCATCGCCGAGATGGGGCTTAAAATAACATTTTTCAGTGTCCCCAAATTGTAAATACTTTCGGATGTCAAAATATTCAAAGGTAAGAATCGCATTTTGTATTTTTGAGGGGCGAGATGGGGTAATTTCGCCGGCATTTCCTCTTCCGCTCCGCCCTCGCATCGCTCGTGTGATAATAAGAGTTTTGTCAAAACACTGACCTTATTGAAGACACGTCAGATAATTTAATATTAATGTCGTTCGATGTCTTATTACCTCATGAATTTTTAATTAGAGGAAATAAATTTTAGTGCTTAACTCAGTTCGATTTAAAATTGTGTGGTTTTGCTTTCTCATCCATTTATTAAGGTAAGGGTGGAAGGAAAAACCTATAAATTAGTGTCTTCCGTTCCATCATTGTCAATCGATACAGGAAGCAGTAGACGGGTTGATAAAGTAAATGATCGTTTTTCATTTTGCGATTTCATGTCACAAGCAAAAATTGCTACAATTAAACGAGATATTAGTTGGCTCGAGTAATTGACAATTTGTCACCCTCGTTTTACCAAATGCTCATTTATCTGAAGGCCGATGTACCTACTACGACGATTCAAATTTTACACGTTAATGTATGTTACATTTTTGCTATATTTTCCTATTGATGTGGTTTTTACGTTTTCAGGGCTGTTAGGAAGGCCATAACGACCGAGGGAGTTGTTTGAGGCCCGACGAAAGAATAATAATCTTTCCGCGGTCCTTATGGTCCTTATTAACAGCACGTGGTACGTACAATGTTTTTCGTCGTACTAAATACGAGTATATGAAATTATATTTTAACTTTTAAATGTCAATATTTGAAGGCTTTTATTTAGATTGAAATTGTCAAAAAATCGGGCGTTAAAAAAGGCGGTCAGTTAATTGTAAATTGTTGAATGTTATTCACATCATAACAACATAGTACGACGAAAATAAAAATACGTATACCAAAGGGAGTGGTACAGTTGCGGAATTAAAATTTCGGGCAGTATTTTTCTGTCATTTTAAAAAGTTCACTGTAAACTACTCTTTACTGTCATCATGATTGACATTTGACAATTAAACTTTTTTTTCTTGTTAAAATTGTTAATTAAACAATTTGTCTGTCTTAGGGATTTTATTAATTGAACTAAGTGTAACTATATAAATCATCGCTTTGATCTATTATTATATCACAAATCACTATTTTTGAAAGTAAATAAGTCAAAATGACATAAACATGACAAGAATAAAAAATGAGGTTATTAATGTAAAGGTTGTTAGAGTTTACATTATGAAAATGACAATACTGCCCGAAATTTTAATTCCGCAACTGTACATACATGTTTTTCGAAAATGTTTTTTTCTTTTCATCTGTTTATTGTACCAAGTTTTTATTAAATTTCGAATATGTTGTGTTAATCAGCAAAAATTTTAAATGTTTGACAAAAAGTTATTTGTTATAAAAGACGTTTGTTACTCAACTCTTCGCTACGCGGCTCGTATCGGGAATTCCAAGTTCTTGTTTGAAATTATGTCTTTATTTTTTGTCATTTTTTTATATACATATGAAAAAAAACAATACTAAAATTAACTAAATAGAAAAAAATATATTAATTCAGCCAACTTATTTTGCAGATAATTATAAACACTTTGTATAGACAGCCAGATTGTTTCAAACTGTAACATTTTTATTTTGAAATATTTTAAAATTCGTAGTGAATTTTATAGTATTTTTTTAATTAATTTCATTTGCTTGGAAGCGATGAGTGGTGTAACAACTGGCGCTATCTCTAGTAATGAAGTTAAAATCTGGGTTTAGCAGTCTTACACTGGGATAAAATTTCCCTCATCTTAGGGATTTTAATGATATTATAATTTTTGATCAGCACTAATTGTAATAATCCGTTATCTGTGTCATGATGTTCAAAAATATTAGTAGGTAAGTATTTACAAAATCAAAAATTTGTCTTCCTGCACATTTATTTATTGTATACAGAAAGTATTTCGTTGAACTGTTAATAAAGTACAACCATTCTTAATAATCTTCCAAAAATGAGTGAATTTAGAAGAGGAAAATTGGAAATCTAAGACTAAGTTTGGTTTTATTTGTGTTTAGGGTCTGGTACATTAAAAATGGGAGGAAAAGACAATATAGGCTACTTTTTACATTTCTCATTCTAACAATATGTCTTAATGTTATTAAATTCTACAATTTCATTTAATTATGATAATTGTACTAGAAATGTAACATCTTGAAGCAATTTTTAGTGTAAGCCAGGTTTCAGCGACTTTTGTTCACTCTCTGGTACAAGCTAGTGGCCTCGACATTGTATTTTTATCTTATTTACATTATGTGTATGCAGTTTGTGTTTATTTTATTTGTGATCAATATTATAAGAAGCGTCAGAAACATAACATTATTGTCTAAATTCTCTATAAAACTCTTGAGTAGATTGTTATTTATGTATTTACTGATTTGCGAAAGTGTTACTTAGTACATTTCTAATATTATTTAATATATTTCAATTTTTAGTGTAAACCAGGTTTTAGCGACTTTTGTCTACTTCCTGGGGTAAATTCCTTAACCTTCAATTGAAATGAGAATGTTAATAAATTCTTTTCTCATTGAAAGTACTTTATTCAATAATTCGCCGGTTTTACTTAATCCATTTATAACGTCATTCATGAGAAACATTCACAAAAAACTGCAAAATAGAATCTTTTGTGATTTCATTGTTTATATTGAAATTACATTATCTAGTTTATTCTGTACGTTTACTTTTTCTATTTTGCTCACTTAGTTTTTCTTAACTTTTTTTGTCTGGGATTATTAAAATGTTTAGGTGCATTTTTTGAGCACACTGTTGAATTTTAAGTAGCTTTTCAAGGTGACTAAACAAGGTACAATATTCCTGCTTAATTGTCTAACAAACAAATATCACTTTTAATAATGTTGTAGTCTACAAACAGTGTTAACTCTAGAACTCCGCTTTTATTAATTTTGTAATGAGGTAATTAATTTATCTAATTTTGTGGTCATCAAAGGGCAAAGAGGGTTCAATCTTTTGACCTCACTTTTCTCCACTTCATATCTAGTAAGTAGTGGCTTGACTCCAGGTCAAGGCATAATTTGTTTATAAAGTGGTTAAAATTTCGGTGTATTTTAAGCCACGAATATAAATATCAAACTCCTTAGTCCTGCGTCATGTTGATTGCTATTTTATGAATTTTTAATGGAACATTAAAGGAAATATAGTCTTAGATAAACATGGAACTAGCGATATACCAATTAAAATCGTAATCAATAGCTAGTTGTGGTCAGTTTATTACGTGGTGTACTTTTTATTATGTTAAGGTAATTATTTTATTCTGAAATGATAAGTTTTTCTTTTTTTTTTCAGAAGAAAATATGCCTACCGACTCCTGAAGATGTTCGACAAGAAACTCTGGCCCACCATAATCTATACGGTGATTCTCTTCGGCCTTTGCGTCACTGTATGGCAACTAAGAACTGATTCTGACCACGTGACCGAATACAGTGCAATACAGTATAATGTGTACACGACCAACACTACGGGATACTCTTATCCTCTCCAAACCCTCCCTCACGATGACTACCATCGACTCATCAACCTCAAAAATTTTACTTTCACAATCTTCAACAACCCTTGTAATGAGTCGAACCCAACCCTTCTCATTTTGGTCCACTCTAACCCGAAGAATTTCGAGAAAAGGAAGATAGTGAGGGAGACTTGGGGCAAAAACACCCCTCAAGTCAAGGTTCTCTTCATAATCGGTTTGGTGAAAATTCGTCGGTTGAAAATGCAACTCCAGAAGGAAAACGAAGAGTTTGGAGACTTGATTCAAGGTTCTTTCTACGACGCTTATCGAAATATGACTTACAAACACGTCATGGTGTTGAAATACGCCATCTATCACTGTCCACAAGCGAAATATATCCTCAAGACTGACGACGACGTGTTCGTTAACATGCCCCTCATGTTGAACTTTTTGAATTTGGATTTGTCGCCGTTTGGGGGCTCCCGGATGATTTTTTGCACTTTGAGGAAGAACAGTCCGGCGATGAGGAGTTGGAGGTCGAAATGGAGGGTCTCCTTCAAGGAGTACCCGGATAAGGTGTACCCCCCTTACTGCCCGGGCTGGGCTATTATTTACTCCCCCGACGTGGTTTTCGAATTGTACCGGGAGGCCCAAAAAACCGACTACTTCTGGATTGACGACGTTCATATCACTGGGACTCTCGTGGCTAAAATTCACTTATCACACGTCAATATTGATAGTTTGGTGTTGGATAGAAAAGAGCAGACTGATGCTTTGCACCAACCCTCGAGATGTAACCGGACGTTTCTCTACGGGGCTCCGAATATGAATAATCGGGAGATTAAAGCGTTGTGGGAGTGTGTGAAGACACGTGAGGTCCACGTGTCGCTCCTTAAATATATCACGTAAAAGTATTACCTCGATGGATAATCAAAACTTTCGACAGATGCAAGACTGTCCTATAGGTACTAGAAATTTAAGACTGTCAGAAAAACGGCCAAAGTAGTAAATTTTAGAATCTAGTTGAAGTGCCTATGGTTCTTGAATTCGTGCAATACGTTTCAAAGTATTATTGTTATATCGTGTGATTCAAAAAATTGTAATATTAGTTACAAGTTTTTTGATGATTATGTCGAAAGGGTCCATGTAATTAGTACCTAATTAGCTTGGTTTTTTGATAGTTTGAAAGCGAACGGTGTGTTTTGTAAGTTTGAATGAAGCTAAAAGAGGTCTGTTTTGAGTACAAATGATTTTGTTGTGTTGTTTAAAATCCTATTACATTTGTTATCACTACAAAGAAGGTACAATTATTAGTCAAGTAGAATATTTTATTATTACATCACATAGGATTATATTCAGAATTTCGGAATTATTGTTGAAAATTTTATTAAATTAAAATGTTACTAATATTACTGTGTACCTACTCAACTTTAAAACTACATAATATAATTATATGAAAATGTGCCAAGTTCAAAATTAAATGCAATTGGTTAATTACTGTTTTTTTTTACATCACGCACAAACTGATTACTGAAAAATACTCTACAACGAGGTAAGTATTTTAAACTTTGAAAAATTTGTTGTTGTGACGTTGGACAAGTATTATCTTCTGTACAATTTTATTTAAAAGTTTTAACATTTTTTAATTAAATTGAGACAATTTTAACAATTTATGTTTATGACTCTATTTCGACGTATTTTGTGATGTAGTTTTTTAAATTAGTCATTGGCTAATTTTAGTGTTTTTACACGTAGACAATAAAATTTTATTAACTTTGATTTTCCAATATTTATTCGTGTTCTAAGAATAACAAATAAATTAATTGCAAGTAGTAAAAATTTACTGTTGAATTCTTTTCCAAAAATAATCACTTTTAAGAAAATGGCGCAACATAACAATGCTTATTATCGTGATTTTACGATGTACTGTGTACTTTTACGGTTATACTAAAACATGAGAGTATTAATTGATATAAAATACTACAGGGTTATTCAACGTTATTTAATTTAATTAATGTTATTAATTATTTTTTTTATTTCTGCTGTTTCATAGTTAAAATAAAAGTTCCCTGTTTTAAGTCTTAACATTAATTTCTTGCAATATTCCTTAGACTCCTTAGAACTTTACATATCGAACAAAATGTTAATTTGACTTTTAAATGAAGTTACTTTGATTTTTTATTTGTAAAAAATTAAACTTAGTACTTTTTTTTCGAGAACTGTACAGAGAATAACTAATTTTACTTTTGTATTTTTATTAATCAATATAATATTCTTATTAAACGTTTAATCGATAAAAAAAATACGGGTGCGCCAGAAATACAGGTACGATAGCAGGAACATGTAAAAAATGTAAAAAAAATTCTACTTATAAAAATTTCGAAGTTATGAGAGTTTATTTATTTCTGTTGGAAATATAATTTTCCAAGTTTTTGCTACAGACGAAGAGGAAACAAGAAAGCTGTATCTTAAATTGTAACTCTGTTTAATGTTATTTGTGGCTTTTTTTGGCAAATTTTTTCTACCTTTACTAAATGATTATAAAAAACATATACAAGATTATCATAGACATAAAAAAATGTTAAATGATAAAAATTTTTGATAGAATTTTTTCAACATTTTTTTATTTCTTGGTATCGTCTCTAACCTAAAATTTTCCCCTGGGGCGCAAAATCGGGCACACCCTCTATAATAATATTTTTTTTTAATAATTTTATTGACCCACAAACTCACTTCTGCTCTGAATAACATATACTATTTTATTCACAAACATATTCAGATCGAAAGAAGAGCAGCACTATTAATAATAAGTAAATGAACAAAATAATGATGCTTTGCAAGTAGTGGTAGGAAATCATAAGAACGTTTGCATTTGCGGATAAAAACATGTTTTTTCAATTTAAGAATTTATTCTCAATAACCTCTTGGTAATCGCTGGGTGATATTCACTGTAATAATTTCGCAGAATTCAAACATTTTTAACAGTTTTTTTATTCTCTTAAACTGCCGTGAATGTTGCATTTACAAGCATTTTTTTACTATTTGCAAAAGAAATGATAACGTAATTTGAATTTCCAATTTATTATACTTCTTTTTTCTATGAAAATGTTAAAAAAAAGATAGAATGAGAAAACCAATCTACGGAAACCTGAAAAATGCCTACCTCCCTCCCCCTTTATCTTTTTTACTGAATCTCATTGTGAATTCATGTAAAATAACCCCGCGGTTAATCGACCGTCCTAGGATCAAACCTATCACCTCAACAGGTCAATAACCCGTCGCGCCTGTATTTACCTCAAATTGTTGACCCATTCGTTTCCAATAATTGCCAAAAACCGTCGTAATCATAACCCTCTTATTCCCATGATTGTATCGAGTTACCATGGCTCTAATTAGAACAATACTCAATCGAAGAAGGCGTATCCTGAAACATCTGCCAAATCCCACATAACTTGATATATCATAAAAAATACATCCGAGTCCACGTGGTCCTATCACAGCCAGCGACTAATTATCGATCAACAAAGTCCTTAATCAAGGAACAATTGTCCAGTTTGTGATTCAGGCACAAAGACACACTCTTGAAAAAGCATTTTTCGGGATTTGGCACGAGCTTTGGCCCCGAATTTGCATTTTTCAGGAATTGTTTCAGTTGCATGTCGAGCGCGAGTTTGCGCTTTACGCTTCTAAGAAACAGTGGCAAATACAAGTCCGGCAACGCTCATCACATTGACATCAAGCTCTAGGAAAAAGTGCGACGTTATCCTTCAGGAATCCTGCACGCCCACTTCGATGTCAGCATCCTGAAAACACAACTTTGGGAAAATTGCGACTCTACTCATTGTAAAACCCTGCAACAAGGTCAGTTTTCACGACTTTTATGCGTTTTGAAACACAAAAACTGTGGATTTTATTAATAAAACTGGACCACATCCACGTTTATATTTAGCACACTGGGTGCTCCAATTTAATTAATATCAATAATTATTCGGTAAAATCAAGTCAAGGCTTTTTTTACAATACTTTATTGGTTTGAAACCAAAAAAAATTTTTTCTCAGGAAAACAAATTAATTACATTTGCGAGCACGTGCGGTGCGGTGCGTCAGCTGCAGCTTTGCAACTTTGAAAATCCCGGATTTGGTTGAAACGGGAAAATAGACAAAAAAATTCACACTTATCGATCATTTCAGTGCTGTTGCCACGATATTTTAAACAACACGTTGACAACAAATGATATATTGTGAAAGTGTACTTGTTTCTATAGGTTACAGTGGTCATTTTTATTTTTTGATTCTTGTAAATTAGTTGTGTTTTAATATTTTATTACTAGTCGTCGCTTCTAACTACTTTCTCGTTTAATGTTCTACTTGTTTCAAACTATTATGATAGGTAATTTAACAGAAATGTCGTTAAATATTCAAGAAGTAGAGTAATTTTAAAGCAGTTTGAAGGAAACTGTTTCAGTTTTAATCAATTTTCAGGTCACCGGGTGTGTACCTTTATCATGCATTAGCGACGTTTTTGACTTTTTGTATCACTCAAATTATGGATAATAACCGGGAAAATAATCATTTACTAGTTTTTTATTTTTTTCTGGTACATTTTCAGGTTTTGTCTAAATTATTAATACACGTTTTGATAGTTTTAATAATTCGTAAATAAATCAAACAAAACAGTGCGTGCTAGTCTATTTAAAGATACGTTTACAGACACTGAGATAATCCAAGGACAATGAAAGAACCTACAAGTGTGGACATTTTTCTAATCAATAAATCGATAACTGAGGCATTCTTTATTATTATGAAACTGTAATTGCCTGAATTTATTTCTGTGTTTCAGTGTGTTGGAATTGTCCATTGTTGAACCTACAGTGTTAAAAAAATTAAAAAAATTGTATACACAAAGTCACAAACAATTAAATTATTTTTATTTTAGAAAACTATGCGAAATTGACCAATAAAGTTAGTAAAACTTCAAAATTTTTAAAGCTACCTTCAAAAATGCAAGAAACATGTTTTTATTGAAACTTAGTTTTGGGACAGCCTGTATACCTGAGAATATTTTCAGATGTTCTGTCAGATGTTTTCAGATTTTCAGATGTTTTTATCAAATCAAGTGAATACACAATAATTAAAAAAAAATAGAGATTTATTATGAAACTGTAATTGCCTGAATTTATTTCTGTGTTTCAGTGTGTTGAAATTGTACATTGTTGGACCTGCAGTGTTAAAAAAATTAAAAAATTGTATACACAAAATCACAAACAATGAAATTATTTTTATTTTAGAAAACTATGCGAAATTGACTAATAAAGTTAGTAAAACTTCAAAATTTTTAAAGCTACCTTCAAAAATGCAAGAAACATGTTTTTATTGAAACTTAGTTTTGGGACAGTGTGTATACCTGAMAATATTTTCAGATGTTCTGTCAGATGTTTWCAGATTTTCAGATGTTTTTATCAAATCAAGTGAATACACAATAATTAAAAAAAAATAGAGATTTATTATGAAACTGTAATTGCCTGAATTTATTTCTGTGTTTCAGTGTGTTGAAATTGTCCATTGTTGGACCTGCAGTGTTAAAAAAATTGTATACACAAAGTCACAAACAATGAAATTATTTTTATTTTAGAAAACTATGCGAAATTGACTAATAAAGTTAGTAAAACTTCAAAATTTTTAAAGCTACCTTCAAAAATGCAAGAAACATGTTTTTATTGAAACTTAGTTTTGGGACAGTGTGTATACCTGAAAATATTTTCAGATGTTCTGTCAGATGTTTWCAGATTTTCAGATGTTTTTATCAAATCAAGTGAATACACAATAATTAAAAAAATAGAGATTTAAAAACCGCTTCTAAATTAATTTGTTTTTAATTTAAACAACCTGTTTAATTTTCAACAACAAATACTTGTTAGTTAAGTAAGATAAGATACCAGAAACATGGAAAAAATTAATAAAAAATTCTATTTGTCAAAAAATTTTGACATATTTTATGTCTATTTAATGATACAGATGATCTTGTATATTTTTTTTTTATAATTATTTAGAAATGATGCAAAAATCTTGCCAATAAAAGCCACAAATAACATTAAACAGAGTTATAGAATTTAGGATACAGCTTCCTTGTTTCCTCTTCTAATAGCCTGTAGTAAAAAAAACTTGGAAAATTTACTGTAAACTACCCTTTACTGTCATCATGTTTGACATTTGACAATTAAACTTTTTTTGTTGTTAAAATTGTTAATTAAACAATTTGTCTGTCTTAAGAAATTTCTTAATTGAACTGAGTGTAATGAAATCATCACTTTGATCTGCTGCCTACTCGTTATTATGCAACAAATCACTATTTTTGAAAGTAAATAAGTCAAAATGACATAAACATAACAAGAGTAAAAAGTGAGGTTGTTAATGTTGTAATGTGTTTTCTTTTATTTACTATTTTACTTATTTAAACCGGGCGCCACCAACTTTTTCCTAAAAGTTGGAAAAGAACTGTTTGGAGATGTTCTCCAGGTTTACACTACATAAGAATGCCTTTCCGGCCAGCTTTTATACAGTGGAGAGGAATGGGGAGGTTCGATTGAATTAAACACAGGTGATTGAAAAGAGAAATTTATTTAGTAACTATAACAACAATAACAACAGATAAAATAACAAACTTTACAAAACAAAATCTAACTTGGACCTAGTGAACCCTAGCCCTTGGAGAAGACGTCCTCCGTGGGTGAATTTGAGGGGAGAAGTCCCGTTGGTTGCTTTTCCTGAAGAGGTCCAGGAAATTATCCCACCTGGAAACTGTCCCAGATGTTAAGCCCTTACCACGGAAGGGATTCCGTGGCCCGTGTTCAGAGGTGAACTCGGCTCCCAGAAACTGTCCTGAGGCAGGTGTGGTTTAACGACGGAAGAAGGTCCCGTCGACCGTATTCTTTGAAGATGTCCAAAGAGTACAATCCTTCAGAAGCTGTCCTGAAGTTATTCCACCAAGAGAGGTCCTGGTGATTTCGTCCGAAGATGTCCGGAAGGAGACTCAAGTGAATCTGCCGGTGTGGCGGCCCGTTCTCCTTTATATACGCTTTGAAGTCAACATTCCTATAGCAACAAAACAAACACTTTGTTTCCACTTTGGATCCATTTATCTGGGCGTACCTCTCATTGGTCTATTTTTGGCGGTTCTTTTAAATAAAACACTGACACATCATAACGTTTATTCAATGAATTTTTACACTTTATAACTGACTAATTGTTTGGAAAATATGCTACACATATTTCTAATACCAAACAAATACTAAATCTAAAATTTTATTACAATGTAAAGGTTGTTTTAAAGTTTACATTGTGAAAATGACAATACTGCCCGAGTTCTGGCGCACCCTGTATCATGTTTATCAACCGTAAATCGTGTTTTTTTCTCTTTTAACCCTTCTAAAAATGCGAGTTTGTTTTGATGTCAAAGAGCAAAGTCTCCACCACACAATTTATTAATAAATTTCGCGAGTGTTTCAATTCACCGTGCCAATTATTCAAAGTTTAATTGAAACAGGGAGCCATTTAGCCCTTTGTGCTAATTTAAAATGCACGACCAGGTCGGAAAAATTATCTCAACATGCTTAATTGCCAATTTAAAAATACATAAGACAAAGTCTTCGGAGGTTGATGCGCTGTGGAGTTATTTTTGTTCGCTAATTATCCCTATAATTCTCATGGAAAGGAAGGGAGAACGAAAGAGAAAAGGTGGATTACGCTGGATACCAGATAAGGTGTTGAATAATTTGTGTGGAGTTGGAGGATTTTAAATGCAACACGTGCTCGGATTTTTTGGATTAGGAAAATCACAATTTATCACAATTAGTGAAACACCGCTGAGAGGCGTAAATGAAAGAAAAATTGCTTACACGCAACGGCACTGCAAATTATACAGGGTGTAGCATAAAACTTGTACTGTGCAATATAATAAAGAATCACGATGTATTTAAAATAAGAAAACAGAAATTTGAAAACTAAAAATTAATTTTTTGTTCAAAAGTTTGTTTTGTAATATTGTTCTATAAGATTATGTCTATAAACGGTTTGTTTTTACTGCGTCACTTATTTTTTTTTTAATTAAGTATACTTCTAATAAATATTTTTTTGATGTTGTAAGAACACAAGTCTTATATTTTGTGGTCACTCTGTATCATAATAATGAAGTGAGCTTCAGTTGTTCTCTGCCACATAAATGTCAACTTTGACGTTTATTATTTTTATAGGGTTATTAAAATACGAGGAAAAAACATCCCTAATCTAATTATATTTTACTGGCGCTTTTATAAATTAAATGATAAGAGGTGGCTGTCATATAATGCAATTTTGCAACTCGGCTATTTACTCTCAGTTGAGAGAATGTAGAATTAGTCTTAACTAACAATTAGCTAATTAAAAGTAAGCAATTTAATTGGCTTGTTATCGACTCACTTAAACTAAATTTAATAATATGTATATTTCTTATGCTTTTAGTCTAATTAGAAAAAAAAATGTTTTAATTTGCAGTTACAAGAATTTTTTGACGTTTTAAATTATTACAATTTCATTTCTATACAAGCTTCCAATTATTTTCACCAATTACGGTCACGCGATAGCCTCATTGTTCACCATTGTGCAGTTTTCAAACAGCATTTAGTCTATCTAAACTAAGTGCTTCCGAACAAATTTCATGTCGGAAATAGATTGAAAATTGGATCTAAAACGTTCGGCGAAAGGTACTCCTCTTTTAATCAAGTGGTCGTAAAATAAATAGATAACATTGGTCCGTTTATGTTATTGTAGCTGTTCATCATTCGCTAATTCGTTGCTCGCAAATACCGTAGTTATTTATGGGACACTGGGTTTATACGCTGCTGTTCGGGGACTTAAGGAGAGCCGTCTGCTATAAATTACAAGTATAGAGGGTTTTGTTTACTACAGTCGCGGATTAAATTCGCTAGAATGATCATAGAAGGCTTTTAAATTTTTCAGTAGCAAATACAGGGTGTGTCAGAACACGTACCCCAGAGAAAAATGCCAAATAAGATATGATACCAGAAACATTGAGAAAATAATAAAAAAGATCTACCTATAAAAATTTCGAAATTATGGGTGTTTAAATTTTGCGTTATGAATCTATTTATTTCTATTGGAAAAATATTTTTTTATTTTTTTGCTACAGGCTATTAGAAAAGGAAACAAGGAAGCTGTATCCTAAATGATAACCAAATTTTGTACCTTTACTAAATACTTATAAAAAAAACATATACCAGTTCACTAGGAACATTAAATAGACATTAAAAGATGTGAAATATCAAAAAATAAATGTCATGACAGATAGAATTTTTTAACATTTTTTCCATATTTCTGTTATCTTATCTTCCTTGGAATTTTTTTCTGGGGCGCGAGTTATGTAACACCCTGTATATATTTTTAGTAGGGCGAGTAACTCAAGTTTGCTCAATTCTAATCCTACTAAAGTTATAAAATATAAATGATATAAAAATAAAAGAATTTTTACATCAAGTTTTCCAATAAATAAGATCGATTTTGGTGACCTATACTTCCACTCTGCTTATTGGTTTAAAAATGTAATTTGTATCTATAATATCCTGTGACATTCAGTGTCATAAATAATTTATGATTTGTCTTCTACAAAACAACTACTTGTTTTTAGTAGTAGTAAATTGACTGTAGCAACGAATCGGTATGGTGTGTATTGCAATTTTTATTTTTTTTTTAATTTAAATTAGAAATACATATTTAAAAAAAAATTTCAGGTGGCGGCAACCGACGTGAAGATTGCCCCTGATATGTCAACTGCCGTAACCAATGGCCACCAGGCGAGTTCGGAGGATTTCGCCAAACATGTTTTTGGAGGTAAGAATAAAAATAAATAGAAATGAAAAAACTAACATTTAATACAATTTGATGCAATTAAGTAAATGCGGTTGACTTACAATTCAGTTAATTTTTTGGTTGAGCGGTTTTAAGTACATTTTATTTTTTTTTGTAGCGCATGAACGTGGACACGGTGAGTAAAAAGCATTCAAAATTGTTTGTATCGAGTTGGTAGTGGCTTTTAGAATTATTAAGCTTCACGTAGGTTGTGCTTTGTTACTTATAATCTGTAAGTTGAGTACTTTTATGTAAAACAGGTTTTACTGACAAGAGAATTTTCAAAATATTGTAAAAAACGCAAAGTTTTGGCTTTGTGGCTAACTTTTTATGTCCAAAAAATAAGGAAAAAACTCTTTTGTAATTTGCCTTCATTTTGATTCTTTAGACATATTAAAAAACGTGACGTCATCTTGTGCGATGTCTTAAGAGACAAAAGACAAGTTTATTAAATTTTGACTTTTAAAATTAAGGTAGGTATTACCAAATGTCACAACAATTTTTAAATCGATTCAATAAAAATAAATAATATAAAAAACTCGTTTCACAAGATTTTGAAGCACTCATTCTTTAAAATAGCTTGTGGCGACGCCACTCGTTTTTTAAACTTGAATTCGTGCTTCAAGTCTGGTTTTATAAAACTCGTTTTTAATATACTATTCTGAAACTAAAATAGTATTTAATAAATTTTATGAAGTTTCTTACAAATAGAAGTAATAAATTACACAATGTTATTGGTTTTACAATTAATTTTATTAATCATTGTAAACAAGGTAAAATAATCAATTTTCATAGATTTTTTTAAGATATAATTAGTGTTTTTAGTGACATAATTATGTACAAGCGATTATTCGAATTCTGGTGATTTTTTTGTTGAAAGTTGGCATTTTTGATGTGTTGTATTAACAAACTATTATGTAATTAATTGTATAACAATTTAACAATTTAATTGAATTTTTAAATACAAACAGAATCTGCATTCTTGCTTTATCGACAATAGAGATAAAAGATATGAAATTTGACACTTCGCACATCTGTCTCTTTCTACATTCTGCACGTATGGTGTATGGAATACAATAAATACTTTTTTTTTTAATTTTCTTTTGAGTTTACTTTGTTAAATTTTGTTAATTTTTTGAAATATTTTTTGGAGTGTCGTGTTTTTCTGGTAATAAATTAAACAATGAAAAAGTAAAATTATTGCTTTATTATTTTTGTAACGGGGATTTTTTTATAAAGTTTACTTTCAAGGAACATTATAATGTATGGGAAGCAAACTACCAAAAAAGTAACGGATTTTTAAGAATAAGTTTTTTCTACGACTCTTTATAAATAGTATAGTATGTTATATAGAATAGAAGTGATAGTCTATGTGGCGAATCTGAAAGTTAATTTTGTCGAACGCAGTGAGGCAATTAATTCAGTTGAGCTATATAAACCCGTGTTTAGATCGAGAGTAAAAAGCAACAACAAATTAGCAAGTAAATGAACATAATAATCAGGACGCATTGCAATGAAATCATAATACGTCAGTTTCGGAATTTGTGTTGAGATATTTGAAACTGTTTATTGATTTAACTAGTGGATGACTAGTGCAGTTAGTAGTGCAAAATGTCAAATACTAATAATCTACAATGCACTTCTCTAGAAATTGCTGAAGCAGCGAAAAAGACTCCAATACTCTACCAGAAAATATAGTAAATCAAACTGAGCAAACCTTCGCTGTCTTATTGCCGGAAAAATCAAAAGAATGGTATGAAAAATCAAATGCATAAGTTTTTTTTGATTATGAAATTACATAATTTTGAATAATCGTTCAAATGTAATTACACTTTATTGCTGACTAGTAATGGTAAGAGCTTTTAGAAAATATTTAGTATCAATTTTCGCTGAACAATACAAAAAAAATAAGAAAAAATATGACATGAAAAATAAAAGATATTTTTGTTGTCATGCCAATAATATGTAGAAGAGATTATTTAATTACTTTATTTTAAGGGCCTCAAGTCAAACTTTCTAAATTGTTTTCTGTCTGATAAGTTAATCCGATTTATTTTTAGCCGTTCGAGCAACCAATTAAAAATTAAAATCCAATCTAATTCACGTCCAGGAACACGCCGCTGTTCCGGTTCTCAATTATCGGTTCAATACCTCCAATGATACCTTCACAAACGACAAAAACTTAATTTCCCTGTACACAAACTTGTCACGCAAACACGGTTATTATTAATAATTCGAAACAAGTTCAAAAATGACACACATGTGTGGTAGTTTTGCGTTTGAAGGGTGCACGTTTTGTGTGTTTCATAGACTCATCAAGGGAAGTTTAATTGGTTGGGGCCGGGCCGATCGACGCCAGTTATAACCCATGTTCGATGTGATAATTGATTCCAAGTCTGAGGGTATTGTCTCGAAGAGGTCAGGAGACTAGGCCAAGATTTACCTACTTGAGGCTGTTTGAGGATGAGATTGAATTGGAGCTTTCTGGAAATTTGACGAATTCAACTGTGCAAATGTATATAAATGGTAATTAAGAGCAAACATTGATTCTGGACATTGTGCAAACTAAAGCTTGACTTGTTATATAAAATTAATTGACGTTGGTACTTAGCCAAAAATTGAGGTTACACTATTTGCAATTAAAAAGACTAAACCTGGAAATCACAGTTTCCAGTCTCTAAAATGTTGAAAAAATTCTTTGGGACATGTTTTATACAATCTGAAGCTATGTGTTAAATTCTTTAATTCACATTATTTTCTCATGTTTTCATATTTTACTTTAAGTAATAGTTTCATATGGATGATGGATTTAAAAGAAATATAAATATTTTTAAAATAAAAACTTATTTACGATCAGTTACTTTATCTTGTATGTTTTTTATATTTATAATTTTTTTGCAAGAAGAAAATGGAAAACTGGTACTTAGCCAAAAATGGAGGTTACACTATTTGCAATTAAAAAGACTAATCCTAGAAATCACAGTTTCCACTCTCTAAAATGTTGAAAAAATTCTTTGGGACATGTTTTATACAATCTGAAGCTATTTGTTAAATTCTCTAATTCACATTATTTTCTCATGTTTTCATATTTTACTATAAGTAATAGTTTCATATGGATGATGGATTTAAAGGAAATATAAATATTTTTAAAATAAAAACTTATTTACGATCAGTTACTTTATCTTGTATGTTTTTTATATTTATAATTTTTTTGCAAGAAGAAAATGGAAAACTGGTACTTAGCCAAAAATGGAGGTTACACTATTTGCAATTAAAAAGACTAATCCTAGAAATTACAGTTTCCACTCTCTAAAATGTTGAAAAAATTCTTTGGGACATGTTTTATACAATCTGATATTTATTATATTTTTGCAATAAGAAAATGGAAAACTGAATTTTTCTTCACTCCCTCGTTTACTCTTAAGTTCATACCTATGAATAAATTTCACTAACTTAACATTTTGTTTTGTGAAGAGTTTGATTAAGACGGGATTGTAAGACGAGATAGATGATTAAATAATTGGCTTCGTAAACAAATCTCCTGTATAATCGCTTCAACATCGCAATTAGAATTTTTTTTTTACTTTTCAAGGATTTTTTTTACTTTTCAATTATTAATTTGACAAAAGCATAAATTTTTAAACACTTCTACGGAAATAGAACTGCTACAAGCAAGGTTACAATTATTCAAGTCAATTATCCGCTTAAAAGCTCAACGCACACTCCCTGTTAAAAACATGAAAAGTGGTAATTACACTTATTGCACTGGGAGGCTTTTACAAGGGTTTCTAAACCGAAATAACAAACGCAAAAATCAATGAAACCATTACCTACATAAGTTATAAATTCGTCGTTCAGCCTTTAATCACAAACAAAGTTCTTCAATTAGATACCAATTAATGAATTATTGAAAATAATGAGCTTAGGAAAAATATTGTAATAAAAGTAAATAATGTTTATCGCTTATCCCATTATTGATAATCATTATCCACAAGTACACGTGTAAGAACCGAATTTTAGTATCATGGTGAGTGTGAGCAAGAGTTCTCGTACCAGCAGTTCCACAGCTTCCAACGCCCCTATGTTTAAAAAGGGTAATTACTTTGGATTTTCTCACATGTCGTATTTTTTTTAATTAATATTAAATGAGATTTGGCTCTGTTATTCATAATTCAGCCAAATTAGGCTGGAATAATTTATTAAGTACTGCTAAAGTTGTGTTAATTATTATTGACCGGTTAGAATTCTCTGGTTGGTCAGTTTAATTGATATTTTGTGACTTGTTGCAATGTATCAGAGCGGTAAGGTTCACTTTTACATTATTAAAATTAAAGCACACAATTCTGACGTTTTGTGCAAAATTTTGCCTCAAGCACAGGTAATTATGCCCGTGTTTAAATTAAAGAAGTGTTAATTAGCGAATCAAAGCCTGTTAAACGAGTTTCATAATAAATTTAATCCGGCTTTGTTAGAAAGAATTTTTCAGACATTTGACGTGTTTTAATCAATTATTTATGGGGGAAATTCGATTTTGCCATTAACCCTAAGAGATATTATTAGGGGATGTGACGCATTAAACAGTGTTTTCTTTGCAATGACCGCTTATTAATTTTTAAGAAAGAATAGATTTATCGATTTGTTGGTATTAATGGGTGGGGTCAAAGCTGAAATTTTGGACATTCGATTAGCAATTATGTATTAGAAAAAAATATAGCAATTTGGAAAATATGTTTTTTGTGTTTTCTGCGTGTTTTATTGTTTGTTTTTGTGAAAAACAGATGATTGTTTAAACAAGACATGTACACAAAACATACTGTTTAATTGAAGCTCGAAATTGGAGTGGCTTTAATTGGTTACGATTAGTTTTGTCGTAGTTTTCTGTCAATATTTATTTAACTAGAGAATGTTTCACCCCAAGCTTAAATTTCGTTATGTGTGAGCAGATTTTAATCAAAAATTTTGTCAAACGAAAAACCAAACCTATTACAAAAATAAGATTTTTTACAATGTTCTATTTAATTCATGTTTTTATTAAAATAAAATCAAGTTGGCTTTGTATTTCAAAAACTTATGGATCAAAAAAATAGTAAGTAGTTTTTATAGTCTCCACAATTCTAGCTGAAACCGTTCTAGTGG